TTTCCGGCTGTCCCGTACTTGGCAACCTCGAAGTCGTGCCACTGGCCGTCGTCCATTTTGTTCCCAGTGCCAATCCAGCCTGAAGGAAAGGCTGAACAGAGTGGTCTCCCATTAAACTGAAGAAGGACCAGGGGTTCAAATCCCCAAGCCATCAATCCAAACTACCGATTGGGCTGAATAATAATCATAATAATAAAGCAACTATGATGTTGGTCCCAGCCACGACTCTAGGCTTTGTTTTTGATGCTGTGGATCCCCCCTAGAGGTTGCAGGAGTGCTATAAAGCAACTGAGTACACAGCTACTGGGTTTGGCATCGTCGTCTCAACGGGGTGAGCCTTTTCAGTTTCAAAGGCGTTACTCACAGAATTGTTTGAGGACTTCAAAGCATCCAGCCTCGAAAAGGAAGCTCCAATGATCATCAAACCTTGACTGTAACATCTGCAACAAAACGTCACATCTATACACATCTATGCAGGGGGGGGGGGGGGGGAAAAGGACAACTTAACAGCCAAAAGGTTGGAAAACAAAGAAACCGGTCAGAAAACAAAATGTCTCGTCAAACGGGCACCCTCCTTGGCTGGTGCATTTCATGGAGTCTGCCAACCACCCAACCAGCCAACCAAGCAACAAGCAAGCCAGAAAGCACGCAACAAAACAAGCAAACCAACAACCACGAAGCTACACAACACAAACCCAGACAAAACAGTATTAAACACAAATAAGCGCTGTTTAATTGTTTGGTTTGTTCAAAAACAAACATAAATACGGGAACAAATACGTACATCAATAATGACAGCATAAACAAAGAAACAAATAACTAAAGAACCACACAAACGGGCAAACAAGCAAGCAAGCAACAAACAACACACACAACAGCAGGACAAACGAGATAATACGCAACCCAACAACAACACGAACAAACTAACAACACAAAACACAAACACAAACACACCAACAAACCAAAAAAAAAAAAAAACGACCAACCAACCGACCGACCCACCCAAGGACCCACCCACCGACCGACCCGCCCGCCCCATCGACCGACCGACCAGCCAACAACAAAACACAACCAACACACTGACAGACAGACAAACAGACTCGCAAACAGGCAAACAAGCAAGCAAGCAAACAAACAAACAAACAAACAAACAAGCAGGCAAGCAAGCAAAAACAAACAAACAAACAGTGTTGAAAGCAGACAGGATCAAGCACCAAAGACGCCCGCATGCCGCGAACATCGTTTGATGAGATGTGCAAAGACCTGATTGCTCCAAAACAAGGCGATGCCCCAAGCCAGACCGAACTTGCATCTTCCCAAACAAAGAAACAAACAAGCAAACAAACGCACAAACAAATAAAGAAACAAACAAACCAAACCAACCAAAAAACAAACAAACAAACAACCAGTTTTGGAAGCAGACAGGATCAAGCGCCAAAGACGCCCGCAGGCCGCAAACATCGTTTGATGAGATGTGCAAAGACCTGCTTGCTCCAAAACAAGGCGATCATGCCCCAAGCCAGACCGACCTTACATCTTCCCAAACAAACAAACAAACAAACAAACAAAAAACACTACAAACAAACAAGCACACAACAAAAAACACCTAGCCACCCACCCAAACGCACGAAGAAGCAGGCAAGCAAACAAGCCAAGCAAAATCCACACAAACCAAACCAGGGCAAACCAGAACAGAAGAGACTGACAAACAAGCCCAACCAACACAGCGCACAAGAACAGAACCAACCAGGAACTTCCAGGAGCTGTGGATATCACCTGGAACAGACTGACCTACATGTCCCTGAGCCGGCATTTTGATTTGCCGGGGCATAGATGGCTGTGGGTCGAAACTGAAGAGCTAGGAATACACAGGTTTTAGTCTTTGGATCCATTTACCAAGGTGCCATTTTGGCTCATGTTTTTGAGCCACAGCTATATGGGGTTTGAAAAGTGGACCGATTGAAGCGAATTCCCGGCCTTGGCCGTTGTCCAGCCCCCGGCCGTGCGGGCCAATGCCCTTGGCAGTCCTGAGAGACCGGACAAATGTTGGGCCCAGGGCCTTAACCATGAGAACAGGGCGGGGGAGGGGGTAGTGGGTTTTGGGTTTTTGGGTGTTGTTTTTTTTGGGGGGGGTTTGGGGTGGCGGGGAGGGGGCTAAGAACCAAATCAAGTCATGCTCAGCAAACAAATGATGAAATGGTTGAGTTCAACTACTTCCAGATTCACATGGAAACTCGAGCCGCAAACAAAAATGGAAGCATTTCCTGGGAACGGCCTCCGAAATTGGGCGCCGTGTTCAGGGGAGGGCCACACCCTTTTTGTTGATAGATCTCTCAAAACGTTTTGGAAGCCACCGGGGCTTCAACTGGAAAGGAGCTTCGTTGCATCCAACTTCCAATGGATGGGTAGGCCTGCTCAAGCTCGGATCGCTTGGGGAGCCCTCGGGCCTTTGTGTTTGGCCTGGGGGAGCTGTTTGTTTGACCTTGCGCTGTCCTTTCCGAACTAAAATTGCTTACTGACGCAGGAGTCCCACATAGGAACCTACAAAACACGGGTGAAGTCGCACACCCAGCTCAGGCCTTTTTAATTTTGAAAGGGTCACCAACATCATGTTTACCTCTTCAACGGCCAACAAGCAGCCCCAATTGGGTATGAATCTTAATTGGGGGCCCTTTGGCAGACATCATAATTTGGTATCCATGTCCACCAACCATTTGAAGGAACCTCCCAACTAAAAATCATGGCCAATCCAAACAACACCGCGGGTGTTTCAAAGGCCTAGACGCCCTTGCCCGAAGGCACTTGACAAGTCAGGCGATAAAGGAGGTGTTTTCATGAACTTGAAGTGTCGTGGCAAATATTGCACGACACTTAGAAACATAGCTTCTGAAAAATAGCACGGGCGGTATGCCCAGCAACCCCAGAAAGCTTCCGGAAGCTTTCGTTTTGTGCGGATCAGTGCGGAGCTTTGAGTTTCAAATAGAGACACTGCTCCAGGACAGTAAACAATTAGATCGAGGACCACCCGTGGTGGTTTTCGTGCCATTGGGTCTCCCAACCCCTTTTGGTTGGCTCTAAAAACGGGTGACACCGAAGTTCCATCCCAGCACCCCCCCAGCAACTGCCTTTTTCCCATGTGGCCTCAAAATCCCGTACCCCCAGCGAAATCCCAATCCCCACTAAAACAGGTTCTAAAATGGGTGGTGAATTCACCTACCAACCAAAATGGGATCCCGAAACGGTTTTGTCAACCACAGCCATGTCAATCCCCTTGGCACCTTCCAAAACAACAGCTTGGTTGGGACTTGACCCGGTCGGCGACCAGCCGCTTCCGCCCGATTCTTTTTTATGCCGCTTCCGCCCAGGGCGCGCCAGGTAGTAGGCGGTCTCGCCCTTTCGACCACCGTAGGCCGGACCGAGGCCGTGCACGCAGAAGGCGAAGGTGCCTGGCAAAGGAAGTGGTCCATCGACTTGTTCAAAGGGAGAACCAACAACTTCTCAAACGGAAAGATGTTCAAATTAGATGGGTCCTTCATGAGTTGGTACCCAACTTTCTGGTTGGTTGCAAAGGGAACACCAAAGGACGGGCCCCACCCATGGGGGCCCCTAAAGAAAAGACACACCCCAACTTGCTCTGCAAGAGCCAGGGGTTCAAATCCGAATCCAAACCACCAATCCAAACCGCCAACCCTTTGCCTGAATACCTCGGGCCACCAAAAACTGCAAAATGTTCAGACTACGTTTTGTGAAATTACGAAAACTGCAAAAATTCTGAAACTGAACCTTGTCGAAATTACGAACTAGTTTGGAGAGACCAAACCTTGGCTGTGAAAGCGGGTAACCCATTGTCAAAACCCAGCGAAGCCATGCTCCGATTGTCAGGGCCTTGGGTTGTAAGTCATGACCATTGCGCACTTCAGCTCCCTGTCCTTTCAAGTCTTAAACAGGTTCATGATATTTCATGATGGCGAGCAAAATTCATAATCCTAGGAATAAAGTAGAAGAAAAGAAGAAGAAGAAGAAGAAGAAACAACGCCGGAGGTGTGCTTTTTTTCCCAGCACCAATTCGGGGAACCGGGGCCCAAAGCCATTCAAGATCCACCAGGCCGGGCAGCCAGGGGACGGCTCATGCAGCGCAACACCTTGACGAGATCTCCGTTGCTTTCTGCGAAGCCCTGCTAAAAGTGAATAACTGTTAGTGGTTTAATGGAAAACCCACTAGTTGGCAAACCAGCCAGCCGACAGGGATTGTGCCTGCCAGCCGCTTGGCGGAATTGTGACTGCCTTCAGGGCCCCAATCCCCTTGCCTGGCTGGACGGACCAACCCAACCAACCCGTGCCTTGCCCCAAACGCCGCTAGACACTGAGCCGCTGCTAAGCAAAAAAACATTCCGTGAAGGCAAAAGATGAAATAGATCAACAAGTAACAGATCGTTTTTTGGAAAAATACAATATACTAACCCAGACGCCGCATTGTTGAGAAGAAACTAAACAGTTTAAGAAAATAAGATGGAGACATGAAAGGCGTGCACATAATAATTTGAACGTAATCATAAGTCTATGCTTATGGACCTAACCTATCTTGGTTGACGTTGGAAGGGGAGCAAACAAATCCGTCTTCGTGATGTTTATCAGCACCACTGATGTTGGGTGATGGGTTCGCAGCATCCAAATCATCAGCATTCTACGTTTCAAGCTTGCCGTTCAACCCGGCTTGGAATGCAGTGATGCATTTTAGTCATGATTGTTATGACAGCTGCTGCTCATGCAGGGGATGCATAGTGATGATTGTCATCAGGATATCATCAAGGTAACTGCTGGTGATGCTGGTGATGCTGGAGATGCGTAGTGATGATCATCAGGATCATCATCATCTGATCATCATCATCACTCTTCTCATCATCATGATGGTCATCATCATCTCTTTCTTGTTCTTATATGCATTTCAAAAGTAACGTTAGATAGCATTGGCAATGCAAAGGATGCTACGATGATAGTCCTCATCCTTATCATCATTATCATCATGGTCATCATCAACATCTCTTACTAGCCGTCCTCATCCTCATCATCATTCTCATCACGGTCATCATCATCTCTTATTAGCCGGCACTGGTGATGCCGAGGATGCTACGATGATAGTTATCATCACAGTCCTCATCCTTGTCATCATTATCATCACGGTCATCATCATCTCTTATTATGCAGCACTGGTGATGCAAAGGATGCTACGATGATAGTTATCATCACACTATCATGCTGATGGTCGTCAAAGTAACGTTAGACAGCATTGGCAATGCAAAGGATGCTACGATGATAATTTTCATCACAGGCCTCATCCTTATCATCATTGTCATCACGGTCATCATCATCTCTTATTAGGCAGCACTGGTGATGCAAAGGATGCTACGATGATAGTTATCATCACAGTCATCATCACGATCTTCCTCATCATCATCATGATGATGGTCGTCATCAGCATCATCATCACTCTTTTCATCATCATCCTGATGGTCATCATCATCTCTGTTATTGTTCTTATATGCACTTCAAAAGTAACGTTAGACAGCATTGGCAACGCAGAGGATGCTACGATGATAATTATCATCACAGTCCTCATCCTTGTCATCATTATCATCACGGTCATCATCATCTCTCATTAGGGAGCACTGGTGATGCAAAGGATGCTACGATGATAGTTATCATCACAGTCATCATCAGGATCTTCCTCATCATCATCAGGATGATGGTCGTCATCATCATCATCATCACTCTTCTCATCACCATCCTGATGGTCATCATCATCTCTTTCTTGTTCTTGTATGCATTTCAAAAGTAACGAAAGACAGCATTGGCAATGCAGAGGATGCTACGATGATAATTATCATCACAGTCCTCATCCTTGTCATCATTATCATCACGGTCATCATCATCTCTCATTAGGGAGCACTGGTGATGCAAAGGATGCTACGATGATAGTTATCATCACAGTCATCATCAGGATCTTCCTCATCATCATCAGGATGATGGTCGTCATCATCATCATCATCACTCTTCTCATCACCATCCTGATGGTCATCATCATCTCTTTCTTGTTCTTATATGCATTTCAAAAGTAACGTTAGACAGCATTGGCAATGCAGAGGATGCTACGATGATAATTATCATCACAGTCCTCATCCTTGTCATCATTATCATCACGGTCATCATCATCTCTCATTAGGGAGCACTGGTGATGCAAAGGATGCTACGATGATAGTTATCATCACAGTCATCATCAGGATCTTCCTCATCATCATCAGGATGATGGTCGTCATCATCATCATCACTCTTCTCATCACCACCTGGTCATCATCATCTCTTTCTTGTTCTTGTATGCATTTCAAAAGTAACGTTAGACAGCATTGGCAATGCAGAGGAAGCTACGATGATAATTATCATCGCAGTCATCATGGTCATCATCATCTCTCATTAGCCGGCACTGGTGATGCCGAGGATGCTACGATGATATCCTTATCATCATTGTCATCACGGTCATCATCATCTCTCATTCGGGAGCACTGGTGATGTAAAGGATAGTTGTCATCACAGTCATCATCAGGATCTTCCTCATCATCATCATGATGATGGTCGTCATCAGCATCATCACTCTTCTCATCACCATCCTGATGGTCTTCATCATCTCTTTCTTGTTCTTATATGCATTTCGATAGACAGCATTGGCAATGCAGAGGATGCTACGATGATAATTATCATCACAGTCCTCATCCTTGTCATCATTATCATCACGGTCATCATCATCTCTCATTAGGGAGCACTGGTGATGCAAAGGATGCTGCGATGACAGTTATCATCACAGTCATCGTCATCGATGGTCGTCACCATCATCATCATCACTCTTCTCATCACCATCCTGATGGTCATCATCATCTCTTTCTTGTTCTTATATGCATTTCAAAGTAACGTTAGACAGCATTGGCAATGCAGAGGATGCTACGATGATAATTATCATCACAGCCCTCATCCTGGAGCACTGGTGCTGCAAAGGATGCTACGATTATAGTTCATCAGGATCTTCCTCATCATCATCATGATGATGGTCGTCATCATCATCATCATCATCACTCTTCTCATCACCATGCTGATGGTCAGCATCATCTCTTTCTTGTTCTTATATGCACTTCAAAAGTAACGTTAGACAGCATTGGCAATGCAGAGGATGCTACGATGGTAATTAGCATCAATCCTTGTCATCATTATCATCATCTCTCATTAGCCAGCACTGGTGATGCCGAGGATGCTACGATGATAGTTATCATCATCCTCATCCTTATCATCATTCTTATTAGGCAGCACTGGTGATGCAAAGGATGCTACGATGATAGTTATCATCACAGTCATCATCAGGATCTTCCTCATCATCATCATGATGATGGTCGTCATCATCATCATCACTCTTCTCATCCTGATGGTCATCATCATCTCTTTCTTACTTTCTTATATGCATTTCAAAAGTATTAAACAGCATTGGCAATGCAGAGGATGCTACGATGAAAATTATCATCACAGTCCTCACCCTTATCCTCACTATCATCATGGTCATCATCATCTCTTATTAGCCGGCACTGGTGATGCCGAGGATGCTACGATGATAGTTATCATCACGGTCATCAAACCGGTTGAGCCAACGAGCTACATAAACAGGTCCGATCATTTACGCAGGACAACCATGTTTGTAGCATCCAAAAGGAACGTGTTGCTTGTGCTCTGTTAGCGGCTGTGGTTGTTTGAGGGTGCCCTTCTTTTGGGTTGCCTTAAAGGCAAGCCAAAAAGAAGCCAGCCCTCTTTGGAGTACTTAACTGTATGGGGTCGGCGGCACTGGGCGGCAGCCCTTAAACAAAATGTCAGCAGTTAAGTGTGGATTTCCCACTAAACCACAACAAGCAAAAATGTAAAATGTGTCCCAACAACGACCATGTTATGTTAAACATCACCTGGTGAGAACAACATATGCCATTCCATTCTCTTATTCACCCTCTTTATTTCCTCGCCTATCTTTCACGGCCAGAATTGGGACAGGGAAGCGAGGGATTCGAGCCGAAGGTCCGGCGACGGCCTGAGTCCTCGCCCCAGAAAAGGTGGGGGTAGTTGGAGTTCCTGGCGGATCACACGGGGCTCGTCGTTTGAGGACACCCGCACCTTTTAGGGGTTGGTTAAAAGGGAAGCCAACATGAAACCAACCCTTTTGGGGGGCTCTCCTATTTCACACATGAGCCACGGACACTGTCATACAGGTGCAGTGGATGGGCGCCAATTGTTTTGTTGGGAAAATCAATGGGTAGGCACCCCCCTTCTCGTCCTCTCTCAACTCAAGCCGGGCGCACATGTTGTTGAACTTCACCTTGGCCTTGATGCTGAAGGACTTCACCTAAAACGTGTTTTTTCTCCATGTGCTCGGATCCACACGAAATGAGATATGTGTTGTCGGATTCTGGTAAACAAAGCAACATGGCTTCTCGGAATCTGGTCCATATGGAGCCTACCCCCACAAGCACCAAACAAAAACAATGAAGACCCCAGCAGCATTTCTTGGTTCAACGCACGAAGTGAACGAGAAGTGAACGAGTGGAGCCACCAAAAAAAAACATGGTCCAACCCCAAGTGACTCTTGAGTCCAGCCCGAGTGAGCCAAGACCCGAAGGCCCATGCCCCCAATCAGATCAATTACCCTTTGAATGTGAGTGTCTTTGAGAATCAAGGCCAAGAGCAGGGCTGTGGGTCACAAATAGGTACCCAGAATGGCTTGCCCTGGTAAGTGGAAGCATGGACCAAAACCTGCGGTCCACATCCTGTTGGCTTCATTTTGACCCACACCGGCCATGAGTCCCCGGAAGAACCTCTGGGGTGTGTCAAGTTGGGAGGTTTCGGAGTCGGGGCCCTGGCCATCGAGGCCGACCACTTGGAGGTGTCCAGGGTAACTCCGTTGTAGCTCTTGGCGGGTGCGTCAACACCCTTCGCCTGAGGAGTGGAGTGGAGAACCTGGGGCCTCCCAAGCTTGCTTTTTTTTCTGTTGACCCCTGAAAATTGGGCCCCGGCACAAGCGGTAAGTTCAACTCGCGAAGCTGGGGCCGTCGAGCCATCGGCTTGTTGAAGATACGAAGGGCTCCTTTGTCCTTCTCGCCGGTTCCCCTTCTCGCCCTCCCGAATGGACCGTTGACTACTGGAAGTTGTTGATCGAACTCCATCTGTTGGCCTGGGGAAGCCGTCAAGGTTTCAACCTTTCAACCCACATACTCCAGGTAGGCCGTGTTGCGTGCGTGGCGTCTGGGCTTGGGAGAAAAAAAGGATTCCCTGTGTTGAAGCCACGGAGCCATCAACATTAAATCTCCAATGTGTACCCTCGAATTGCCTGCTAGTTCTCAAGAACTTCTCAAGAAATCACGTCATTGCCCCCCAAAAAACCTGAAAGTTCAAGATCAACCGCCGGCTCAGGGATGAAAAAGAAACTCGTGCAAGCTGCTAGCGCCCCATGGACTTGGCCCCGGGACGGGGGATCGGAAATTGGTGCCAACACCGCACCATACGTCCCTCAACATCAAGCTCGAAGCTCAAGGCGATGTTGCAGGCACCCAGGGGGTCATTCAGATCCCTGGCAACTTCGAGTCTTTGAAATCTACCCGGCAAGAGTTGGGGCTGCCGCCTCGCCTGGTTTGTGGGCCCCAAAAACAAGCAGGCGCAGAACCAAAGGGTCCCCTGAACCCGAGTCTTGGTTGCACCCCGCAAAATGGGATTCGGCTTTTCTTCATCCTTTCAACCAACCCCGAAATGGGTACCCTCAAAAAACCCGCCTTTTGCCTGACAACATTCACGGTGACCGCATTGCCAAGCCGTGAAGCGTGGAAATTCCCGTCGACACCTGCCATTCCCAGACCCACGGCAAACGGAAGCTGCCTCTTTCCCCCGCAAGGACACCGCAGAGCAGGCGACAATCTGGAGAAGGCTCCAGAACTTCATTGCGACAAAAACGCGGACGGACCAGTGGCTCGCACGGCTTTTTGGCCGAAAAGCTGACAGCGAGAGGGAAAGGCGAGGCAAGGTGAATGAGTCAGACTTGATGGTTGAACCCGTAGAGGCAAGAGGCCTCGAGGCTGCCAAAGGCGGAATCTTGACAAGCTAGAGTATACAATAAAACAACTGTGCAATTGTGACACGCCGAACATGAGCTTAGTGATGCAAATCAAACAGGGATGAGTGCAAGCATTTTTCACCAACAACAGCAGAAACTTCCTCGAGGGCAGGAATGAAACTATCCATCCCTTTCCTATTGTGGCTCAACTTCTTTCCATCCCTTTCCTTCCCAACATTCAGGGACATAAACAGCAAGCTGTAATTCATAAAACGGAAGAAGGGAATGCCCAAGTGAACTGTCCACTGTGACTCCGTGTACTGCCGCAAGACGCATGCAAAGCGTGCGAGGCGATTTTGGGGCCCTTCTGGCAAGGGGCTCTCGCATTGAACGACCCGCCGAACCCTTGCCATCAGTGAAGTACGGGGCACCAATCAAATCTGGGTGAATTATAATATTTTACCAGCCTGAAATAAGGTGGTTTGGGGGCTAAACCCCCACATAACCACCATTTGGGGTGAGGTCGTGTGAGGTGGTTATAATTCACCCAGATCAAATGCAGCGGAAAGTGTGGAAAACGGGTGCTCTGCACCAAAAGCCGACTGGGGATGATGGGCGTCTGTTTGAGATGTGTCCATAAGGAGCACGGTGCCAACTGCAAAAGGTGCCCGCACGGCGTCAAAGACCACGGGGGCAAATGGACGATCCGTAAAAAAACTAATACAACCGCAAGGAACAGGACTCGCTAAATCATCGCTAGCACTTTGTATGATCAAGACGCAACTAGGGTGTAGTCGCAATTAATTAGCCTGCAACCTCAAAAAGAAAAACCACACAACAAATGTCATGATCTCGGCCCTCCGCTTTTGCACCACATCCTTTTTGCAACACAAGCTGTGCGCCCTCGGCGTCAATCCGGCTCCAAGCGGTGGCTGGGCCCGGAGAACCTGGCGAGTCGAGTCGAACCCCTCATGAAAACGGCCTTGGAGGAAAACCAAAGGTGAACCATCCCAAAAACGGCTCCCCAACTTTTATTGAACCCACTTCGTCATGCGATCTGGGCAAACAACATTTTTTAAAAAACCAAATTCGTCCCAAAATCGAGGGCAAACAAGTGAATGGATCTGGTTGGACCCAAACTGAAAGTGGGACCTGGCTTCACGCGCGACTCAGAAAAGACCTCTAGACCCATGGTTTACTTGAAAACGGCCCAAACGACCCGGCGGATTTGGATTGGAGTTGACTTGGGCTAGCTCCCGGAAAAGGTTTCAAAAGCGAAGGGAAGGATGTTGGTGGATGTGGATTGGGTGGATTGGGTATTTGGGACCCTGAACAGACATAGATGCTTGGAATGTCCACCAACATTTGGATGATCAGTGATAGTCCCATTGCAACAAGAAGGGAGAAGACACGGGCTACCACGCCATGTTTTGCTGGTTCTCCATGTTACCTTTCCCATAGGCCGGCAATGCTGAACTCATCTAGTGCCCAGAAAAAGAAAGAAAGAACAAACCACAAGTGGTATCAGTCGCAAAATCCCACGATCTCCGGAACCCTCCCTGACAGCAGCTCCCGAATACTCCAGAGCTTGCTTGGGCAAAGCTGACCTCAAAACTTTCAGCTGATAAAACACACATTCCGAGTGATCTGGCCAAACAAAGCCTGAACTTCCTATTGACCGCCAAAATGATCTCCCTTTCTCCCCCAAAAGGAACAGCACTTAGAACATGCATGGCTGGCACGCCGAATGGTCAAAAAGCTCTTCGCATAGAAACAAAGGGCACGAGAATGCCAGGCGCCTTTTGATTCGCTGCCCCCTTTGTGTAGAGCACTAGCTGGGCTACGTCCTACTAGTTCAAGCACTAAACAAGGAAACAACCGCCGGGCATGAAAATTGCCCCCCCCCCCCCAAAAAAAAAGGAGAAAATTGTGTTCGCTTTAATGGGCCCAACCTAAAGTCAGGACATGAATAGATCCTCAACAAGTTGACGCTCATGAACCCAACCCCCAGAAATGACATCAATGACTCCTCAAAAAGTTCATGCGAGTGAACCCAACCCTCAGCAATGACATCTAGAACTCTTCGAAATGTTCACGCTAATGAACCCAACCCCAGACATGCTGTCGAGAACCAGTTGACAAGTTCATCCCTGATGTGTGGTCGATAACTCCTCAACAAGTTCACCTGAATGGACGCAGTGAGCCCAGATTCCCGACCTGAGCAACGTCGCTGCTGAGCCATCCACTGGCGAGCCTCTGTGCTCATCGATGTCCGCAAAAGTGAGTTCGAACTGATGGACTGGAAGCGAGGAACTAATTTGAATGGCCATTTGAGGAAGCCCCTCCATGAAATGGATCTCAAGCCATGCAATTGTTTGAGGGAGTGATCACTCCCTTTTCAGTCTGTGAGGGTCCCTGTGTTTTGACACATGCCCACATGTAGTGGGTGCCCCTTTGGTTGGGTTGACACTCTTCTCGTGTTACGCGACGGTGCTCAACCTGCCGTTACTTGCGGCGTGCCCGGGCAAGCCAACCAAGAAAGCCACCAGTTCCCACCACCGAAACAAAAACAAATGAGCACGCATCCCTTTGTATCCAGGAATACGTCGGCAGAAGACCCCAACTGGATATTGCAGATAGCGCCACTTGCGCCATATCGAGCTGGCTGCCGCGTCAGGAAGCAAGTTGGACTCTTGACGTCGCCTATGGAAACGGGATCTATCCCCTTCACGGACTTCTGCCTGGTCAAACAGAGCAGAATCCACTGGTTGCCGGTTCCTGGAAGAAGCACACTGGGCATGTCCATCTTATTTTTATTGCATCAACCCAAAGGGTTGGTGCGGGGAAAGAAAGGGGGGAACCACCAATTTGTGGGGTTCCGATATTTTCAGAAACAGACAAAAACACATCTTCCCAACAGATTTACCGGCCGGTCGAAAGAAAACCCCGTAGCAAACCTCCAAGGTTTGGCAACGTGAACATAGAAAACCTATGGATGTTGGAGAAGGCAACATGGCACCTACGGGCTATATACCGCCGCGCTACAAGCTTCTATTGCTGGTATTTGGTATACAAGCATACCCGGGACATGCCGGTTTGACGCGAAGATTATGGTTTTGCGCAAGGAGCAGCTTGTTTGGAGCAACACATCCTCTCAAATGAGACCTTCTGCATGGTAACGATGCAAGGGTAGCTCTGCCCAGCGCGGAAGGTATTTGGAACCATGGTCGCAAGAAAACATGGAAAGGAATCGACCCCTGCCAAAAGCATCTTATTGCCGAAAAGCTTAGATACGTTCAGTGTCCGTTTCATACTTATAGATCCTGAACCGTACATACTTTGAACATCCCCGGCGCCTTTTTTCCCCCCTAAGCCCGCCGCTAGGCACTGTCCCGAGGGCCGGCCTAGCGAGAGAAAAACTGGGATCGGCAGGCGAAGTCAAAGGCAAGCGCTCGCGCCAACTGAGCGAGCCTCTGAATGGGGGTTGGTAGTCCCTCAAGATGAATCGCCGAATTTCGATGTCCACCATTTCAGGTCAACACAATATGTGTTGTCAAAATAGGCGACATGGTTGAGAGGGAATCGTACCCCCAAATACACACATGTGCATGTGTCAAGGAAGGGGAAAATGGTGGTCGTCTCGTGTTTGTCAAAATTACACCAAAGAACATGTCTGCGGGGGTTCCTCAACTGCTCCTTCTGGCCTACCAGTTCGCTGCAGCGCTGGTCATTTTGAAATGGCCCAACTGATGCTTCAACCCTCCGGAAACACACCGGAGATCACTTTTGTGTTAGGGCGCCCACAAAATGGTGGGTTTTCCTTTTGGTTTGCCTGTAAAACAGCTCCAAAGCGGAGGGGAGGGGGTACTTAGACTTTCTTGGCATGACTCTGTCCCACTTGCCCAAAGCCGACTTTTTGACCTAGGGGTTCTTGCATTTTGGTGCATGCCTGGTCAAGACCCCAAAGAGTTCGCCTTATAAATAACGATCCTTTGGGCAAGTGAGGCAATGAGCTGGGGGGAAAAACGAGCCAAAACCCAGGAAATCGAAGAAGCGAGCCTCCTGCCACCGCCCCGCCTCCTGCGGCGGACACGAGCCTCCGGCCTGGGCAGAACAGTCGGTTTGCAGGATATATTTTCAAATACCAACTGTGTCTTGTTTTGGAGGATGATCTCGGTCTGTCTTTTTGCTTGGGAACCCCCCCCCCCCAAAAAAAAAAGGCAGGACACCAGGCATTTCTTGGGCTCCGATTCTTATTTGAGACAAACCCAGGTGGGAAACGGAAAGAGGTTCTTATTTGGAGGGCTCCCCTAAGTCACCACCGTCGGGTTGTTTGAAGGTCCCATTAACCTTCTACTAAGGGGATCCTCTAAAGCTGGCAAAAATAGATAAATTGCTGTTTGACTAGCCCAAATGTATCACCTACGGACCCTGGTCAAAAATCGCCAGCTTTGAAAGGGCCGGATTCCCTTGAATTCGCTCCACCGGTCGATGAAATTCAAACTGACCGCCCGCTGAGTTCACAGCCCTGCCAACATGGCCATGGGTCAAAATCCAATTCGTACCGCCAGTGAACCTCCAATCCAACCACAAAAACAGGTTCTAAAATGGGCGGTGCACCTAATTACCCCCAAAATGGGATACCATTGGTTTTGACCCACAGCCACATGTCTTCAGAACCCACTCGAGAAGCTCTCAAAGTTTGGCGGCACAGGAAATACAGACCTAAGCCAGCACCACCCCCCAACCACTGCTTTCTGGTTGCCGCGCCAAGGGGAGTTTGGACATGGCTGAAAAAAGCAGAAATGCTGGGACCCGGGTGCTGGGGGTAACCTCGCCGTTCTTTTCGGAGAACCTTCTACTCAGAAGAACGCCAAGAAACATATAACGCCAGATTCAAACCTTGCCAGGCTTCCTTTGGATCTTTGACTCCTGCAGATTCGAACCATATACAAACGGATCCCCAAAAATGAGTTCCCTCTCAAACTCGATGTTTTTGGAGGTCTCGACCAATGCCAAGCCACTTTGATGGGTCTCTTTTTGCCAACAAAACAAAAGAGTGATCTGGCCATGGGTCAAAATCCCGTACCCCCAGTGAACATCCCAATCCCCACTCACATAGACTAAAATGGGTGGTGCACCTACCCCAAAATGGGATCCATCTTTCCAGGAAATTTGCACCCCCCGTGACTCACGCCTCCCCCAACCTCCCCACATGGAGCCCCCGCCAATCTCGGTCAAGCTCGGAGCTGGTGGGCCCCTGCAGCTCCACGTGCGCCTGGCCCGCCAGGTACCTCGCGCGCTCTCCGGTCGGATCGGCGATCGCGATCGACTGGGGGGGTGGTTTTGGAAGGCGCGAATGGGAGGCCGGCCGTCCTCAGATCCCCCGCTGGGTGACATGGACATCCAACCACTAAACACACTCGAAGGCTCAAAGGCTAACGGACCGGATGCCTGGGAACCAGCAAGGGAAGCTGGCCAAGGTTGGACATACCCTCTTTTTGAGAGAGGCAAATCCACATGCAGCTCATTGCTTGAGTGAGTCAAGTTCGGCCAACAGGAAATACCCAACCTGGTGGCTCCCACTTACCACGAAGACAAGCAACATGTCCAAAGATCTAAAACCAACCAACAGCAGTGAGTCAGTGAGTCGTTTGGTCCCCCAGTCGCCTTTCACCATGGCTGGTCCGTTCACCTGCCGCCAGCCAATCCAAAGTCGCCAACATGATCGTGGGAACTATAGTCGGCCAGGGAACCTCCCCTAGCGTTCAAATGGAGTGTCTCCTGTTTGGGGGCATACCCCTTCTTTGTGGGTTTTAAAGGGAAACCAAAAGGAACACCTCCATGCTTTCTTTAGTTGGGGTGGAGATCTCATAAAAAATAACACACATGGTTTCCCTTTACCATAGCCCCTACCGCGGTGTCCAGAACTGGGCCCCTGACGCTCCCAGTAGCATGGCCACCGGCGACAGGATCATCACTACGCTGCCCTAGCGGCAAGCTGAAGACAAGGACGGATCAGGTTCCCCAGATCTCCCCCCTCTCCATGGCAGGGAAGGCTATGTGAAGGGTTGTCCCTTATCAACCCCTTCGACGCCTGACATAGGGTGGTGAGGGAATGAAGAGCAAGGGAATGGTGAGTCCAAAATAGCCTACCCGGGGCCATGCAAAGAATTAGCAAGGCGGCAAGGCCAGCCCAGGTGTTGACTTTCTGCTCAGGTTCCCTAGATCTCCCCAATCATGAACCCCTAACACGGGCCATGGGGAAGGCTGTCTTTTATCAACCTCTGAATGAGGCCTGAAGGGCGTATGCTTGGCTTTGGGCTTCATGATCTAAACATCAGCCCGCCAACAGGAAACTCGATCGCTTCAACTTGGCCCAAAAATGTAATGTAAATGCGGCGAAAGGGATATATGGGGCCCTGCAGACGAAATTGGCCATACTATGGATGGAAAAATCTGCTTTGCACCAGGTGGGATTGAAGTGTTTATATCGTTTCATCATGCTTTATCATGTTTCATCCGTCCCACTTGGCGCTGGATTCTGCCCATCCACAGTGTGAACCCCGAACAAAACTACCCGCAGGGCGTGGGACAAGGGTCCGTCCCCTTGGCTCTGCAATGTTGAGCCGTCTCCCCGTGTCCTTTTGAGCATCACAGGCTACCTGTGACTCCGAGGAGCGCACGCCGTTGTAAACATAGCCCTGGGTGTTATCGAAGAAGGGTGTCGTCTTGATGATCGTCTCGTACCTGAGCGATGGGTGACCCAACATCGTCTTGGCATTTCTCTCCATCCGGTGACCCATGGGTGCCTGAAGAGTGAAATGATTCACTGCATTTCTTCGAGCGTTGAGTCTTTGGGGTAGTCTGCGCTGTACGTCTCCCGGCAACTGGAAATACCTTTGAGGGCTTCGGCTAAAGAGCCTGGCAAAAGAACTAAGGCGGAATCCGCTAATGTTGACCCCGATGAATCAACCCGGCAGTTTCTCCCCAACAGTAGTTTGAAATCCTGCCCTCACAAATAGTCCAATTTGTCCACTAGGGTCACTAGGGCTTACTACTCCTAGGTTCCCATTAGGCAACACGGCAGCAGCACTTAAGCACTTTTAGCTTGTCACGAAAGGTGGCCTCAAGGAGGCTAGCTTGAGTTTGTCCTTGCGTTAGCAAGGCTAGACTGACGGGGTCTAGGGATTGGCCCGGCCGCAAAATCAATGCTACATCTTCCCCCCTTGTCCGCCCTCTGGGACACATGACGATAGCTCACCTAACTGATTTCAAATTTTGAGGGTTCCAAGATTTGTGGAACAATGACACGAACTCACATAAAACAATGAATTTAGACGCCCGATGCAGCGATGTCAGTCGATCCAGACACCGCATCCATGTGGTGAACTTTCAAAAAGTCCCTACAACATCTGCGGGAAACAATCACTAGAAAAACTAAACGGAGTAAATTCAAGGGGTATCTATGATCTGCGCAACATGAGCACTGTACCTAACTGGACTGTTTTTTTGGGGGATCCTCGAGGATCTGCAGAAAACACAATGACTCACCTGATTGCATTGGCGGATCTTAGAGACCGCTAAAGGTCTTGCCTCGAATTTGATGGCCACCCTGTGGTCGGAAAGAGGTTCGGTTCGGACGTGCAGGGCTTCCCCCTTTTGGGAGCAGCTCCTTAGGAACCCTCTTGGCAATCTGTTGGCAATCCAAATCTCCGGGCTTTGTACACGTTTGCCCTGCACGAGTTAAGACCCTTCACGTCAAGTAAAAGGGTGAGCGTCAGGCAAACTCAGTGCGTAGCCCAAAAGGTGTGTTTCGAGGGTACCAACTTGGTTTCATACAAAACCAAAAGGAAAGCAACGGTTTTGGGGGATCCGATTCCTATTTTGAGATGAACCCAGCAGGAAATTTGCGGAGAAACATGGATTCTCAGCGCACGTGATCCGCAACTCGTTCTTGGTGCTCACTCGGCTCACCGGCTCCACAGTCACCTGCAGCCAGGGGCTGACCCGAATCCAAAACTAGAAACGAAGCAAAACCCAGCAAAACCCTCTCTGGAAAATAGCCAAAAAAACGCCAGTTCAAGTCCACCTTGGGGGAAGAAAGGTCCAAACCAAAACTTGAGGAGCGGGTGAACGAAAGCTAGCAGTTGTTGCATGAGATGGGTCGGTGAAAGAGTGGATTCATGGGTAGCTTGTGTACAACGAGAGGCCCGGCAAGATTCGTAGGATGCGACACGCAAACGCACATGGTGGCGTGGCAAACCTTGAAAAATGAAAACAACGAGAGGCGTCAGAAGCTGTCTAAAAGCACCTCTGGGTTCTGCATGCTGCGTGTGCAAAGCTTCTTGCGAGGTGGTTTACTGAGAAGACTGAGGTCTCAAATGAACAAGCTGAATCGGTGGAACATGTAAAAGTTCGTAGCACCAAGTCCAAAACGGGCAAACCGAGACTGCTGAACACTGAGCCACTGCCCGGGGGGGGGGGGGGGAGGGGGGGGGGTCTAAATAATTTGATGTTTTTTCAATCTTTTCGGCTCAAATAATTGAAAAAACAATCTTTCTCCATTTGAGCCCCTTACCTTGCTTACGCAAGGAGAAACTTCAGCTAGCTAAAGCTGGCTTTCGTGATTGGAACTCCGACAAATACCCTTGAAACGGTTACTGAGAACCAAAACAGACACCCCGCACAAGAAAACGACACCTGGGCCGTGAGCGAAACTCCCGCCTCAGACCTGCCGCCCACGCTGGAGAGCAGCGGCCTAGGTGCTCAGAGTCGAGCCAGGATCTTGGTCTCCAAACCACATGGACAAGGGTTATGTTAAGATGGTACTTCCAAAACCGTCCTGTCCACTTCCATGATTGGAAAAACGTGGTTTTGGGGAGTGCTCATTTTGGAGTGGTTTTGAAGGGAAACCACAAGAACACAACCACCATTGTGCACCCTCTTGCCTTTGGTCACTACCCTAAACTGCTATCCTTTATAGCATGGCTCCAATTGTGCTGCTTGGGCCGGATTCGAATCATGGCAGTGGACTGGAGGCCTGTTCACGCAGACCGTGATCTTCCGCAATTTTCTGTCAGCGTCCATGACTGTTAGAAACTGGCATCATCCCAAGCCTCACGCAAAAATGTAACCAAATACGTCAAACTTCGCCCCAAGGGACTTGGAGGGATTGGGGGCACAGCGTGCTTTGCGCCCAAATGGATATGTAGGTTTCCAGGTGTCCAAACATTGGCAATGGACCCCTAGGATGGCATTCCAAGCGTCTAGAAATCCGTTTTTGGGCACACCTAGAGCGAGATCAAAAAGCCGCCTGTCATTCCTACGGGTCCGTTGTGCTGGCAGTCCCCAACATTCTAGCTAGGGCTGGCTTTTGCCGACCGCAATGCGGAATCCACCCTCTCTATTAAGTGTCGAAACAACACTCAACCTTAGAACCAAATTTGACATGGAGCAAGCTGCCCTACGCAACTCTGCCGGAAGGCGGGAGCTCCGGCTGAGCCCTGGACACCATGTCAAAAAAGAGGCAGAGCATGCTGAGCATCGAAAACGCCTCAGTCATTCTTCCACCCCGAGTCTCCTCAGACCTGATACGCGTGCAACTATTTTTATGTATACACACACCTGTGTGTAGAATTGTTCGAATATACAGATATGTTCTATATATTCACACCAGTGTATAGAATACATATATATATATATATGTATATGTATGTATGTGTGTGTCTGTGCACCTCAGAGAGACCAACATGATGTATGAGGGTTTCTAGTGAGCGAGCCGGCGAGTGAATCGTGAGAGTTGAACAAACTTCTGAGAGGGAATCCGGGACTTTTTCAAGGTAATTTGTTTTGGGCTTGGTGTCCACAATTTCCCTACTACCTACTTGCTCAAACTCCAAATAGGCTCACCCCTTGTGTGAGTTTCGCATTTCACTCCACCCTTCCGACAGATATCAGGGAGAGTTCCTGCCCTTCCTTGCGCAATCCGCGAGCGGCGCGCCTTTAGCCTTTAGCTTGTCAACCATTATGCTGCACGAATCCGAGTTGGCAAGCCGACCGTGCTGATTCAATGCCAATCAACTCTTACTGCGTGTTTGCGAGCTTCCTTTGTCCAGCACTGCGTTGCAGACTGGCAGTAGTCGTCACTTTCGCAGCTCCGAAGTCCTTCGAAGTGGGCAGAACACTGAGGTCCAAGATGCAGCTGGTCGTTCGCGCCTTCCTTGCTCATGATGATGTTGGCTGGCGCGCCTGGGCTGGCTAGGTTGGCTGCGTTTCCTTCATCTCCGCGGTCTCCGGGCGAGCTCGGGCTGTGAGAAACATGCAAGGCCACATCTTCCATGTCCGAGTAGCTGATGGTCCTGCAGAACAAGTCAAAGCAAAAACCAAAGAACGGGCTCCCCTGCGCAACCAAACAGAGCTGGCGCGTCTGCGGCGCACTTTTGCAGGTGCGGGTTCGCAGGAATCAGCTGGGACGGCCTTCCAGCGAGGCCTACGAAGTGATCGGGGCGGGCATCGGGCTGCGTTCGCTTCCGCTTTCGCAATCTGGCAACTGAATTCTGTACTTTGCCTGCTTGAAACACCGCGCAAAACTCAGCCCCTCGCGCAGACATCTTGCAACCCTGCAGGGCGTCATGCTCCGTTGAAGTGCTTGCAAAGCATCTCAAAACCAGGTTGTTACGTCTTGGAAGACTTTCTCCGCTTCCTTATCCAGGCTTGTCTTGGGGCGAAAGAGGATGGCTGAAATCATAGCGCGCAACTCGGACAGACACACACACACACATGCGAAGTAGTGGCGGTGCCCAGCGAAAGCTTCCAAGCACAGGAGACGACTTTCCCAGCGCCGTTGCTGAAAGGAGGGCCGTCCAACCGGCGCCCTTCCAGTGAGCCGTGCATAAATCCCTCCCCCCTCCGGCAGCCAGGGACCAGCGGCAACACTCCCCAGGCCGTACCAGCCGAGCCCCGCCAAGCCCCGGGCTGGTTTGGCATCAAGATCTCGGCGCATGCGCCCGAGATTCAAACGCTCAACATTTTTCACGCACTAGTTAAAAACTGCGTGTGGCGCGCGCTACACCTAGCTTTGAGCGCGTGCCAGGCAGAACGCTCGGTGGGCTGCTACGGGCATTGCGATTCAACGCAAAATCCACGCGGGTGCATTCTTGGACAGCCAGCTGATGCCAGCTGACTTCAATTTAGCAACATCGCGCAGCGCTCGCATTGTGTCAGAGTCGCTGTCCACATGTGCCCTGCGCCATGTGTACGCACACACATACACACACACACACATACACACAGCAACGCGCGCTATGGTGCATACGCGCAGGCTGAGAAACACGCCTGCTTGTAGAGTAAACTAGCAAACTACCCAGCTGTCACATGCACTTGCACGCGCCGCCCTACAAAGAATGGGCGCCTGCGGCGACAAGCGCCGTTTCCAGAAGATACTGCATCCACTTGTGTTGTTGGCCCAAAACGCCAACAAGCGAACATGTCAACCTTAATGACAAGCCAAACATGTTTCAAAGCGAGAGGCGGCCTGCAAGGGATATCCGGACGCCGGCCCCTCTCTCTCTCTCTCTCTCTCTGTCTGTCTCTCGCTCTGTCTCCCTCCGTCTCTCTCTCTCTCTCTCTCTCTCTCCCTCCCTCCCTCCCTCCCTCCCTCCCTCCCTCTCTCCCTCTCTCCCTCTCTCACTCTTTCTCTTTTTTTCTCTCTCGCTCTCTCCCTCCCTCTTTGCACTTTGCAAACCACGTTTCTACGACTCCACCGCCGCACCCTTTTGTTTGCAGCGTGCGCTGTGTGGAGCCGTTGTCGTGGCTGCTGCAGTTCGGCCTGCAGACGCAGCAGCCACCGCTCACTTGCAAAGGCAGGCTTGCAGCAGCGTTGAATGAAAGCATTCACCATCATTCGCCCTCGCCACTTGCGCTTGCCGGGGACGTGCGGAACCCCGCAACAAGCTCTATGAACTTTCGCCGGTCTTTCGCGGATCTTTCGCCGCAAGGAAGTACGCGTTGCATGAATATAAATATATGTATATACATATGTATATATATATAGCACATATGTATTTATAACAAGTATAGTACACATAATATATATATATGATATATAATTCATATACATATACTTCTTGGGCACGACATTGTGTTTTGTGCCGGCCCCGGAAGGACATAAACACCATCGTAGTGCTGGCGAAGTCCTAACAAAGCTCGCTGTGAAGGTGGTTCTCATCTGAAGTCATGACTGATCGCGGTTGCGAAACAGGTCTAAACCAAACAGTCGCCAGTTCTATCTACTTGGGACAATTGAGAGGCACTGTTTGATTGCTTCAAAGATTCCAAGTAGAGAGCGAGGCAAGCACTGTACTTTCTATATGCATAGTTTGCTAACCTGCGATATTTTGGGAAACCAGCGCTCGGCAAAAAGGGAAGAGCCCGCTCCCGCGTGTCTGTTTGACGGGTTCCGGACGATTGTTTGGTTCCAAAGGCAAAGCCACCATTCCAGGGTCTCTACTCTTTGGGGACGAACCCATATAAAAATATAGGTCACCCGCAAAAATGGGGGGGGGTTCCATTTCGTACATGGTGGGTTTCCTCTACCAAACCGGGTCCGAACTCCCGTGCTCTCGTCGCCAGCGACCGCCAGCCATGGTTGCTCATGGGCTCCTGGCCAAGGCGTACCTCCCAGGCGGTGCCAAGCAGCAGCAACTCCCAAAGCCACTCCAAGGTTCCGAATCCTCTACATCATGTTGTTGTTTGGTTTCCAGATACTTCCATGTTGATCTGCAGAAAACTTTGCTTCACCTCTTCAAATATTTGTATATATATATATATATATACATATGGCCATGGCTCCAAATCCAAATCGGTTAGCCCCCAGTGAACATCCGATTCAATCCAACCACTCAAATAGGTTCTAAACTGGGTGGTGAATTCACCTACCCCAAAATGGGATCTTTTTGGTTTTGACCCATACCCAAATGTGGGCCCAGCATTTCTGAAGGGGTTCTCCATATGGGTGAATATTAGTTGGGAGGAATTTTGTGTCAAGCAACTAATTGGGAAATGTGCTCCCCATTAGTTTCAATGGCCGTATGGGGGTGTGTACACTTGTGTGCTTGCGTGTTTCTGTGTTTGTGTGCTTTTAAGAGTACGGGGTTAGCTTGAGGGGAAAACGGAAAAGCACATTTCGTTCACTCCTGCCATGACACGTACCCATATTACGTGTGGGGGGTGTTTCTTTAAGTCACCTCGCAGAGGGTAGTGTCACTTTAATGACTTTAATGACTTTAAGGATGCAGAGCCAGGATGCCATGAGGTTTTCTTACCCAAAGGGGTGAGGGGACAGATGAGGGGGATTCATGTCCAATACTTGACACGCTGAAGACTCCAAGCAGCCGCACGGAACGAGTCGCAAAATGATTCGTGAGTCTCACCCTTGTTGCAAAACTTCACAGTGAGTCGATATGTATACCCCAAAATGAGCGCTGTTCACAAAGAGAACCAAATGGAAACCAATTGGCTTCGCACAGGGGCTACCCAATCAGACACGCTTTCTCTGGGTAAAAGGCCAAATCTCCCCAAACGTGCAGGCAACCCTGTCACGCCGTCCTGGTTTGTTAAAATCATAATTGGGGCAACAAGCGGCTCTGTGCAAACATGAAAAGGCGACAGGGTTGCTCCTCCCTCCTGCGCAACAGGTCTAAGCTTTTGCAGGGTTGATGGAAAGAAAACTCATTGGCTTCCAAAAGGTATGAGAGGCCAACATCAATCTCCCTTAGGTCGCTTTGCCTCATATTGGAGCCCCAGGAGGTGCCAGCTCTGGTGGAAGTCGTGAACTTTCGTGAAGGGACAGTAGAATCCGTGAAAACGTGCTGGTTCTCAGCAGGGAATGAGGGAATGACTCCTTTAGAGTGATTCCCTACTGGGAACCAGCAGGAAGTTCCAGGTGGTACCTCGAGGGCTTGAAAAGGCATAATAATATCCCCATCGCCTTTCTGGAGAAATCACCGGATGGATGTATGAAGCCCCTAGAAGCTTGTTCTGACCGAAGCAGGTAAGCACCTTGGCCCAACGTTAGGTTCATCCCTCATCGCCAGTTCTGCTTCTAAAAACGGCCCACTTAGAGTTAACATTTATCCCTGAAGCCCAACGAAGCAACCATTGCGGATCTGACCCCGAGGGAAACTTCAAAGGGAACCAGCTACTAGATGATTTGAGTAGTGTTCGCCCCTAAACCTACATATTGACGAACGATTTGCGCGTCACGCTATGAGCCTCTGTCAATGTTTTTTTTTCCGACTTTGGCCTTCCATCCCTATACCATGCTGCATGATAATGGCATACATGTGTTTTCATGTTGATCCTCGTCTGTTTGGCAAATGTGGACAATGAGTTCGCTCAAAGCAGTGCCGCCGACTCAAATGCGTCTCTTGCAGTTCGCAAACAATCCTAGATCCTAGGGAACATGTTTTTCCACAAGTCGTGCGTTTAATCACTGGTAGCTTACTCCCCTGAGAAGTAGCAGGGTTTTCTTTAATATTTTTCTGCACATGGGTGGTGCTTGAGTTTCATGTAAAGCTTCCCTATTTTAGAAAGATACCCAATTAGGGACACATCTTGGGGACCCTACATGGGGATTCACGCCCACCATGTTTCAGGAGAGGGGATGATGTTGAACTCCGCCAGCTGTTGCAACAACCTCCCGTCGGTTCCTCTTCAAAAGAGGCAAGGGTCTAATTCTCACAAATTGTGAAGCCTTTGAACCCAAAAGCCCTAAACCCCCAAACCCCTAAACCCCGAAATCTTCTCAACAACCCCGACCCCCCATGCCGCCTCCCCTGAAGTTTCGACCGAAGCCGGCTGAAGGGTGTGACACAGGCATCGGGACCAGTGACTTCACTTGCCCTGCAAACCGAGTTCCCATGGAAACGGGCCCCAGCAACCACAGACCAGACTCGGCGGGTGGGCTCCCTTTTCGGGGATTAGGCTTCCAAACCTTCCAACCCCAACTGTCCAGCAAAACAACAAACACCACGGCGCACCTGTGCATCTCAGCCATCCCGTCTGTGATCATCATGCAGGCCAAGAAGAGCATCAGGGCTCGGGAGCGTGCCGAGCCCGAGCGCGGGCCGGGGTCGCGGAGCGGTTTTCGAGCTGAGTTGCCATAAAGAAATGCCCAGCTCCCGCATTCAAGGGGCCAACAAAATTGGAAAACAGAAATCACTAGAGTTGCCCACAAGAGAAAGGAGAAGTGGGTGTTAGGGAAATGAACAAGTTGGCTATTTAGTATCCGGGAAATACAAGGATTATTCTAGGTATAGCACAAACCGCCCATTGGAGCCACGATCGAAATCTATGCTCTTACCACAATGGACATGGGCAAATTGTGAGCTTCTTTGTGTCATTCCCTAATGAACCTGAAGGGCTTATACTCTTCTGAGTTGGTTGATTGACAAATCAAGTCTCTCACACACGAAACATAACAAACTTAGGCAACCAGACAAATGTGAGAAGGAGCCAAACACAGACGATACTCATTTCGCCCGCATGCGAAATGCTGTCCGGAAAAACAGCCTGTGAACTTCTGTCTCAAGGGCCTGTCCCAGGCCAGCATGAGGGGTCGAGACCCCCAACATGAGACTCAGCATCTGGAGCCTTCTTCGGCTCGCTCGCCTTTTCGTGGACAAAACGGCAGAAGCGAAACGGCAACACACACTGAACAAACGGGAGACACGTCAAGCACAAGCGGCTGTCCCTGAAGCTTCATGGCAGCGTTTCCAAGGCAACGCAAGCGACATGGAACTCATTGGGACATATGCTATTTCGAGCTTTATACACCCCTCATTCTGTACAACCAGGTAGCTGCCAACATGGCCGATTGGGGGGGGGGGGGGAATCGGGTTTGGACGCTGCTTAACTGAGGCCAACCTTTTAGGGCCCATGGGCAACTCTGGGCAACCCGCAATCAGCGTCCCTCCAATTCGTGGTTTGGTTTGGTGGTTGGCCCTCAACAAGAACCAGGGGTTCACCCAAACCACCAATCCAAACCACCAACTAAGGCTTACCTGACAAAAAAATATAAACAAACAAAGCAAGCAAACCACATCTAATGCCATGGTCGTGTGTGTCCGAATCTTTCCCCTAAAGGGCATGTGACAAAGGGACTGGTTTGTGCACACATATCATAAGCCAATGTCCCTCCCAAATGGAACCTCCTAGCCTTTTGTACGATTTGGACACACCTCAAACTGAGGGACCAACATGGTGGTTTCCCTTTGGCTTTCCATTTAACCTCACCCCATTTCCTCTACAGAGACACATCCGTTACCATGACGTCCGTGATGCAGGGCTCGCCTGTGAGCATGCCGCCGACCACATCGAGGGTGGTGAACTGAAAGATCGAGGTGACGCCAAGCAACACCTCGCTTCATGTGCCCTTTGGCCCATGATCTGAGGTGTTTGGGGGTGTCCTTCTTCTTTCAGCCTTTTTGGTTGGGGTTATTTCAAATAAAAGCCAGACTTGATGAGTCTGTGTGTGTGTCTGCAAAATTGTGTGTGGTTGTTTGTTTGTTCGTTCGTTCGCTTGATTGTTTGTTTGTTTGTTTGTTTGTTTGCTTTTGGTTTGTCTTTTTGTTTGTTTGTTTGTTTGTTTGATTGTTTGTTTTGTTTTGTTTGGTTTGTTTGGCTTGTTTGGTTTGTTTGGTTTGTTTGCTTGTTTGATTGTCTGATTGTTTGATTGTTTGTTTGATTGTTTGATTGTTTGATTGTTTGTTTGTTTGTTTGTTTGTTTGTGTGTTTTGCTTGCTTGCTTGCTTGCTTGCTTGCTTGCTTGCTTGCTTGCTTGCTTGCTTGCTTGCTTGCTTGCTTGCTTGCTTGCTTGCTTGCTTGCTTGCTTGCTTGCTTGCTTGCTTGCTTGCTTGCTTGCTTGCTTGCTTGCTTGCTTGCTTGCTTGCTTGCTTGCTTGCTTGCTTGCTTGCTTGCTTGCTTGCTTGCTTGCTTGCTTGCTTGCTTGCTTGCTTGCTTGCTTGCTTGCTTGCTTGCTTTGTTGTGTGTTTGTGTGTTTGAGTGTGTTTGTTTGTATGCAAGATGCGTGTGTGTGTTGTGTGTGTTGTGTGTTGTGTGTTGTGTGTGTGTTGTGTGTGTTGTGTGTGTTGTGTTGTGTGTGTGTGTGTGTTGTGTGTGTTGTGTTTGTGTTTGTGTGTGTGTGTTTGTGTGTGTGTGTGGGTGTGCCTGAAAAAGTCTGAAACCAGCTGCAAATAGGTGTACAACCAACTTGTCCGGCTGAATGCTTGCCTCAGGGTGAAGCATTATGATTCAGCAAGCCCTAATCAGGAGCGAAAGAACGTATGAAAGGGGCGACTTCATCAGTTGTCAGTTCGCAAACCCTTTCGCGAGGCCTCCGTACTTTGCCCAGAAAAGTGGAACTACTCTACTGTGTCCTCTTTTGATGGTACCCCTTTGTTGGTGGTTGTAAAGGGAAGCCAAAGGGAGACAACCATTTTGGGGGTCCCCTAAAAAAACAACTTACCCATATTGTAAGTATGACATACTCCTGAAAACGACCGAAAGCGACACATCTGAAAACTCGACGATACTTCCAACACTGAAACTAGGGATGCCCTGTTATTTGCGGCCTACATTGTGGTGAGTCCGTCTTACCAGCAGGTGAGGTTGCCGGTGCGGGCACCATTGAGCAACGGTCAGCTGGTAGCCATTCTGAACAGCTCGGTTGCTTTCTGCTCCCCTGCTAGAAGTTTAACTTTTAGTGGTTTGATGGAAACACCATGAGTTGGCGAAAAGTTAAAGTCCTAACATCCAAGCAAGATGCACCAAAGACAGGTTGACCATGCCCGACTCAGTGCCAAAGCTGATTGGTTTCTTGCGAGCAACAAAAAAGAGGCCTCTTGAGCAGCGACCAAAGCCCATTGGCGGGTCCTGCCAAAAGGGATAGGCTTATCTTGTTTCCATCCGCTAGGGCTTTTCCTCATTCCCAACGAAAGAGACATGGCCTGGTCGAAAATATGCCGTGCTCAATTTCGGAGTCTTTGCCTCAAGCTGATGGGAGATAGGGAGTTGTACGTGTGATTCGGATTCTAGTTTCATATAGTCTCTCTTCCTGAGTATGCCCCAAACAAGTCTAAACTTGCTGTTTGCAGACCAAATGAGTGTGGCTCAAAAACAAAGAGCTCGGGCTACGCAGGTTTTTGTCTTTGGTTCCATTTACCAAGGTGCCAAAAGTACCATGTCTTGAGCCACAGCCCAATGGCCTTCCCGAAAAGTACTTACAGTGCCAGGATGTCAGGGGGCGTGAACCGAGTCCGGACTCTGCTTTCTGGGGTGTCCGGCAATCAGGGAGGTCCACCAAGGCCGCTTCTCAAGCACGGCCTGCGGCCATCGGCGATGTGAGGCGCTTCCTTTGTAGCCCTCAGGACAGTTGGCCCGTCCTGTTTGGGTGCTCGCTGGTTTGGGTCTAGGAAAACCTTAGATACTCAGCTTCACACACATTTAAGTTTCAGCCGCTGAACTTGACCCCTTGCTCTGAACAAACGCGTTTCACGCGGCGATCAAAGCGACTTTTTGGGGGTCTGTCCGGGTAGGAGGGGGGGGGGAACTGGGGAAGCCAGAGACCCATTTCTGTGGTTCCCTTAAAAGGTCTCAAGGGTGGCGTTTTCGGGTTCTTGTTTGTTCGGGGAAACCGAAAGGGTTCCCCGTTGCCATGTTGGGGGCTCCCGCATTTCGTGAGACAAACGAACCTTATTAGCTACAGGGGTGCCAAAGCTTTGCAACGCCTCTCTTTGCGAAGCATGGCTCACCAAGCCAAAGGGAGCAGCTTTGGGAATCCTGCATTTCAGGTTGGACCCCTCAAAATTTAAAATGGTGTTCCCTTTGGTTTTCCTTCAGAGGCCACCCAAAAAGGGGGTCCCTCAAAGAAAGAGATATACAGATATACCCCTTTGGAGCACGGCCTTCATGCACACGAACACACATGTCAGTGCACACAGGTTGATGCATGCCCAATGTTGGTTGCTGACGCTGGTAAACAGTGTCTGGAAACCCACCATGTCCATCCCAAACGTGAATTTGCTAGAAGAGCCTATGTGACGAGGGGAGCACGCAAACGACCCGCTTGCTTCATAGTGGGTACTCAATGTATGGAGAGATGCTGGCAATCATTGCAAGTTCAAAATATACCAACTCAGATTTACTCTAGTATGTGTTTCGCTACACGCATAAGTTTCGTTTGGAGGCATCAGCTTCAGATTCAGAACGGCTTCTGCCGTGCGCAGGCTGCAGTTTGTTGACTCAGATTTTGGAGACATTGAGCTGTAACTATGCAAACAACATCGGGTTTTTGACCATTTATGCATAACACCAATGCTGTCCTAATTATCCCGTTCACTGCAAAGCATGGGCCAGAAATGACACATTGCAGAAAAGCCAGGGGAAAACACATGTGACTCAGCTTTCGCCTCCAGATTTTTAACAGCCTGTGACCTTTTTGGAGCCCGGTATGCCCCCAAGCTTCTATACGCTTCTCAGGGCGGTAATGTGAGGGGAAGTTCCCCTATCACAGTGGGAACCAGGCCTGATTCAGACACAAGCCCGGAGGGCGCTGCAAGAAGCTTTCCCTTGTCTCAGTGATCCGGCTAACATTCTAGTAGGAGTGACCTAGAGGTAAGAAACAATGGTTTCCTATAGAGGTAACTGCAGCCACGGGTTCCCATTCAAAAATGTCCCCAAAAAGGACCCCAGTTTTGAGACTCACACGCATATGCGGACACACAAGCACACACACCAGACACGAAGACCACAAGCAAGCAAACAAGCAAACAAACAGCCAATAAGCAGGCCACTGAGCCCAACCTAACAACCAACCAACAACTGCAAGAAACATCAAGAAACAAATCCTTCCATTTGCTCAAGTCCCTTTAACACCAACAGGAAATCTAACCATATTCTTATTACCCCCCCCTCCCAATAATTGAGTTTTCCCATGTCCAAAATTATTGGAAGCAAATGGGCGTCTTTTTCGATGGTACCGATTCTTTGTTGGCGTGGACATCTGAGGAAAAGCAAAGGGACCACCGAAGCCATTCTAGGGGGCTCCAGCCCAAAAACCAGCATACCCTCCCACCAATTAATTCACCTGGAACCATTCTCCAGGGGAGTCCTGGTTTTGACATCATTTTTTTTTGACCCTTCTCCTTTCCAAGGCCGAACCCAAAGGGATCTGTGGACACGCGGATGGGAGCGAGTAACAGTCGGCTCGCATACCCAAACAAAAGTACGGTTGGCTCCTCAGATCCCCAAGGGATCTGTCAGGTCCCACCGTTGCACAGGGCCCCAAGTCGAGCCGAAAACTTCCTTAGCGTCGCTCGCGTCGCCTGCGGCGGTGGCCCCCGCGGCACGCCCACCGCCAGGTCGGCGAGCATGGGGCCGGGCCTCGGAGCCCAGCCGCTGCTGGAAATGGGGGTCGCTTTTCTTAGGTTTTTTCTGGGCCCCCCCCAAAAAAAAGTGAGTGGTTGTCCCTTTAAATGTTGGTTTCCCTGGAAAACCACCTAAAAATATGAGAAACCCTCGAAACAAAGCTGAGCGCCAAACTAGACCAATCCAAGCCAGCGATGAATCTTGCTCTTATCAGGTGGGCGTTTGACTCCCTTGCTCTTGAAAAGGCGGCATAACCGGTAAAACCAAAGCACACCTCGACCTAAACTTCCACAAAACTCAAAGTAAAACCCCAAGTGTCGCATGTCCTCTGTCGAGAAACACTTGTATGTTTTTGTCCAGGGCTCATGCTGTTGGACAAATCCGCTCCACGCCATCTGGGATGAAGGAAGCTCAGTGAATATTGGGACAAGCCACAAATAAAATACCGCCTGGCAAATTATGACGAGTGACCGTGCTGGGTCGTGGTCAACACATGCTGCGGAAGCGGGCATGGGAAAATTAGGGTTCAGCCCCTCGTTGTTCTGCTTAACATTTGGAAAGTATCCCACGCCCAAACCACTGACTAGTACAATCTCGAACGAGCCTCATTTGAGTCATGCTCAAAGTCTGTTTTTGAGGGAGTTTACCAAAAACACATAAGTACATGTTCTTCAACATTTAGGGCTTGTCTCAAAAGCAAAAAAGCCCAAAACTGGTGGTTCCCTTTGTCCCCCTTTTATAAGGTACTCTCTCAAAGAAGGACGCACCCAGCACATGATACGCACATGGCCCCGGGCAGCCACCTCCATTCGTGGAGACCTGGCGAGCGATTGCCACGCCCTCTCATAGCGACCGATGAGGCGTGTCCTGGGGGGGAATAGGGCTCCTTTTTGCAGGGCTCCCTATATTTCCCCTTAAAACATCACCCCCACCAAGGGACACTCACCTTTCATGGGCCAAAAAGGTCATAAAACCACCAAAAAGGGAAATATAGGGACCCCTGTTTTGGGTGGATGCTTTGCGGCTCCAATTCGTGTCTGGGTTCTTGACGAGCATGATATGTTGCAGCTTACAGTTGAATCAAGATGCCACAATGTGCCCTTCTATCCCTTACCCGAGCGCAAGGAAACCAACTGCATGCAAAAGCAAAGCACTGGTAAGAAGCAGACAATCACTGGGTTGCCCTTGTCCCCTATTTGCACTATTTAGGGCAACCGTACCTCAGCTTTTGCTCCCCAACTAAAAATTGTCACGTATTTCGGAAGGAGATCAACTTGCCGCTTCTATATTTAGCCAACCTTGACATGTAAACCAACACTGGTGCTTCGCTTATCCCACAAACACGCATGGAACCGCAGGAGTCCGGAATGGTCGGACCCAGAAACGTTTGTTTCTGGGAGGATGTTGGTTTGGAGGTGGGGTGAACCTCAATTCACTCTACGGTAGTCATAGCCATGGAGGTCGAATCATGCCACGAATCGAACTCATCAACTCAGGGCTACTCTCCGTTTTTCTTCATGGAATCGCCTTCTCCAATGTGAACAAACATGAAACTGCTTGCGTGCTGCAGCCACTCGACATGAACAAAGCCAGAAAGGCCAAGACAAAAGTTGCACGTCTGTGTCAAAATAGAGGGACCCCTAAAAACCGTGTGTTTCCTCTGGGTGTCATACTAGAACCGACCAAACAGATCCAACAAGGGGGTCTCAAAAACGCGGCCATCCAAAAGGAGGGGGACTTCCCGAACCCGTCGGTTGTTGGGCGCGGATAGGGAAGGTCCTGTCCCCGAGTTTGACACAAACCATTTAGTTTTTTGAGGATACTTTTAAACAACAAAAACCTTTACCCAGACCCCTTTTTAAGCAACAAAACACCTTTTGCACAACCCCCCCCCCCTTTTTTTACACATCCCGCTTACACAACCTTTCTTTGGTTTTTGAGACAACCCCCACCCCCACCTCCCACACCCCACCCCCCCACCCCTCGCACAAGCCTTGCCTGGCAGGCGAGGGGTTGCGCCCGCCTTTTGAGCCGCCAGCTCTCCGATTCGGCCAACGTCCCCAATTCCAGAGTCCATTTCCCATAGCGCAAATGATTCGGGTGCGTCACGTTGCGTCTTATTGGGGGGAACCCTCTTTTGGTCTTAAAGGGGGAACCTTCTTTAGGAAATCCGAGCTGCCACTTTGGAGGGTCAGCTAAAACAAGAATTTCCCCAAACGGGGAGCAAACTCCTTGGTTTAAGTACACCTTCCTTCCGCCTGCTTTTTGGGTCCCTATATTTCCCTTGGATGGTTTGGGCAGCTTGGGCCACTTGAAGTGAGCTTCAAGTTACAAGGTGATTTCTCCATCGCGAAGTAGTGGGACTCACCCACCAAAAAGCCCCACGAGGAACCAATTGGAACGCCTCTCCCCGACACTTTCCCCAATTCCTCTCCCTTGTGCTCCCTGCACCCAAAATGATCCTTACCCCCAGGCCCGGGCATCTTGCGCGGGACACTGATCATCCCTTCCCAACCTGTGTGTGTCCACAGCGTTCGGGGGGGGGGGGCATCTTCCCTCGCCACGCACCACCTTTGGCACAACTCTCCTCCCAAAGGACCCCCGAACCTGCGCATTTCTCTGGCGCCTCGCCCGTCACACGCGGTCCAGTTTTGGAGCGCGGGTTCGAAGGCAAAGCGACGCGAGCTCCCGTCGACAGCCCGGCCCCTGGGACATACGAGGGCGCCGGGCCCCTAGTTTTACATTATGCTCCATTTACCCAAGGGAAACCATGAGAATCCTATTAAAAAAACAAGGCCCCCCTAATCAATGTGGCCACCCTTTACACATTAACTTGGGATTGGGGATGCAGCATTGCTGCAGCAAAGGTCAGAGGATGCCAGGATAATAAGGGAATTGACTGTCAAGCTTCTCACCATCGCACCAAGCATGGGGAATTCCTTGGTCCGTGTGAATAAGGAGGTCGACAGGTTGGCCTCGGGAAAAAGGGTCTCCTTTCAAACACTTGGGCCTGTCTCATCTTAAGGCAACCCTTAAAATCACGCTTGGCCTGTTGGAATCCCTTGAAAGCCACCCAACAAGGGTATCCCCAAATACATCTATACTTGGCAAATGTTTGCCTCATCCTTGGACCTACTTCGACAGGAGTCAAGCGTTCGAGTGGCCTGAGTCTCCGACTCAAGCCCTTCGAGGTGAGCACGGATGACAATTCTCAGAGCTGTCAGACGCCAAACCCTTGAACCAAAGTACCGAAACATCCAGAAACACGACAGAAACATGCAAGTTCACACCAGAAACATCCTAACCCCCCCCCCCCGCAACATCCAACTCGCGAACTAAACAACAATTCAACTTCTTCGCTGTTGTTTTTTGTTCCGCCTGGCCATGCCAAGGACAGCCCGCATTCCGCAGGGCTCAGTGGTGCTTGACCAGAAAGTGCACCTCCTGAGAAACCGGTCTCAGTGGTCACTTGCCATGGGGAAAGGGCACACGGCGGTTCTCTGTTTTAAGTTGTTTTCTGTCAGCGGCCCAGGCTTCCCACAAAGAACAAAAGTGCTTTCAAAGTGTTTCCGTTGGCAAGGGTAGAATCTGCCGGGGCAACTGGGAGAGAACCTGAATGGCGCTGTTTGCTAAGTACAAGTAATGGGCTTCTCCAAGAAGTTCGACGATGCGCATGGTGGGTCTTTCACCTCGTCAGCACCTTACAAAAGGTCCCCCATTTCAGACACTCCCATTTGGGTGTGAGTCTTTTGGGGCCCTCCAAAAACGGGAGGGGGTCCTCTTGGTTTCCCTTTAAACTCTAGGTGCAAAGGATACGCCTCTCCCAAAACTTGCACTGGTGCTCCGCAGGGACTGAGGGAATGACATATATAATCCATCCTTCGTAGTTTCTTTCAAGGGAATCCCTAGGTTCATTCCCAACACCCGGAAGGGTCACTCCCTACCTATCGCACCAGCCAGAAAAGGCGCCCCACTCTCCCCCTGCCGCCAAAGCCACCGGCGAGATAGAGCCTGGGGTGGCCGCGGACAGGCGGTTCTCGTACTGGATGCGCTGGGCGTTCCGCCGGTCGGCGCCTGAGACATTTGGGCGCCGGCTTTGGGCTTTGGGCACCGTGGGCTCTAGGCGTCTGATTTTTCGTTTTGCTGGAGGAAGGAACACATGTTTTAAACATGGGCTTCGGGCCGGGTGTTGGTTTTCGTTCTGCTGGAGGAAGAACCCATGTTTGTTTAACCCGGGTTGCGCTATGCACATGAGCAGCCCCCGCTTTGCTTTCCCTGCGAAACCAACCGAAAGGGACGTCTTAATGGGCTCAGAAATTCATGGGGGCGCAACGAGCTGCAAAACCTGAATCTTAGTCAGGACCAGGACAATAACAAACATAACGTGGCCAATGCATGGTGCGTCTCAAATTTTGGGACCTGTCCCCTTTTAAAACCAACCAAAGGGCCCAAACAAAGGTTGGGCTTGGCACGTGGGGAAGGAATCTCTCCAACGTCTGGCAACAACGTTTACCGCCCGTCTCTTGAACAAAAATAATGCCATGGACCACGCCCAAACACTGGGGATGGCCTTCGGCCGAAGACTAGCTATCAAAGTCACCCCTGAAGTGGTAGGTTAAAGGGATAAAGGAACAACCCCTTGGTTTCTGACTTCGATCACCCCTAACACTCAACATCATGACCCCAGGAAGACCAAAAAACGGGGGAGGCGGCAACAGCCACCGTTGGCCCTCTGGGCCGCTGAGAGAGGCCGAGGCTCGTTTCAGATCGGTGGACCACTTTGGGTCCACCGCCTTCTGCACCGGCACCTGGCACTGGGCGTTGTAGGTGGTAGTCCTTGGATCTCATGGGATCAACAGAAATCCACTAGACCCAGTGGACTTCCATGAAACGAACGAGCAGCGCCCCATTCCTTTTTGTTTAGGCCCCTTTTGGGTTTGTCCATTTTGGGGGGAAGCCCTTTCAAAGGTTGCTGGGAGGCCAAAAGGAAAACAAGACTGTTCAACGGTTAGGGGAATTTTGAGACAAACCCGCATGTGATCGGGCTGCAATCCCAGACCCCCCCCCCCCCAACGCCCCCCAACAGTCTATGGGCATCCCTATTTGGCACGCATTGGTCAAATTTAAAGGAAGACCCCCTTCCTGGAAAAAAATGGACAGTGGGTGTCTCAGAAATGGATTGATTCCACTGCCGGTTCCCTTGGGACTAAGTTGGGATAATATACGACCACTACATGGCCACTATCCTTAGGGGACCCTTCAAAAAGGCGGATGTTCGTTTTGGCCTCCCTTTTCAAAAACACAACACAAAAGGGGCTCCCACCAAAAACACACACCTACAAAAGTTGTTTGTATGGCGCAATTAGTGGTTTGAGGTTGAGGGCGGATCAAGATCATCCGTCTTAGATATGGCCATGCGTCAAAATCCGTACCCTCAGTGAACATCCCAATCCCCACTCAAATAGACTGAAATGGGTGGTGCACCTACCCCAGAATGGTACTATTGGTTTTGAGCCACACCCATATGTTCTCGTTACAAGCATCACAATTCAACACACAAATGCAGGTAACCAAAAACAACGAGTACAAGATTTGGTCAAGAATCCCCATGGGCACATCTGAGCGCTTCTTGCTTTGGATTTGTACCTCTGCCGAGGTTGTTTGACGTTGAATGGTGGGAACGCTTCCCGCTTGGGAGACAAACCTGTATGGCTATGCTTCAAACTAGGGGGGCCCAACAATAACTCGGTGATTTCCTTTTGGTGTCCCTTTGCAACCAACCAAAAGGTGCAACCACCCTCAAACCCTCAAGAAACACATACACACACACCCATCCGTGGCAAATTGCAACTATTCCCAAGCCGCAAACAAGGGGAACGGGTGAGCTCATTTTTGTTTTACCCCTAGGCGAGCTCGCTATAATTTGCCCAGACTTGTTACGAATGTGCGATATTACAATATGTCCTAGGCTGCCCGATTTTCTTTTCTCATCCCTTCAGAAACCACCCATTTTTCCCTGCAACAAAACGTAGCTCACTTCTCAAAATAGGGTCCCCTCGCAATGGTGGTCCTTTGCCCTTTGAACACCAACATAAAAAGGGCTCCATTCTCAAAAACATCCATCGTCTGCCTTGAAAGCTCCAAAAATGAGTTGGTCTTCCTTTTGCTCTCCACGACAAAAAACAAGGTGGAAAAGGGTACCTGCCTCAAAACAACGAGCACTCCACAACAAGGTGTGCCATAAAATAAGGGAACCCACACAACGAGGATGGCGGTGGTCCTGTCGGTTTTCTTTTAAACCGGTGCGTCTTGTTCTGAGGACACCACCACTTTGTGGCTTTAAAGGGACACCAAAAGGGAAAACCCATCATGTTGGGGGGGGGGTCCGATTCCAAACTATCCTCAGGTCCCCCGCTGACATCCCCTCTAAACACCAAAAAGCTTTAAAAAAGAGCTAAGGAACCGGATGGCTGTGAGCCGGCAAGCAAAAAGAAGATACACCCAAACCTCAAACACCCCAGCTGTTCAGTCACCCTGGAAAAAAAGGGAACCTTTTTTGGGAAAGACCATTTTAGTGGGGCAGCCACCAAAAAAAGGGGAAACAGAATCGGTGCCACTGAACAACTGCGACACGGCACCCCCGCCCAAACCGCGGCGCAGCTGGGCTGGGAGCCCCATGTTCAGCGCGCTGCGCCGCAAGGCCGCCGCGCCGTCGCCCCCGACCTGGGCCTCGCCCCAAAGCTGAACTGAGAGGGTGAAGAGGGGCGAAATAGAACTTGGGTGCTGTAGATCCCCCAGGAAAAACTTTGACTTTTTGCTGGTTAAAAGGAAATATAAAGGGAATCCAAAAAGTTAAAGTCTAAAGGTCCAACCTTTAAGCGGTAGAAAGAAGGGGAAAGAGAGGGGAAAGAGAGGACAAAGATAGACAAAAAATACAGATACTATTTGTTCGAAGAAAAAGAAGAAGAAACAAAACGAATGGAGATACGAAATAGCAAGGAACGAGAAGGTCCCCCCAACCTTAGCCTGCCGAAAAAGGAAACTCATCTTCCACTTTGGAAAAAGCCCCAAGCTATTTCCAGTGATAGATCCCCTTTAAAGCCAACAAGAGAAAAACAAACAACCTGTTCTTAAGGAAATGGAAACGCATGGCGCGAAAATTCCAAAAATGTTTTGCCCGGTAGCTGGCGCGATCTGGCTGGTGCATGGAAACCTCCCGAGCGTTTTGCAAACGTCCAACCAATAACCAGTCACATAGATCCTCTTTGAACATCACACAACCAAAAGGAGACTCACGTTAAACTGGCCCAAACGAGATATTTGAACCAAGCCCATGGCAAAACACACTGTGGGTGGACAACACCCTGCGCCCGGGAACCCCCTGTCCCCGTGTGGTCAACGAAGTGAGGGTAAGCCCATCAGTGCGTGTGAAAATAGGCGGACCCCAAAACGGTGATTTCCTTTTGGTTCCATTTGCGGACGGGCCTGCTGCAGGAAACTCAAAAAACTGAAGACCCACGAATGGCGAAAACGCAAAAAGGTTTGGAGCTTCCCCGATCTGCAGCCTCCAAATTTGCATTTCGTCCCCCGCCTTCTTGCGCGCGGAGCCAAAGTCCGAGTCCCGGGAGTCCTGAATCGGCGCTCCGAACTCGGAGGGTTCCTCTGACAGCTTGGAACTGTCTCGCGGCTTCATTAGTTTACCATCCTGGAGATTCATTCTCCGGCCTTTTCCTAGGCGTTTTAGTTTCCTGGTAGTTTTGGGGTGGGTGAATCTCCAGGATGATCAAAGTCAACCTCTAAGTGGTGGGTTAAAGGGGAATAACCTCTAATGACCCCAGCTGCTTGACCCAAACTCTAAGGGTTCCTTTTCGAGAACGGGAACTCCGTCTCGTGATGCGGATCGATCGATCCCTTCAGCGACCTGCTCCCAAGCCAGTTTTGCCGGAAGACAACCTCTAAGCTAGCCTAAGGCTCGTGACCCCTACGCACCACCCGCACCAGGGAGAACCCGAACCCAAGCCTTCAGCCCTTGGACCCACCAACGGGAGCCGGGCCATGCTCAATTCCTCACCTGAAAGGACCTCAGATCTCAGCGCTAGTTTTTGAACATGGAACGGATCCTGACTAGACCAACATGATGACATGTAGCTGTGGGTCAAAAATAGGGTAACCCCAAAAAGGAACCCTGGTAAATGGAACCAGGGACTAAAACCTGCGGCCCCCTTGTGATTTAATTTGTCCCACGCCCATGTCGGTTCTCGCAGGCCCTATACGACTGCATGGGACCTCACAGGAACAAGACGATAGCGAATACCGGCACACGCAATGTGAGCGCATCCGACTGCGAAGGATGATTCACAGAAAATAGTCCTCTTGCCACCTTGGGACAGGGAACATTCTACGTGTTTGCTCTGATTTGTTTTTGTTTGTATGTTGTTGTTGTTGTTGTTGTTTGTTTGCTTTTTTTTGGGGGAGGGGGTTATAGTTTGGATTGTTGAAGGATCGCCCTGGCTGCATGCCGAAACAAAAGAAATGTTGGATTGCCGCCATCTGTTCATTTGCCAGTCATCACTTGCGTATGAGTTTAACTGCGGGGCCCGCGGGCAGCATTTTGGGGCTTCAATGGGCTTCATGTGCATCAGGTTGTAGACTGCCTCGAAAGATTCAGAGGAAAGTAACCAGCTGGCTTCCTCCCCAGAAAGTACGTCAGGCCGTCGCGAGCGAACCTTTTTTGATCCGGGATCACAGTGCCCAGCTTCTGGACGATTGAAGGGAATGAGACATCGTCTCCGAAGCCCCGTGGATTTCCATGGGGCAAAAAGGAACATGCTTCCCAGAAAACAGGCAGAAAGGGTGGGAATCCACTGGGCAACGTCGTGAATCCAAGTTCGTAGAACCCTCTTAAAAGGGATCCTTCGAAAATATCTAAGACACTTTTGAAAGGGGATATCAAATATACGTGACTTCATAAGGGGGCCCCAAACATGGATTTTGTTTTTTCTTTGGGTTTTCCTTTAAACCAACCCAACAAGGGCAGCAACGCAAACACATCCCCATGATTCATGGCCATAGTGCATTTTTGTTGCTTCTGAGGAATGCCCTCCCCAGCGAATCCCGGCTCCTTCCGTTCCTTGAGCAGCGGTAAGGAAGTGGAGGGTCTCATCTCCCTCGCCTGGGGTTGTCCATCTGAGACCGTGAATTCAGCCAACTAAAAGGTCTACATTCCCAGAACCCCATGGGGCACTGGTTGCCACTGGTCTATGTTGAGTGGTACAACTAAGGGGTATTCAAGTTGCCAACATTCCCATTCAGGAAATGCAGGGGAGCGGTCTCGAGTTCCTTGCCAATGCGAGCCAGGCTTTCGCCAATTCAGGTCCGTCGGAGGTCGCCTAGGGACTTAGCTCCTTTGGCGGTCGGAATTCGGGGAATGAACGTTGTTTTGGCGGAATCTGCCCCAGAGAAAACTCCTTCAACTCAAATCTGATGCTTCAAACTCAAAGAGGGGAATATCATACTAGAAATGCGTAGGCGTTATTTTCTTTGAGTTTGATATCCCAAAACAAATATGAAACCTTGCTTTTGTTGCCCAGACAAATACTACGCAGGCGTAAACAATTCGAATGGTGTCGTGGGTTTGTGCGGCCATTCATTTTCCAATTGAAACATGACCATACGAGCACCATGTTGGTTTGATTCAGGCCCTGATAGTCAAGCAAAATCAAGCTCAACTCACCGACCAATAGGAAAGCGGCGGGCTGTGTCTGGCATGCAATCGAACGACCGGTGCATTGTGACCGCCGCGGTTGGGGTGCCTCTCGGGCTTCAGCTGGCTGAATGTAATGCTCGCGTTGCCCTGCGTTCGCCTTCGTGGCTTTTGGCCATCGCAACGGAGAGCAGCCCTTTCCCCGCAAGGCCCGAAAAACGCCCCTCGTGTACGTCCCCTCAAGTTGACACTGGCGAAGCGTCCGCCACTTCGAGGGCCAATGTAGCAGTGGAGCTACGACATTTGTTTGTTTTTACCTTCGCTAAACAAACAAAAAGACGTGTTTCTGTTTTGCTTTAAATAAAGAAAAACCATGGTTTTCACTTAAACAAATGCTTGTCTGTTGCAGTTTAAGGAAATTCGCCCGCCATATTATGAAGACCCCATCCACCCGACCTCTTGCCTCCAAGAGCAGCTTGCTGCGGTCCGTACCCTGCAACTCCTTGACGTCCCGTATCTCAGCAAAGGGGAGATATGGCGCTGGCTCAAAAATGGTACCCCAAAAATGGTACCTTGGTATAAGGAAACAAAGACTAAAACCTGCATATTGGTTTTGGCTGGACGCCTCAATCCTGTGCAAAAGTTCAACTGGGCGTGTCATCTTTGGAGTTGGTGCCCCAATTTTGCTTTGGGTTTAAAAGGACACCTCAAGAACAACCACCAATTTTTTTTTTGGGGGGGGGCGTCCGTCCAACCCAGCCAAAAACACACACCCCACTGTTTGCTCCCGCATGGGAAGCTCATGAGGCCTGGGGCTAAATCACCCAAGGACTCATTGTTCCGTGTAGCGGGGAAACAACATCCTCGTGCCCCAAATTTCAACCGCAGCCAAGATGGGGCCATGTGTTTTCACCCATTTTGGGGGTGTGCAGGAAAGGGACGCCCAAGAAACCGATGAGATGGCGGGTGAACTTGTAATAATTCAACCTGAAGTAAGGGACACGCAAGTAATGGGTGCCGATGGGTGAGGTCGCTACCAGTTGCCCTTGCACCTTTGGATTAATCGTAAGTACCGCATGCGGTAAGTCAGATTTGTTGGTTTGACAGCATGATGGTTTATGTCGACGGATTGATGAACTCCTAGTTGAGCATGAGGGGGACGTCCCACTTAAGATGGACACCTCCGCGTTTGGGGGCAGCACCATAATCCGCCAGGTTGATTAATCCAAGGCTGACATGACTACTCGAAGGCAGGGGCGTCTTGGATCAAACATCCACAGGCAAGTTGGTTCGATTGGTGCTGCTCTTTCTTGAGTTGACCCACTGATGCGCCTCCCCCCCCTCGGCATCTCTGTGGAATTTGGCGGATCAACAGGGGTACCCTCCGCCCCCCACGAAGTGAACGCGTCCCTCCACAAATTGGACACCATCAAAATTTAAAAGAGGGCCTGGGGCCTCTCAATTCTTGGTGAAGGCAAAGAAGTCTGCAACAAAAAGGAGAGGAGGACCAATGTCTTCAAGGGAGTGTCAGCAAAAAAACGCCCCGCCTTCGCCTTCCATGCGACATGTACTGGAAGAGACGTTTGACGTGCGCGATAATGGACGCAACGACTGGCACGCATCTTGGCAGGCTTGTCCCTGTTGCAACTTGTTTGGTGAAAAATGCCAGCGTTGGACGGACGCATTGAAGGTTCCCATAAAGCACAGCAGTCTCTAAAGCAAAGCACTAGTTTGTCTCGTCTCAAAATTGGGAACCCCCCAAACTGGGTGGTTTCCTCTTGGTTTCCCTTTATAACAACCCCAACAGTGTACCCAAAGATCAAGCTCCGTTCCGCGAGCGCTCGCTCTATGCCCCCCGCCACGATGTGGGCGTCAACGATGGGCCTGAGTGCAAAACTTCTTCAGGTGTCCGGCCCTTGAGGCCTTCCGATGGTTTTCCTCAAGAGCCGGGGACCCAAACCAATCCAACCATTGGTGCTACCCAGGGATTCCACACGGGATATCAAAAGACCACTGACTACTGACAGGTGTCCTTTCAGTTCCGAAGCTGACATGAGGCCAAAAAAGAAACACGGTGTTCACGCTCTTATCCTTCGCGTTGCAAATGCGTTGAATTCCAAGCGGCGGTCTTCTTAAAAGTTGTGTGCTCTAGTTGGGGCCTCAAAATTGGAACCTGACACGTTGCCGCTGTGTAAGCATGCGCGCCTGGGAGCTCATAAGCATGCAGCATGGGCAGTCATGGGATTCCCCTCTTTTGCAATGGTAAGTGTCATCTCTGGGCCTTCATCTTGCTCCGTAACTCTTGTTCCAATCACATCCTGCCGAACACTGAGGCTCAATCCGCGAAGCTTTCTGAGGCAACGGTTTCTCAACGAAAAATCTGGCACAAGCTTCAAGCTCTCCCTCCAACCAGTGCATATGATCCTGTTTGGGTGCCTGGCGACCAGAGAATGAACGGCGTCCCCGGCAGCGAGGCCGGCGTGCCTGCGCAAAGGCAGACAACAACTGATTTTATGAGTTTTCGGATTTTGTGGAACGCGTCAAGGCACAGCAACTCATCAAAAAGGCTCCAAAAAGGCCCTCTTTGAGGTCCAAAACCTTCCAATCGAGGTCCTAACCCCTTCAATGAAGGGTCCAATGATGCTTAGGGTAGCGTTTCAACAAAACTCCTTAAGTTGTTCTCCCTTGAGACTCGGGGCCATGATCTGTGCATGGGCTGCGCTTCCTGAAAGAGAGCAAAAGGTCTTCCAAAACCGAAATCTGTCTTTTTACCCTTTGGTGCTTTGGGGCTACCTCCTTTTGGCTTGCCTGTAACGCATGCCTGAAACCGCCTGAAACCGCCTGAAATCCAAACCCCCCCAATGGCGTCCCCCGTTAAAGGGCTCTCTGATAAACAGCTAGGCGATCATACCCACTTCTCTGCGCCACAACGCATTTACCACAAAGCATGCGTAATCATGGCGCAACATGCCCACCACGTTTTCTGGCATCCCTCCATGAGCCCCTCTCTCTTGCTGCAAACATGGTTGGTGCGCAGCTGCGCGGAACGAAGCGGAGGGTGGCACCAGCTGAGCCACTCCTTCACTGATGGTCGAAGCTCCGTGGAGTCCGCAGAACCGATTGCCAAGCGCGCCCGAGCACGAATCGCTTGGATCTTGTGACAGGCTTGGCAGAATAGGGGTCCTTTTTTGGAGGGGAAGCCAAAAGGAAGCCAAAGCACCTGGTGAGGGGTCCCTAATTTGGAGCGCTTGGCTAAAGGGGCACGGTTCTGACCAACAACAGCTGTCACCCCTTTGCTAACGAAGCCATGGCGTTTAATGCTCGAAACTCGGAATTGCAACTTCTGTACAATAACCCACAAAGTTGATCCAGCTTCAAAAGAACGAGATTATGTGGTACCCTTTTTTCAGCAGTGTTACCCTATAGTTGGCGCGGTTACCTCACCATCTGTCAAAATCCAATAGTTGGCAAAAGTTAAAGTCCTAACCTCCAAGCAAATGCTCCAAAGTGACATACACGGGGGGCCCAACAAATCCCTTTTCGGGCCCGCCTGGCGCTTTTGGGCTTGGTGCAAGCGGCGTCGCCGGTGGAATCGCCGGAGAGGCGCCGCGCGAGACCCGCAGGCCAAGACCCTTCTCGCTCATCGAGTCCTCGCAGAAAAAAAAAAAAAAAAACGTCCATGGACCGCGGAAAGTCAAAACTGGGCTGCCCTCGGATCCCCCGCTAAAAGTTTAACTTTTAGTGGGTCACATGGAAACTACCACTAGACACTAAAAGGCTAAAGCTAAAAGGCTAAGGGGATGGCTGGGAGCCACCAAGAAAACAGGCCCTTCCTTGTGGCTTCTGGGAAATTGGGGCTCCCTTGTTCCTGGACCGCGGAAGTTTGATCTTTTGGGGGGATCCGGAATCCGTATGATGGACACATAGTCTGGGTTGCACCCGGCTTGTTCGAGGTGAGTACGTGGCTAATTGGGACCCCCCCAAAAAAAAGGAAATATTTCTGGGGAAGTTTAGGGGAACACGGGCAGAGGTTTTGATGGGGCGGGACATTTGGAGAGCCAAAACGTCGGGTTTATCCTTTCCAGATATGGGCGTGTTTTGTAGGGGAAGCCCCAAAAGGGAGGTTTTCCTTTGTCTCAATGTATTACACCAAAACTGCGGGTAAAGGAGTTCCCTTTTTAGGCTCCCCCCAAACAACAATGGTGTTCCTTGTGCTTTCCCTTTACAATCGAACACGCCGTACACCTGAGGCAAGAATTGCATCCCGTGCGGAACTCGCTCATGTTACCCCCCCGGATCGGAATCGCTCGAAACCCCATGGTCACTTGCCCCTTCTTTTGCCATGCGATGCTCGAGGTAGAGCTGATCGCTACCCTGCCGCGTCCATGCCATGACCAGTGCCGCTGGCCAGAGCTTTTGGCTGTGCAAATAGACAGAGAAGAAACACAGTATTTTCTGAGGGCAGCTCGGCCTTTTGCATTCTCTATTCAGCGACACCTTGGATGACAAATTCAACGACAGCGCAGCAACGCTGGATTCTTGTTGGCTCTGCCCTTTTGCTGCTCTCATCTTCTTGTTTGGAAGGGAGCAGCCCTGAGCCGCGCCTTTTCGGCGAACATGATTATTTGCTCTTGGTTGCTGCCAGTGTGCTCTGGGCTTTCCTACTCGCCTGAGGTGTTCATGTCGGGATATATTGGTTTGTGATTGCAAAAGGACTTCTCTCATGGGGTCGGAGTTGGTGGCTCGAAGAATGTGCCCAAGCAGTGTGAGCCCAAGCAGTGGTAGCTTACGAGCTGTCCATCTTGTTGAAAGGCTTAGGTGCGTGCAGTTATGGGCCTGCGTCAGCGTGTTATTTTTTTCTTTGGTTTGTCCATGCGCGATCCAGATGCGTGAGCGGTACCTGCAATATTTGCCCAAGCATCTTATGTTGCCAAGCTTCAAGCCTGCTCTGCTCAATTTAGCTGTATAGTTTCTAGACCATATAACAGTTTGCTTATGACAAATACTATCTAGATTCCGAACCTTCCAAGCGATTGTGATTCAGGCGGCTTGTGACAAACAATACTCCTTTGATTTGCAGTTGCTGTAGCTTCTCCGATTCTCTTGAGAACTTCTTTGTGAGTGTCTACGGCGTCTATCAAAGAGGCGCCCAAGTAGTATGTCGCTTGCGTTTTTTGTGGGACCTGCGTGCCATTCATGAACTTTATTGTAGACTGTTTTGTGGATTCTAGTTTCACATGCCGGAGTAGCTTGTTTCTTGTTTTCGTGTGCCAAAGAGGTAAGGGAAGAGGGGACCTGGAAATACAAGTTGGTCACATTTTGGAGCCTTTTCTAAAAGTGGACCAAAAGGGGAAACCAAAAGGCTAAAATCAGCTTCACTCCAATTGGTGGCTGGCATTGGTGGTTTGGTGGTGAACGGGAGGGGTTTCCAATTTACCCTCTACAGCACCAGGGACCCGTTCAAATCCCAGTTCCCACCAACCCAAACCAAAATTAAGGAACATTTAAGAACAGCTCGGTTTGACCGCGGCTGGCCGCCTGGCCCTCGTGCGAGGGACTCTTTTTTTGATCTGCCGTGTCACTGAACCAGTTCTGCGGCGAAGCTCTGGGAAACTTTTGAAAATGAAAACATATTGTCACCTGTTTTCTTGCGCCAGGCGTCGATGGCTGTGAGCTGCTCGCTTAGGTCTCGGAGGTTCCCCAAGGACGCGCAAATCCCCCGCCGCGTCTCCTACCAGAGGGGACGTCCCGGCTGCGGTTTCGGCCCGGTTTCGGCCCGGTCCCCCAGCGGTTCGGTTGTGAAGAGATCCCTGGGCCACCACTCGTGCCTCAAAAAGGCACGAGCCTAGCTTCCAAAGCAACAGGGGGGTTGCTGCAAAAAAGGATTTGGCGCAGTTCCTGAGATGTGTTTCCTTTTCTTGTAGCCAACCAAAAAAGGGTTCCCGGAGAAACCTCCCAAAAGCCATCCACTTCGGCTATAATTTGTTTTCAACCCATGTGTTGAGGATGGACAAAGCACATTTCGCACCAGTTGGATTTTGTGGCTTACCCCACAATCCAGAGAACTTCATCCATCCCAACTGGTGCAGGATGTTGTCCATCTAACGAGTACAGTGTGGAGCATGGTAGTTATTCACATCTTCCTGCCGTTCCTATCCTAGTAGTCTCAATCTAATTGGGAATGTGTCGAAATATGGGGATCCCGACAGCGGTGATTTTCCATGTCCGTCTGAACCAGGGTGAAAAGGGAACCCTGAAACCAAGATGCTTTCGGCCCCGAACCCAGGTTCTAGCACGCAAGCCCATCCAGTTTTACCAGCCACTTTTGACCACCATTTCAGGGGTTTTCATAGCGGCAATGCAACTGAAGTTGGGCGTCTCGTTGTTGGAGCTGGTACCTGGTACCCCCTTTCCGGCGGTTTTAAAGGGAAATGGGTCTTACCCTAAACCAACCCTAAACCAACCCAACGAGAAATCACAAGAGAAAAACACCATTTTGGTTGTTCCCTAAACAAAACTCGCTCATATTATTCACAAAGAAACACATCTCTCCGAGACCCCTTTTCGACCATGGTGATTCCTGTCCCATGATTCAGCTTCAGTAACAGCCCCCATGCGGTTCCCCGTCCGCCTTATCATCGCACAGCACCTTGGCCGCGGCATCTGCCAGCACAGCTGCTGCCGCCATTTCGCGTTCAGGCGTGGCGAGTCCAACCAAAAAGGCACGGACCTGAAAGTCACGGATCTAAGTTGTTTCGGGTTTCTGAGTTGATTTATGTTGGTTGGCGTTGAGTTGGCGTTGAGTTGGGGGTTGAAGGGAAGCCACTATCCCTTTTTGCGTTGGTTAGCTGATTGGTTTTTGTCTGGATTCATGTTGGTTGGCTCTGACGAAATCGGTTGGCTTACGTTGGATTGGCTTGCTTGATTCACCTTTTGGAACTGCAGCTCGAGACCAACATCGGGGAAGCAAGACTCGCTTTGGGCAAAAGTGTCATAAACTCCCGTGTGCCTGATAATTGCTAGTAGAAATAACACATTGACTGTTTCCTTCTAAAAAACCAACGAAAACTAACCAATTCCGAGCCGCAGCTAACCCAATGTGCCGTGTCTGGACTTCTTAACCTGGACAGTCTGGAAGGATTTCTGACATGAACGGTTCGTGTTACAGCAAACCCTTGCACTTGGGCTGAAATCAGCATATTGCATCAGCTTTCTGGTTTCCCATGTTAGATCCAAAAGATCTGCAAATTAATTACATGGCTGTTGCGTCTGGAGCCTCGAGCCGCTGAAGCAAAATGGCAGCAGTCGGCAGGCCCCTCGTGCTGTTTCCTCTGGGTCCGGTGGGAAAGGTCATGTTTCAAAGTGCCAAATCGTATCTGCAAAACGCCCGTTGGGGAAAAATATGTTTTCCAACATTAAGGAGAAACATCAGGGCACCCTATCCCGAAATCTCATGACCCTTCTAAGAAACCCTAAGAAGGTTCTAAGAACCTTTCCTGGGGGCTTTTGCTCCCCCAGTGAAGGAACCTTGGAAGGACCAGACCGGCCCAAAGGCCTCTGTATTCTTTTCGGGCCAGGCTTGTTGAGGGCGGTGTTCCCGTGGCTCCAACGTGACATCTTCAAGTTTGATCCCTTTTTGTGGTAAGGGAAACCGCAACGACCCCAAGCAAAGTTGAGATTCAGGAAATCGCGTGCCGGTTGGCGGAACCGCGTGGCTGCCAAAACTGTAGAAGCAAATTCGAGACATTCACCTGCTTGCCACCGGCGTTCACCCACCAAAAGGAATGGACCAAGAGGCGATCTTTGAAACCACTCTTGGATTGTTAGGGGAAATGTAGGGAACCCACTCTTGCAATGCTGCCATCGCTCTGTCACATTTCTCTTTCGAGCGGCCGTGCTCCGAATCAGACGCAAGCTTAGAACACAACGGGGCTTGACCCATTGTCTGATGAGCGCAAAACCTTCGAAAACACAACGGGGCTTGACCCATCGTCAGCGCAAAACCTGCGAATTCCTCGTCATCCGTATGAATTATATCGTACAAGTTGCGAAACTGTCGATTCGTGAAACCTGCCCAAATAGGTTGAGAGAAGGTGCACAAACTTCGCCGCATGAAGACAGTCACGGTGCCGGTGCAGTAACAAAAGATGGTGTGATAAAGCAAAACAAAAAACAATAACAGCTATTTGCACTTGCCTACTTTGTTCGTGACTAACACCTCTCCGAGGTTCAAAACTTCGGTGAAAGCTACGTATAGTAGGCCACTTTGGCTGGCTGAAATGTGAAACTGCCTCTGGATTCAAAAGAAGTCCAGGGCTGGCACTGCTTTGATACAGCTTCCAAACACCGTTCAATTCTTCATGGCTCGAACTAATCACCGGGCGCCCTCCAGAGGATCCCCAAAGGGCACCTGTGAATCAAGCAGCGGGAGCCTTCTCGGGGGCTTCTCGGGAACCCCAGTAGAAAAACGGACCGGCCACAAAGCAGTGCAAACTCCAACTCGAGGTCTCGCGGTCTCGCCAGCTTTGGTTCTCCAAAGCTGAAGAAATGGATGAACGCATGCGAGAAGCCGACATCTTCAACGCCGAGTGGCATGGATGGGAGAAGATGGGCCCTGTTTCCATGTCTTGGGTGGGAATCAGGGGGAGCCGGACAAAATGTGGGTCACCCGTTTGCTGTTTGGGTTTTCTGGCAAACCGAGGATTGAACAGGCACTTCGGAATTCGCAGACATCTTCCCCCGGGCGTGTAAGGTGCTTTCACTTCCGATGTCCGTTCATGTGAATTACCTATCGCCCGTCCGGGCACTACTCTCTGTCCAGCGCCGAATGGCTCCTGAGGGCAGAAGGTTCGAATCTGGGAAATAACCATTTCTGTAATACCGAGTGGGTCTGTTTGTTTGACCCCTTTCTGCGTTCGACATTGAGGGAAACTCACGGAACCCACATTCTTGGGGTCCCCCCAAGAATTTTGACACAATCCCAAATTGCCCCCCCCCCCCCCTACGAATTACTCTTTATCACGTACGAAATACGCCCATCTTGGAGAAAGAGGGCCTGCCAAATTTCCTCGACTCCGAAGGGGTGCCTTCCGAACGCAGTCGTCAGAACAAGCCGAGCGGGCGGTTTACGGAGGATGGAGATGGAATGTATGGACTCAGAGTTGGTGTACCTTGAACCACCCGTGAAAATTTGGGTTGCTGTATCTAACTGAGACTGCAAATGCCCAAGGCTTGGGCAGCGTCTTTGTCTCCCAGGCCACAGGCCCTGCAAGAGGCATTGAAGAATGCTTCGTCTTGGTCATGTTGAACTCAGAAGGGAGCCAACTGGGAAAACGGGAAACACGGATGCCACAGGCCTTGCTTGAGGGAATCTTCGCGACCAGCTTTCATGTATCTGAGCCAATGTTTGCGGTCAAACTCATTTCAAACCATAAGTTTGGGGCTTCAACCCCAGGTGGGTGGCATCCCACAAAGGGTCGCCAAACGCCATGTCATGAAAATTGGATCCCGGCGCATTCATCGATCCAAGCCTCTCTTAGGGAAACATAGGCTGACCCCCTGTGGAACTTCTTTTTGTGGCAGCAGTACTGGAATTTAAGGGAAACCAACCCGCGCTTCATGGAAGGCCCTTGTGACCATAGACTAGGGTACATCGAGGATGAGTCTGCATTTTGCAGGGAAACCGCTACTGTACTACTGTGGATGGACGAAATCCATTGCGCACCACCTAAGAAACCCTAGAATGATGATTTCCACTGCAAATACCCAAGCAAGACGGCTTCCCTTGGTTTCCAAATGGTGCGAAATGGCCTTCGTCCACATGTACGAAGAGACGAAGAGTTGGAAACAAAGGGACTGGGGCCTTCCCGGCTCCTTCTGTCTCAGGAGCCCAACCTCGGTGTTCTCAAAAAACCACTGCTCGACTATGACTGCCCGAGAAAGCGAGCAGGAAAAGGTGTTTTTTGTCGCGCCTTGCATCGGTCTGACAACCACCACTAAACACTAAAAGGCTAAAAAGCTGAGGGGATAGATGGGAGCCACCAAGTAGGTGTAAATCCACGAACTACCATTTTGCTCAAAAAAAACACGCTGAGCTCGGGCAAGGATGTTTGTCCAGGGCACCTGAGGCCTGATTCCCAGGGGCTAGTGTCTAGCAAGATGCTTTTTCGGGCTGTCGCGCCAATCCAAACATCCATGACGTGGAGTCACAGAAGCCAACCAAGGGCAGACTCAGCAATTATCTACCGTGTGGTAATCTCTTGAGGATGTTGGACCTCCCACAACAACACCGAAGGGGCAAGTCATTGCCGGCTTGACCCATTTCCAAAATCTGGAATGTCAGCGTGATACCCGTATATATGCGTCAACCAGTAACCAGGGACTTTGACCCAAAATGGTGGTGTGCTCTTTGCTCCAAATTACCCTCAGAATAAAACACACAAACACAAACACAACACAAACACACACACACACACACAGAGAGAAAACAAAAAAAAGAAAAAGAAAAGAACAAAAGAAAAAGAAAAAGAAAAACACCCGCACACACATTGTGCTAAGGTGTGGTCGCTTGGAACAAGTACGGGACACATCCCCAACTGTCATAATATAACTGCCTTTTGGAGCCGAGGAAAAAACGCGGTCCGACGCGGGGAAATCCAAAAGCTTCGAAGGTCGGGGGGCAAAGAACCCGTGGACCGCTTCAGGCGGTTTAGAAGGAGCCCGACTGGTTGCACACATGTTCAAACCAAACATGAGACTCACCCTGACAAAGCATACGGGTCCTTACTTCGTTTCGAAGTCCCTTAGGTTAAATATCAAATGGAGCTCAGGTGTTTGTAAACAGAATCCAGCATGAAACAAATATGAAGCCAGCACATTCAAAGAACACCAACGGTCAATGAATTGTTTTGACTCCAACTGCTTCATTTGTCATTTGGCCGTGGGTCAACACCAATGAAATCCCATTTTGGTTGGTAGGTGCATTCACCACCCATTTTAGAACCTATTTTAGCGGTTGGATTGAATCGGATGTTCACGGGACCTACGGTTTGGATTTTGACCCATGGCCATTTGTGGCAAGGCGCCACCTCGGCAACACGCGATCCGTGCTCTTAACGTGGCCAGTTTGGGGCAGTTCCATTCGACCCGAGCGGGTTTAGATGTGAGGCCCCGCTGTAAGTACCGCCTCTCGATGGGAAGATTGAAAAACACATGACGCATCCCTAAACACCTAAATGGGGGGGTGTCCTAAAATGATGAGTCGGACAGTACTTTGGGGCTTGAACATGAGAAAAACGCAGCTGTTGGGACCCGACTCATGCCACGGTTCTGTATGCTTCCGACCAAAACATCACCTCAAGGTAAACTCACTTTAAATTGGCACAATGTTTAAAACCTCCGAAGGTGAAACTCGGCAACATAGGGAGTCGGACCAAACCCTACCTTCAGGCAGGTCCTTTGGGCGTTCACCAAACTCACGGGAAAAATATGGGGACACCCCCCCCCCCCCCCCGCCCCCTTGCAGGGAACACCCGTTCCAGGGATCCCCCCCTCCCCGGCTGGTCGCCGGGTCCATAAGCTTAGGCCATGACAGGTCTTGGGCGCGTTGCTTGTAGAACTCCCGCCAATCGCTGACGCTCGTCGGCTCCTTCGCACCCTCACGGCGGCCAGCTTTCACGTCCACGGACCCAAACATCTGAGGCCCTCCAAAAGGGCCTTTTTGAGGCTCAACTCTTGTTGAACGGGAACTCGTCCTCTCCCCCACTTGCCCCTGACAGGCCGGAAAACCAAGGCGGTCACCTGTTGGGACCTGAACTATGGACCGAGACTGGAAAACCAAAAGGTCAAAAGGTCGGCTTTGTTGATTTATGTATTCCCCAGGGGTGTGTTTGGAGGGGGTGTTTGGGGGTTCCCATCCGTTCACGGGGGTGTGACAGCTTGTCCCTGAATGTCATGCCAAGGTGCTTTATTCACCCCATGGTTTGCACGGTTTCATCCATCTCAACTGCGAAGTGAATTTCGTCCAGAGCGATTTCCCCTTCCACTTGGGTCTATAGCAAGCCATACAATTTTCCTCATGTTTTTTTTCTGGAAAACCAGGCCCCCAAACGAAATTCTGAGAACCTCGCGAATGTCCATGCCCAGGGTCCATTTAAAAGTTTGGGCCCTGGGCACGGGAGTCACAATCAACATCTGGCTCATGTACAAAAGGGATCCAACCAAAGGCTAAAGGTTCAAAGAGGACATGCGCGCCCATGGCGCTCTGCAGGGTGCGTTTCTCATCTCCGAGTTTTGATTGTGGATCACAGGAACAAGCAATATGTCCTGATTCTGTTTCATAGTTCAGCTTACCCCTCAAAATAAATGGAGACTTCGGGAACGGAAAGCACTTCCATCGAACCCAGACCGTTCGCCGGCCCCGGCGGCGAAGGTTTGGGCGGCCACGGGTTGGCCGCGTGACATCGGATGCTGAGTGTCGGGCACCTCGGTCCTTCTTCTTGGTATCCACCAGCTGCGGCCTGCGAGCGCGCCGCGGATTTTTCTTCGTCTCTGCTGACCGGAGGCGGGGGGGGAGTCTCCGAATTGAGGACCCGCCGAAAAGAGGACGTGCAAAGAGAAACCACAAAGAAGCTATTGAGGTCGCCGCTCAGCCGTGAAGAGAAAAATGACACCCTGTTGCTGGTTGCTTTGAAAGAGGCCCCCATTCAAAAACAAACAAACACACAACGCACAAAAAAACAAAATCAGGGTGCCACTTGGCCACTGGGCAGCTTGGGTCGTCAAGAGCCGTTGAGCTTAGCTTTTGCAACCAAAGCAGTCAAAAATCAGCTGGAGTACGCTTAGCATGCTCATACTCAGTGTCATATTGAGTCTACCGTAAAATAGCACAAGCTTTGGAGGAGACCCCAGACATATTCCTACAACCTAGAACGGAGACGCGGACGAAGAGACAAGCCAAGGAACGTAAGGGAAAGCCATGTGGGTCTGTTGTCTCTATGGGACTTCAACAACAATGCCAACCCCCAACCAGGGTACCCGAAACCCATATTCATATTTCAACTGTTTTGTGGGGTGTCTTTTTCTGGGTACCCCTTTTTAAGGTGGCTAAAAGCGAAGCCTAAGGCAAACCAACAGTTTTAGGGTCCCACCCAAGATTGAAGTATGACTCACCTGGAATTCGGCGATTCCTTTCTCGATGGGCCCGGAACCACTCGTAACTTCTGACCCCTTCCCACCGAAGGACTGCATGGCAGCTGTTCTCGACAGCGGCTGTGGTGGAGCACTTGCCTGTATTCACACCGGAGGCCGGCACGGCCCTTCTCCCAAACATCCACCCCAAACCCACAGGGTGTTCCCAATCTTTGTCTCGAGGAATTGGGCGAAGCACCCCTTCGACCTGTCAGTCAAAATATAAAGGACAAAGGCTTGGCCAAACAAGGTGCTGTGGGTACACAAAAGTGGGGGATCAACACAAGTGGGGTGGGTCAAACAAAAGTGTGGGTTCGACAAAATGTGGGGTGGGTCAACCAAAAGTGTGAGATGGGTCAAACGAAAGTGGGGCGGGTCAACAAAACTAAGAAGTTTTCTAAAAGGCCATAGGTCAAAATCCCGTACCCCCAGTGAGCATCCCAATCCGCACTAAAATAGACCCAAATGGGTGGTGCACCTACCCCAAAATGGGATCCCATTGGTTTTGACCCAGAGCCAAATAAGGGTGAACCCCCTCTTCTGTGGCTGCTCTCTGGGCTCTCCCCGCAGTTGCGGCATGGAGGAGGTGGCGGTAAGCCGACTGCAGGCTCTCTCCTCCTCATCCGCGTTGGGCCGAAAGGGCTTAAAGGCCCAAACAAACTAGAACGGGGTTATGGGGTAAATACTAAAACAAATTCAGTCCGGATCATAGGACAATCACGTGGTGTGTGTGTGTGTGTAACTATTGTTAACTTAACAGGTTGTGGTACACGTTAACACCAAATTGAGTCATAGGAGTAAACAAGTAATTAACAAATATTTAGGCCAGTACCCCCTTTACACATCAAGGGCTTGCTGGTTCTCGAAGGGAATGACCCCGAACCATCCCGGTTTGGATCTCGGGGATAACGGTTCCTTCCGAAAACCCTCAAAATGTCCACTGAGATCAGGGCACAAAACCTGATGTAACCATCACAAAAAGCATTTTTGTGTGTGTGTGTGTGTTAGATCTTCGATTGTCCTAGCAGGACACTTGCCTTGTCTGGAATTGGGCTCCGCACGACTGATTACTTACATATTGCAAGTAAACCAACCAAGAACCGCGGTAAACTACAGGTGTCCAACTTGTTCCCTACTTGTTTTATAATGCGTTCTCTCCAAGTTGTTGAACCCCTCTTGCCAAGGTGTGGCTTCACTTCTGCTGTTTTTGTTTATGCAACTCCAAGTTGTGTGCCATCAAAATAAATGCACCCATCTGGGTGAATTGCCGTGATAAGTCACCAACACACACGAGATGAAGCGCAGAAAGCGAAGGCAACTCATTGTCGAGACCCATGGGTGGTTCTGCAAGTACCCCAACATCTGGTTGATTTCCTTGCCACTTCCTTCATGCTTTTTCTGGGTCCACGATGTTTCTCTCCTACGGCTTCGGCTTCCCTTTAAGAACGCCCCAAACCGCAACCCCCCAAACCCCCTCTCCTCCCCCACAAGTTTTGGACACTCCCTGCGGGATATCAAACCCTCAGATCCCATCCGAAACTCTCCAGATCCGAGCCCGCGACGCCATCCTGGCGGAGTTAGTTCGGTGCCAAGATTGACATCAGCGGTCGAAATGGGATATGGAACCCCAAAATGGTTGGGTGTTGGGGGTTGGTGGTGGGGAGAGGGATGGGTGGGGTGAGCGCTGGCTTCCCCTGTTATGGTTTCGCGGAACAAACAAAACGACCCGGGTCCCCCAAAAAGCAGCCAAACAAAAGCTCAGGCTGGTTCACAGTTGCCTGCTCGCTGCAAACCAATGAGCTGCTTGGTTCCAGCGAAAGGGAAGGCTACCCCAAACCTGAATAATCATTCCTAGGATTCATGTTCCGCTCATGACTCACTTTGATTTCAAACCACCCCATTCAAAATGACTTAGGCCATTGCAGTATAACAATGGATTCACCCAAGCAATCCTTCCTTTGTTTGCCGAAAGGATGTGATCCTCCGTGTGCTCGGCCATATGAAGGGCCTATTTACTTTCTGGAAAAAACTGGAGTGGGTCAGAGTGTCCTGGGGAAGGATATGATGCTTAGATACAAAAATGGGCGGGGGGAGGCGGGGAACCTGTATCTTGTTTCGGGAGTGCTGTGTTCATTCCTGGATTCCTGCTGCCCACCCTGAACGCTTCACAAAGTGGTGATGTCTGAATGCAGGCGATATCTACGACACCTTGCTCCGTGTTGGTTCAAACTTGTCGCAACTCCCTACATACAAGCGACCTACAAACTGAGATGTCGTATCGGACACAAACAAAATTGAGGGTCGCTTACAAAACCGGTGCTAGCGGGCAGACTCATCAACACACAAGAAGAAATGCCCATGTAACCCTGCAGGGCCCCTTGGCTTTCAAAGTCTTCGGCCTTGAGGAGCACACGTCAATTGCCGCACAAGCAATCCAACAAAAAGATCTCACCCTTGCACACCAATTGGATTCAGTCAAGGCACATCAACTCTGACTCTGCTTTTTGATCAACCCCCAAAAGAAGTCCCCGACACGAGCTTCCTCTACACATGGAGCTGTCTTTTTGTAGGGACCCGCCTCCCCAAAGTGGTGAGTTTCCTGTTGTCTTCCCTTAAAACCACCCAAAAAAAATACCAACTCAAAAAAGACACGCCCAAATGAGTTTTTGTGGGGCTCATTAATCTTCAGTCCGACCCCCACCCCCCTGGACATCGATTCGAGATGAATTCGCGGGTTTGCCTTCTTCCGCGGGGCCTGAAAACGGACATTTGGCAAAGGCCGAGGCCAAGTTGTCAACCGTTTGTGCAGCTCCACCAACAATACCTGGACCACCTGAAAAAACAGCAGTTTGAAAAAAAAAAGAGCTAATACCCTCAGGGTGTCCCAGGTATGAACAAGCCCCATAGACCACAAGAGAAATTCATGCAAAGGAACAGTTCTGAAGATTCAGCTGGTGCATCAATCTTCATTGGTTTAAACATTTCGGGAAGAAGGGGCCATGTTCTGGCCCCGTGAAAACTTCCTGGAATCGTCGGAAAGCGGGTGGAACCACCTACTCAAATGAACATGCGCAGTCTGCCTTGCCAAAACGCATTCCCTACAGATTGACATGGAACCAAAAAAAGACGACGAGGAAACTACTGACCCCTTTTGGGTTGCATGTTCACTGAGTAAATGAAAGGAAAATACAATTTGGCACCCAACAAATCAGTCTGATCAAAACAAAGGAATTGAACTGTGGCTTCCATCTCAGATGACACCCCCTGGTTGCGGGATGGTAAATCGGAATAATACGATCAACCCCAAATAACCCCAAGGGCGTCAAATAACCAAGGCTCACATTAGCATTCTTCACTTTGGGTTCCTTGCACGTCGTCGTCTCTAAGCACCCAATTGAACGAGGAAGTAGATTCACTTGCTCAACTGGCCAACAGAGGTTTTGGGTGTTGAACCACCCATACACGCCCATGGTGACAAGCTGACGTTGTAGAGTGACCTTGGCAGAAAAGTGTCGCGGTCGATGCCAATCAAGGCTTTGGACGCTCTTGCATCAACTCTCGGAACCTGTTAGATCCAAATCCTACACCAAACCCACACCGGGCGCATCGTAATCTTGCTGGTCAGGGGATGAGAAAAGCCCCACCCCGCCACCCCTAAACCCCCCTTGGATCGGATGCCTCCCATGAGACTCTTTTGAGGCTACTCCTCTAAAAAGGGAAAACGCACCTTTCGCATGTTTCCCGTGCCACCTATCTTTAAGCCGGACCCAAACGGATGCTGGAACCCCAAAAAAGCCCGCTGTCCCGACATCGGCCCAAGGTCCCGGCCGCGGCCGGGAGCATCGAAGTCGAGCCCGACTTGGAGAACTGCGGGATCCGGCACCACGGGGATCAACACCCAAAGGATTGAGTTGGGCGTTGCCCCGTTAGGGGACACCCAAAAAAAGATGAGGTTGTTGTCCTTTGGCTGGACCCACTATATTAGCACGGTCAAAGTCACCCGCTGAGTGGTAGGCTAAAGGGAAACAAGTTGTTTTCCGTTGAAAACCACAAGAAAAAGAGGTATTCTGAAACCGCTACACGATTGCCTGAGAACTAGCAAGTTCGGGCCCCCTTGTTTTGGGAGGCACGTCTTTTATGCGAGTGCGGCCTCCAATCATGGAAGCTGACGATCGGATTGTGGACTGTCCTTAGGGTCCTTGTCCACTTCTATTGAAGAGATTCCCCAAGGGGCCCGATTGCTTGACTCGTCCCTAAAAATGGGTTGTCAAAGGCCCTTTTGCTTCTTCATGGGTCTTGGAGTCTGCGGAGGAGTCGCGAGTTTGGAAACCATCAGGTATTCCCTGGTCAGAAACCGTACTTGCCAAGCAGGGAAAGAAGCACCGGTCTGTAACCCAAAGTTGCAATCGGATTCAGGTCCCTGCTGAAATGGATAACCTTCCATTCCTTTGCCCGGAAGGGATGGGGTTGTAATTCTGATTCCCCCCCACCCAAAACTGGAGCCCGCCAAAAAGATCCGTAGGCCAGATTCGGGCCAACTCAGGTTCTCGGGCTTGAGAAGGGGGGGGGAGAGCCTGAGGTCCTATATTCCAAATGCGCACTTTGGATGCCTTGCCGGAACTTTCCGCTAGTTTGTCCTGCTTGACCAAGTCACTTCAATAGAAACCTCCAACCGCGCCCTGCGGATTGGGCAACACTCATACGTCTCCCGGCCAATCTTATGCCAGGGGACCAGTTGGCGGCTCTGGGTCGGTGTTTGGTTCACATGGCACCACTTTCCCGTGGCTGAGTCATCCACTTACCCAGACACAATTGTGAATCTTAATGGGTCCCGTACCCTGTGGTGGACATCATTCCGGCGATGTTTGTCCAACCTTTTGGAGGTGGTTCGCTAGGAACATTCGTTGCTACCAACGCACGGGAATCAATGCGGATCCTGCCTTTGGCTTTGGCGCTCTTCGTCTCTCTTGACACCTCGCCGCGGGCGGGTAAAAAAAAAACGCCATGGGCTTCCAAGCGCCCGTTGCTTTGAGCGGCTTGGGTCATTTCTCGGTTGCTTTCTGCTCCCTTGCTAAAAGTTTAACTTTTAGTTGTTTAATGGAAATCCCATTAGTTGGCAAAAAAGTTAAAGTCCTAACATCCAAGCAAAATGCACGAAAAAATTGTCCGGAGAACGCTCCTTGGATATCGATTCAAAGGGGAAATCCCAGTTCGACCCATGTAAGGGTGACGTTTGCGCCCTGCAGCTCCGAGGATCTTGTGAGGGCTGCGCCTTGCGGCATGTTTGGGCCGTCGCAATCCAAAGAGCACTCTAGGAATCAAAGAGAGCCAGGATCAAAAAGGATGGCGCTCAAAGTTCATTACCACTTCGATCCTTTTCATCCTTTGTCGGATCTCGATCCCTAAGATCAAAGGACGTCCTTGCCCCAAGACCTGTGTTTTCGTTTGCCAGGTTTCACCGCTGTTGTCTTTCTTCTTCTTTTTTTCCGGGGAAAGAATAAACAACCGTGGCCACTCTCTCTGTGGACTCAAACGCACTTTGCTTCCTATTATAGACCCCAGCGGGCGGTGTGGGAACCATGGTTGCGGGGGGCTTTGCGGTCACACTGTGCTACCATTCTCCCCAACCCCCATTCCCACAGGGGGGCGGGGGGGGGGGGTGGGAACCACGGACCCCCCCACCCATCACAGGGGGGCGGGGGGCTTGTGGGGTCACACTGTGCTACCTTCTTGACTGAGCATCACCATTGGGGGGGGGGTGGGGGGGGGCCAAGGAAGCCTGGAACATATATATATATATACACATACCCTTCCTCCCGCGAACGTGGCATTTGTGGAAAAATGCCAGGAAGCTCATTTCCCTGTTTCAGGGACCCCTGACCTCCTGTCAGGTCATGTTAGTGGGCAGGAGGGAATATGTATCCCTCCCCCAGACTAACATGGACGCTCCCAGCACCCCTCTGGCATACTTGGTTCCATTCACAAAGGCCTTCTGGAAGCTTCCATGATAGTTTGAATAATATGTATGTATGTGTATGTATGTATGTATGTATGTATGTATGTATGTATGTATGTATGTATGTATGTATGTATGTATGTATGTATGTATGTATGTATGTATGTATGTATGTATGTATGATGTATGTATGTATGTATGTATGTATGTATGTATGTATGTATGTATGTATGTATGTATGTATGTATGTATGTATGTATGTATGTATGTATGTATGTATGTATGTATGTATGTATGTATGTATGTATGTATGTATGTATGTATGTATGTATGTATGTATGTGTGTATGTGTGTATGTGTGTATGTGTGTATGTGTGTATGTGTGTATGTATGTATGTATGTATGTATGTATGTATGTATGTATGCATGCATGTATGTATGTATGTATGTATGTGTGTATGTATGTATGTATGTACGTACGTACGTATGTACGTATGTATATATGTATGTATGTATGTACGTACGTACGTATGTACGTATGTATATATGTATGTTTGTATATATATATATGTGAGTATATATATATATATATATGTTATCACCTGTGTGTCAAAATGCAGCTGTTGTTTACAGCCAGTTGCACACCCCTCCGATGCAATCTGCACATCAAGGCCTTGAGCCTATAGTACATCCAGAGTGGAAACAGCGCCACATTGCGGAGTTGATTCCCACACAGGTTTGCACATCTGGTATTCAGGTCACACAGTTGCTCAAAGTTTAACACTGTGGGCCCCCTAAGCTAGTTGGGAAGATGACCCCTAGCATCCCCCCTGGGCGGCCCTGCGAGCGCCACACGTCGCCCGTCCGCATCGCGGCCTGGAGTTCCCTGAGCAGAATCGAACCGAATTCGCCACAAGAAGCGACGTGGACACCAGTCGATTCTCCTCTGTGGACGTCCTGGATTCGGTCTGAAATAAGATTGTTTTTTTGCAAATTACACGAAACGATGTGGACGACGTGGCCCTCTTGGGGTTTGTTTTGGTCTCATTTTTTGGTTTCCTGCTGTATAGTGACTTTGGTCGACATACGAAGAGTCACCCGCTGGATTTAGGGAAAGATCCCCGTAAGAGCCCTCAATGCAGCAAAAACTCCCGTCTACCCTCCCAAAATTCTTGGTAGTCCAAAGCAACAATTGAACAAAAAAAGCAACATCACCCCAAGGGAAACTCATTGGCCAAACAACCCTTGAAAGGGGAATATGGATTCTCAAAAATAGAAGGAGCCCCCAAAATGGCAACAGCTTTCCGGTTTCCCGCCAAAAATAACCAGTTGATCAATATCCTGGCCCCCAAATGACCATGAATAACTTCTCCCATGTCAGAAATATCAGCTTTTTAGTGTTTTTCTCCAATGGTCATCCCATGTAAAGCACCTTTTGATCAACCCCCAAAGCAGGAATATGATAACATGCTGGGGGTTCTTGTATTCTAAGCTACACCCAACATTTACCGGATGATTTCAGGTGTCTACTTTTTTTTGTTGTTTTATGTCTTGGTTGCTTAAGGAAACCAAACATAGCTCTTCTAGTGGGTACACATGAGTACCCGCGTGTCAATATCAGGCCCCTCGCAAATGCTTGGTTTCCTTTTGGGTTAAACCCGTCCTGCCCCATATGCCTTGCCGTCTGGGGGCAACCACAAACTGCAGGGACAATCGGAATGCCCTGCCTCTTCATACCTCTTCCAACATATGGCAGCTGCGTTCTCCTGGGCAAGCAAGTGATACATCCTTGAACAGCGGCCGACGCTGGATTCTATGATTGTGATTCATGCAGGCATCACACGAATCTGCAAACAGTGTGCAGTCACTATCCATAAATTAAGTCCTCGAATTTGGTAAGCATATGTCATTCCCTTGACACTAGGTAAAGTGCATATGGAGCATTGCGCCAATAACCCTCTTTTTAATGGCAAAAGAGGAGTCTGAACTCCTTGTTTGCCACCAAATTGTGTCTTCCCAAAACAATATATATATATAAAGTCCAAAGACTCCAAGAAGTACAAGTGAGACATCAGAAGCGTGGTAGCACCGCACCCCCGAACTGAACCGAAGAGGTGCGAGGTACCGACTCTCGAGGCGACTGCCCGTCCTTGGCCTCCTAGGGGACATTGCCAGGTGCAAGGAGTAGACCTCAGGCGCCAGATGCCGACATCACCCTCTTGGACCCCTCGAACACTCGGCCCTAGACTGTTTTTTTGTGTTTATGTTTTGTTTTTGTTTTAAGAAGAACACATTGAAGCAAGTTGGTATAGAACCTGGTGGGTGAGGAGGCGGGGAAACCCCGAACAATTGAAGTGGCTTGCCTCTTCGAGACCACCGCCTCAAGATTAATCAGTGGCTTCCTAACCCTGGGCACCAAGATATTCGGGCAAGCAACGTGGGGTTGCTTAACAGTCTGTCGAATGACCCTTCGGCGGTTGAAAAGTGCAAGGGAATTCCTTTTCTGGTTTCGCCCCATCAAGGGCCCCGGGCCGACCTTGGCCAGTGATAGTGCGTCTCCAATCACTTATTGACGGGTCCCCTGTGGGTCGCATGTTGATTCAAAAAAAGGGAGAACCCAACACGAGACAAATCGCCAAATAGAGCTTCTTTCCCACAAAAACACACACATCCTATGGATTGTTGGGGGCCCGCTACTGGTGGAAGCTCAGCCAAGGGTTCAAACTTAGATCTTGGTCGGTCCTACTTGGGGGATGCGGGGAAAGGGTCCTTGACAACCATAAGAACCCACCAAGGCACACTGATCTTCAACGAACGCGCACGCACGCACGCACGCAGGCACGCACGCGCGCGCGCACGCACGCACGCACGCACGCACGCACGCGTGAGTGAGTGAGTGAGTGAGTGAGTGAGTGAGTGAGTGAGTGAGTGAGTGAGTGAGTGAGTGAGTGAGTGAGTGAGTGAGTGAGTGAGTGAGTGAGTGAGTGAGTGAGTGAGTGAGTGAGTGAGTGAGTGAGTGAGTGAGTGAGTGAGTGAGTGAGTGAGTGAGTGAGTGAGTGAGTGAGTGAGTGAGTGAGTGAGTGAGTGAGTGAGTGAGTGAGTGAGTGAGTGAGTGAGTGAGTGAGTGAGGGAATGAATGAATGAATGAATGAATGAATGAATGAATGAATGAATGAATGAATGAATGAATGAATGAATGAATAAATGAGTGAATGAATGGATGGATGGATGGATAGATGGATGCATGCATGCATGCATGCATGCATGGTGAACGAATGAATGAATGAATGAATGAATGAATGAATGAATGAATGAATGAATGAATGAATGAAGGAATGAATGAATGAATGAATGAATGAATGAATGAATGAATGAATGAATGAATGAGTGAGTGAGTGAGTGAGTGAGTGAATGAATGAATGAATGAATGAATGAACGAACCAACGAGCGAACGAACGAATGAATTAATGAACAAACGAACGAATGAATAAATGCATGAAAAGGAAGAAAGGAGCACCCGAACGAACGAATTAATGAATCAATCGATGAATCGATGAATGAATTAATTGCGAAACTCATGCACGAAAGAAGGGATGTACGTCTGGCACGTATGTACATATGTATGCAGGTGTGTGTGTGTGTTTGCACACGTGTCCTTGTGCGCACACGCAGGTACTCGCAAAGGTATGTGTGCCTTCATCTATGTATGTATGTATGTATGTATGTATGTATGTAGGTATGTGTGTATGCATGTATACATGTATGTTCATGGGATTGGCGTGGTGTGGATAATATTGTACTGTATCAAACAATATGGTGTTGTGTTGCATCTTACAGTATTGCGTTGCATTGCGTTGTGCATGTGGGGCCCCATGTGCTGTATGTTTTGTCTATGCGTTGCATTGCGTTGTGCATTGTGCATGTTTTGGGTGTGTTGGATGTTTTGTATGTATGCATTGTATTACTGTATGTATTGCCTGTATTGTATTGTATTGTATTGTATTGCATCGTATTCTATTCCATTCCGTTATGTTATATTTTAATCTGTTGTGTTATATATGCTGTTGTATGTGTACGCACGGCAGGCTAAGTGTCTTTGTATTTGTTTACTTGTGCGTTTGTGTTGGTTGCTTCGCATCTGCAGTTGTAATTGAAATGGAATATAATGGTTTGCGCTATGTTGCCGTGTATTCGTGTGTGCGCCTGCATTTGTATTTGCATCTATCTCTGGATTTGCTTTGTGTTATCCCGTACTGGGTTGCGCTATGCACGTTATGCACTGCATGTACTGTATATATGTATTATATCCGCCGACATTGCGGAGGCGTGTCGGATACCAGGGTCTGATACTCGGTGTTTTTGGACGTCCTCTTTGCGAAAACGCTGGAAAAACCGTGTTTTTGTTTTGCGGGAAATACTGGGGAGCAAAAGGGGAAATGCAAGGAAGTGCAAGGAAATGAGGGGAGGAAATAGGAAATCGACATGACGGGAAAGCAAGGGTAAATGAAAGGGAAACAAAGGGGAACTGAAAGGGACATGAAAGGGACAGAAATGAAAACAAGGGGAGTGCAGGGGGAAGGAAAGGGAAACAAAGGACGAGGAAACCAATCGGCACGACGCGAGATGTAGGGAAATGACTGGCAACGAAAGAACGGGCCATACATGGAAAATGCAGCGGACATACCGAGAAAATGACAGGGAGTTGAAAGGAATGGAAGGGACATGACCAGACATCATGGGAAACGACATGAAGGGGAAATCAAGGGGAAAGCCAGTAGTAAGCAGACAGTTCAGGGTCATGAAGGGGCAGTGCCCGCACATCGAGGCAACTCAGGGGGGACGTGACGCTGCAGCTGCAGAGAGAGAGAGAGAGACAGGGAGAGAGCGGGAGACTTTAGAGGGAGAGAGAGAGAGAGAGACGAGAAAGAGAAAAGAAAAAAGAGACAGAGCCAGAGTCAGAGAAAGAGACAGAGAAAGAGACAGACAGAGAGAAAGAGAGACAGAGCGAGAGAGACACAGAAAGACAGAGAGAGAGAGAGAGACAGAGAGAAAGAGCGAGAAAGAGAGAGAGAGAGACTAGGTCCTCCAGTAGAGAGGTTAGAATAAGGGTACCCTTTTTTTCTGTAGAGGGGCGTGGACAGGACGGAGACAGGGAGACAGAAAGAGACAGAGAAACAGAGAGAGAGAGAGGGAGAGAGAGAGAGAGAGCGCGAGCGAGAGAGAGAGAGAAAGAGAGAGAGAGAGAGAAAGAGAGAGAGAGAGAGGGAGGGAGAGAGATAGAGAGAGACAGAGAGAGGGAGATTGAGGAGAGAGAGGCTTGGGGGGATGGGGAGGATGGGGAGCAGAGGGAGGGAGAGAGGACGACAGAACACACGGGGGAGGAGACAAGAGAAAGAGGAAGAAGGAGAAAAAGGAGAGGACAATGTCGGCGGACTGAGCCAGCGGCTCTAAAGTATTGTATGCCTTTCACGTATTGTGATTGAATTTATGCGTGTGTGTATGTCTTGTGCTGTAGGAGATGTGCATGTGCATGTGTATTGCGTTGTGGTCAGTTTGTATTGCATTGTGGTAGCATCTGTGTGCGGTTGCATTTGCATACTTGTGTATATATATATATATGTTTTATTTGTGGTTGAATACTGTACTGCATTATATTGCGTTGTATTGTAGTGTTACTCAGACATTCACATTTATATCTGTATTTACATATGCAACCCCGAGCATACTTCTTGGGGTAATTTGTAACTACCCCAGCTGGGCTCATCCGGGATCCTGTCTTTTGACATGCAGGGGATGTGACAACACTCAGACGAAAGGAGCAATCACATCTACTGATGCGACAAGAGACCCGAGCAAGCTGGAGCGATGCTGAGGCGCCGAGCTTAGATCGCCCGACCCAACAGAGGGCTTCCCGTGGTTCTCATTTTGCGGGGGTTCACTTTGAGAAACCAAGGTGCAGAACGCGTCCCTGGAAGATGGGCAAACACGAGTCACACGCACACCTACACCAAAGCCACCAAAACCTGGGTCCATATAGGGGATGCTCCTGTTTCATAGTTTGTCTACACTACGTAAAACCTAAACCCGATTTGGAGAGCCACAGGAGATCAAAGCATTGTCTTCGTCGGCAAATCGAGGACTCGTCCAAGGGGCTTCCTAGGCTTCAAATGGCAAATGTAAATTCCAAAGAGGCTCAGTAAAAAGCTATTTCAGCAAAAGCTAATAGCTTTTACACATTTGTCAGCTCTTTCGACCAGGGCGCAGAATTCCCCCTTCCCATGGTCCAAGACATTCAATTCCAACTCTCCGCTTCTCCCGTCTCCCAGGGCGGATGCACTGCTTCCAACCCCTGAGCGCCCTGCGACTGCCATACTGGGCTGGAAATATGGACTGACCTCAGCTCACTTGCAGCCGATTGAGTATGTGTGCCAATCGCTTTCAGCTTGGCTAAAGGTCGTCGAGTCTCCTCGCGGGGCTCTGGCTTAAGCTTGTTGCTTTTCATGGCTCAAACTCCCACATTGCGTGGCCATGATATTGTGGGGAACCCTTCTCAGGGTTCAACTTGAAATCCACTCGTCCGTGATCCTTACAAAAGAGCAGTCTTCTGACCCGACCATGTGTCCAAGATGGGTGGTTTGGGCCTCCTCAAACGGATTAGAATCTGATCATCTGGATGTCTTTGTCGGAGAACCCCCTCTTTGGGTTCAAACGGAAACCGAAGCGATAGAAAAGGGCGAGAACCTCTGTAAAGCTGCGGTTTGCCCTCACTTTCCCACGCCAGTATTTCATGGCCGTGTTTGGAGCCGCGCAAGGGTTTCCCCCTAAAACCGGGTAAACCGAGAACTGTCAGAATGGACAACTCTGATGGCTACGTTTTCTTCCGCGTCTTGCGCAAGGCCGCGAAGCGTTTTCAGATGACGAACAAAACAGCCCTGCGTACAAGAGAAATAACTCTCCGTCTTGGGCCATGTGTCAAGTTTCCGGGTTGGGTCTTTCACGCAAGAAATGACATCCTCAAAATTCCCCAAATTGCGGTTTGCGGAGAAACGAGAACCTAATCATTTTTTGGGGGAAAGCTCTTTGGGGGGTTCATCTTGGAACCCACCTTAGACCCCGGGTACACCAAACATGATATGTTCAGAGTTAGTTGTTCAATCTTAAGATCTAAATCTCTGAGAGCCCTGCTCCAGAATTGCCAGCAAGCTCGCCATACTCACCCACAACGCCATCATAGATCACTGCTAATAACAGCCAGCACCCTTGCTGCTTTCCCGGCAGGGGTGCGAACAAACGATAGGAGTCCTGAACCTTCTCCCTTGTCTTGCTGGTGCTCAGTAGGGAATGAGGGAATGAACCTGGGAATTTCCTTAAAAGAAAACCACAGGGGATGCTTTATAGGCCAGGTCCTCCAGTAGAGAGGTTAGAATAAGGGAACCTTTTTTTTCTTGTGTAGTCTATTTTAGCAGGGGAACCCTTCCCCAACCCCAAAAAAAAAACGGTAAAAGGGCACCACTGGGGGACCTAGTATCCTTACGTTATACACCTGGACATTGCCTTGTAAATGGTGGTGTCCCTTTATTCTGGCGTTGAAAAGTAACATGTTTCAAATGGTTGCAAAATGTATATTTTAAGGAGCCCTGCTTTATAGGGCTCATGCCCTTCCCTTTCGGAGCCGCACGCGTGCGTGCATCGCCGCTGGGCATCCCCCGCCACGATGGCGAAGCGGCTGCTGCTGCGGCTGATGCTCACCAGTCGCGCGCGGCCGCCTGTCTGGCTGGTTTCTTGTTCGGTGCAAATGGGCCCAGAATAGTTCGGTTTTACTGGTGTCCTTTCAGCAAAAGCTCTTAGCTTTTGCACACTTAGTCCAGAATGGTGGCTCTTAGCTCTTAGCCGAGAATAGTGGCTGTAGCTCAAAACAATGGTACCCAAAATGGCACCTCAGTAAATGGAATCAAAGACTATCACCTGCGTAACCCTAGCTCCTTAATTCTGAGCCACACCCTAGTGGTGTCACTCCTTTCAAACCAGAATCCGGCTACCCTCGAAAGAAGACACCCATTTGGATGCTCAAAATTAGGTGTTCGTCAACCTTTTCATCAAGGTTGTTTTGGTTTGGATTGTTAGGCACTTTATTCCTTGTGTCTAAGCCACTGTTAGTGCTGGTGGTTCGATCCTTCTGTCTAAGCCATTGTTGTTTTCGTCTAAATCTAAGTTTAGGCAATTTTTCCTTGTTGGATCTTCTTGGGGATCGTGGCTGGTTGCTAACTACTAACCAGCCATTTTGCTTCCTACTCGACCTGGAAACAAGAAAATCTTGGGTGGAATCCCTCGCACAAAAAAAACGGCACTGGAATCGTTCGCCCGCTTTGCGCCAGGGCAATAGCACCCGGGTTCCGTGGACGAGTTGGCCCGCCCGAGGTTGTTCATTCAAGTGGAGGGCGGAGGGCTTAACGAAACATCGCAACCAAAAGACCCTCTAAGGGTTGGTTTGAACCATCGCTTCGTCTCTTCCAGACCCAGCTGCGGGGCTACCTCCATCAGCACTCTCTGTCTCTCTCACTCTCTCTCTCTCTCTCTCTTTTGAGGCTAGTCCCGTGTTCGCTGGTTTAGGAAACCCCCCAAAAGAAAGGTGGAACGTACCCTGGCGCCACCCGATTTCTCGGGGTCCAAATCCCCCCCCAAAACCAAAGCGACGAGCCACTTCTGGGCGAGGCGAGGCCCCCGGCCCACTTCCTCGATCTCGTGCTTGGCCATGGCCAAGCCCTGCCGCGACGCGATTTTTATGGCGAGACTGCGATGGACCAAAAGATAGGGGCCTGGGAAAAAAAGGACAGACCCACCAAGAAAACCGTGTCACCTGTAAACCTGGTGAAACCCACTAAAACGTTTCTTTTTCTTTGGGGGGGGGGGGAGTCCTTGAAGACACCGCCAGACCATTCTTTGGCCTTTCCTGTAAACCGGGGTATGTGGAACCGAAGTTGCCCAAACCCCCGGTGCCTGCGGCTTGGTGTAGTGTCTCGTGTTGTTTGGCAGGGGAAAACGCGGATAAAACCGGCACCGGCAAACTGTGGGTGCAGAAGCCGGCAAACCAGGAAGTTCAGCAGGAAACTGGCCAAACAAACGAGGACTTCAACCGGATGTCACCTGCGGGTTTCTGAGCAAAGCCCATTTATTTCTTTTGTGGGCTCCACAAAACAAAGAAGCCCTCCTGGCAAGATGCCTCTTCTGCCAAAAAAAGAGCGAGAATGCCACTGAAATCATGGAAGCAACAGAGGCCAGAGCCAATGTCAAGAAAGTGCTCTTAAGGAACCTGCGTTCATTTCTGGCTCGATTCAAGTGACGTCTTCAGAATTAACCCCCTGAGCATGTTCACTTAAGGGACCTACGGTTGAGAAAACCTTTCTGGCGGGAAGGCCAGAACTGTCGATAACTACTTCTTGCGTGTGCGGATCTATCTGGCCCGGCCCGCATGACCACCAGCAAAAAGGTGAAGTCCGGGAACTCTGCTCACCGCTATTCTGGTCCTCCCAAAACGTCTTTCAAGTCCACCTCTTGTGTGCGGATTGCTCCGGCCCACAGCCAAAAAGGGTTTTTAAGTCCAGGAACTCAGATGCGGGAACAAACTGCATCCTTGTTTTGGTTGCTTGAGTTTAAAGGCAACCCTGCCCAAAAACAAACGCAACAAAAAGGGCACCGCTGGGCAACCGGGGGAACTCGAGGCGTGGGTGGGTCACGAAGACCGGCTCGCAACGCGCCAAAACTCGCCGCTCCTCGATCCGCGCGCTGCCCTCCGCCTCCGGCTCCTTGAGGTCAATCGATTCGCCGGCAGTGCCAAACCAAAAAATATGGGGATCTGGTGGTTTTTGGGCTCAACCAAGCGGATGGTTTGGGAACGGGCAGAAGGTAAGGTTGAACAACAGGTTTAGGGCTTGGGGAAATTGAGTGGCAACTTTGTATGGATCGTGTTCAGAACCAACTTCAAGGGCATCTCTGCCGGGAAGCATGTCGGATCACCCGAAGCACGTGTCCGGACGCTGCAAGGCATAGACCCGGCCATGTGAAAGGAACACCCTTCCAGAAAACGTGAACACCTGTGCCACTGGTCGACAAAAATGGTAAAATACAGCGGCGCCGCTGGATAAACTATGAAACATAAATATCACCCAAACCATGGAACATCCCAGGAGCTTCTGTGTTTTCAGATTTTAATCCTATCTGCAAACTCTGCCATAAACATATTCCCATGTTTATCTACAACACCTGCACCATCCCCTCGGCGCTTCCCTCCCGGCTTGCAAGGCCCAAAAAACCAGAAAAGGTCACTGATGTTACAATAGGTCCAGAAAATTAGAGGGGCAGTTTCTCAAAATATCTCACAATGGGTATGTCTTTCTCTTTCTAAATCAGGGTACCCCTTCTAAGGTTCTTTTGACTGAGTCGTGGCAACTGGTGACAAAGCGAAGTTCTTGCCGCTCGAGGTCCCAGCAGATACGCCGTTTATTGTGCGAACCATCCCGCGAAGGGACAACATCGTAACGGACCAGGTTGAGCTTTTTCCAACATCGGAAACCGTTGTGCGGAACACATGCCTACAAATGAAAAATGCAGGCAAATAGGTTGGAGGATTGTTAGGGAATTGTCCGACATATTAAAAGGCTATTGCAGAAACCAGGCAACAACCCTGAACAAGTCTCATCAGAAAATGGCACCTTTTGGCGCACCAAACCTTCTCTCCTTTCTTTTTCTTTCTTTTTTTTTTGGGGGGGGGTGAAGGGGGCGGTGCTTTTCCAGTTTCTTCGCTGGCCCACCTGCGAGGCCCACTTCGGCCAAATTGGTCCTCGTCCAAAGGAACTTCTTCCTTGGGAGTGATGAGGACACCCTGGCGCGGCGAAAACGCGAAAAGCGCGGCGCTCAGGTCCCGGGCTGGTTTTGGTTGGCATTCCGTGAGCCCCTCATGCCCCGCACAAGTTGACCATAGACATTGACCGAACCTCTCTGGGTGTCGCTAGATTGTTCTTCTCAGAACACAAACAACACGGGAAGGAGCGAGTTTTGGACAAGAACAATGAAAGTTGGTTGGAAATGGGACACACTTCTAGAAACAGGGACCCTCTGTGGAGACCCCCTTATTGCGGAACATCTTGAAAGGCTCATACTATGCGAGTTCTTCAAGCGGTCCGTCCGCTCGAGAAGATCCAGAAGCCCAACGCTTTCATCTGGCCTCCAGGTAAATTTGCAGCGGAAAGCAAACTCCAAATGACCCACTGCTGTAATTGCTAGCCAAGTGAGGCCCCCAAAAGAGCCTGGAAAATTGGGTGGCACCTGGTTTTTGTGGGAATTTGGGTAAGAATTCGTGCGCGACCCCCAAAATCAACAAAAGACCACCAAACATGTTGCCAGCTGCCCGCACGCCCTCTGCTCCAATCTACCTCAGCTTTTGCCCCAGCCAAGAATCCGATTCGGAACTTCTGGTCCATATACGTATACATGTATTATATATATATATGTATATATATATACCTATGTGTATATATATATATACACCTATGTATATATATATATATATATATATCTGTATAATATATATATATATATTATATATATATATATTATACAGTTTTATCTAGTGGCCTTTAAGATACGAAAATGTCTCAGGAAAACATAGTCTCTTTATGGAGAACCCCAAGAAAAGGGGTGGTAAATTGGTCTGGAAAAAATCGCGTCAAAATGATCCATGCCCTTGTGTTACCCTGCAGGGGCCCGGAATTTGACAGCTCTGGGCTATTTGGGTGCGTGTGTGCATATTGGATGGTATCTATTTATGCTGTTTGGCGCAACCGCCAAGGATGCCATCCATCTTGCAGGTCCCATCATTCCTTGCTATGTCAATTGGTATTTGTGTGACCCATGTCCCACTTCGCATGTCCCGTGTCCTTTTGGAAGAATAGATGGGTTTCCCTGGCAAATGGAATAAAACACATCTAAACCAGCGCCTGGCTGGGGCTCAAAAACATGTACCCACACTGGCACCTTGGCAATGGAAACAAAGACAAAACCCTGCGTATTCCCAGCCGTTCAAGTTTCAGCCACCCATCTCTTTATCAAACTAACCGAAAAAGGACCGAAACCCAGGTCCCACTTCGTAGCGAAGCGAGCGAAGCGAGCGAAGCGATCGAAGAACGCCGCGCCTCGTAGGTGAGCACGCGGCTCTTGGGATCCTCTCCGGAGGGTTGCTCTCCCTCCACCTGACGCGGAGCCGGCCCTCAGCCCGGGTTTCGCATATTAAAAAGAAGCCCGAACCACCTGAACCACCTGGCCGTTTTTTGTTGGGTGTGTTGTTAGCTGGGCTTTCTCCCCCCCACCCCGTGCTTCTCTCAAAGGATTCGGTTCACCATTGTTTTTTTCAGGAAGCAAACGAAACCGCCTGAATCGCCGGAAGGAAACTGGTCCCACCCAAATGGGTCCCTCTGGACCCACCGAATCGCCGCCCTTTTGGGGTGCAACTTTTTTTTGGGGCGGAGGGATCTGAACAATAATTTGGGGGGGGGGAGGCGAAAGCAAAAGGGGTCGAAGTGAAATATATACCGGGTGTGCGTCAAAATAGGGGGACCCTCAAAGACCCTCCAAATGCGGGTTCTCCTTTAGGTTTCCCTTTCAACCAACCCAACAAAAGGTACCAACTCAAAAAGGCGAGCCACACAGACCTGCCAGTTCCGACCCCTTGCACCTTTGCGCCGGAGTACGGCACCCCCTTGCATCCCCGTCTACAACAGCCTTTTCCAGATACACCAGCCAAGTCCATCCTACATCCCCGCGACCAGGAGATGCTTCTTGTTCGTCTTGCTTCGAAACTCGTTCTGTGTTGTCTGTTTAGACAACATGTGTTCAAGATCAGCACAATCGGTTGAAACCCTCAAAATGAAAAGCTGCTTCGATTCGATAAACTCCCAACAGCTTTTGATCAACTCGCCGCGAAACTCCACTGCCCCGCAGGCTATCACGTGAGCTTCAAAGGCCATGTGAGCAGCTGGTGAGACTTGTCTTCCGTCCCGCATTGATTTGAACTCGTCGACTCGAACAAATACGTCCTTTTGCAGATAAGGTTGTTCCTCGGTCACGTAAGAGGAGTTTCCTGTTTGAAGGACATCGGCCCACACTTGCCGGGTGGCTTTCATGTTAGCCTGAAGGGTAGGATGCTCGAGACTTTGTCGAACGCCTAACGCCTCACTCAGCCTGCTTGCAGGATGCAAGCGTCTTGCTACTCTAGCAGCCATTCAGGATGCGTCACTCACTCGCACGAGCCTGAAGATAGTCAGACAGGTGGGCTGCTGCCCCCCCCCCGCTTTTCACCGGGAGGCCATGATGTTTCTAAAGGGCATCGTCATTCTGCTTGCCTGCCTGGCGTGCAAGTCTTCAAACAACGCAGAATTGCAACAACTCGCAGGGTTGTCGGCGACTGCGCGTCCGGCACAAACCGAAATCGGCCAACTCTGTTGGGCGCTGCAGAGCTGAAAGTCAAAAAATGCGAGCCATGATTTATTCGGTACTCATCACTCTCCGAAAAACCACGGCCGTTTTCCGCCCGAGGAAAGTCCCAACTCTGCGTTACATTAAGTTGGAAACAAATTGAGTGGACTTCATGGGTGGTTGGACGTGTCCACTGCATAAAACATCTGATCGACAAGTTCCCGTAGGAAACGGAAATTTGAGTGGCACCCCTTTTTGACTGTGACATTCGGGTACGGTAGGGCCCATGTGCTTCGAAACTAAAATGTCCCTCCGAAAAGCACCACGGACTACCAGCAATCTTGACCAAACCTCATTCTCATGTTGAGCTAAGCGACTTGTCATGTCTCAGCGCTTGCGGCGACATCGGGGACCTTGACTCGAGGCAAAAATCCAGGAATTCACGACGTGATCCCCACTGGATACAGGGCCGGAGCGGCGTATGAAGTTTGGTCTTGATGAATCTTGGTCTTACGGCCCTGCAGCCCTGACATATGTCGCGGAAGCAAAAAAGGCTGGCAGCCCGAAAGCAAATCAGCTTTTGTTTTTGGGCGAACTGGTAATTCCCTAGATGAAAGCACCCCTCTCCTGGAAAAAGTGCTTCCCATTTGGTTATCCATCCCGAAACTGGGCTCCCTCAAAGACTGGTCCATTTGGTGTCCCTTCAACCGCGAAACGCGGGCACCAACTCTAAAGCAACTTGCCATTTGGATTCCCTGTGAAGATCTCCAAAACGAAACACGACACACACACACACCACTTGATTTCTTCAAAGGGGTGAGAACGGTGAAAACCACCCGGCAACAACCACCAACGGGTCCGCTTGAGAGAAAAACCTTGTCAAGCAATGGCTCGGCATGTAGAGGCGGTTAAACGTACCCTCCCCAGTTGTAATGGTTAGGAATTTAGAGATAATTGTCCTGATTTCACCCTACTCACTGCACTTCCTGAGTGAATTCGAGCTTTTCGTTTCCCACTAAGCAGCTCTCCCCGAAAAGTTCAAGGAACTCAGGGCCCTGAGCCTCCCGCACCTACGTCCCCACCGACCGGACCCAAACCACCGCACTCCGCGGCTCCGCGCATGCGCTCGCCCAGGCGTCCGCGGCCGCGGCCGCCCAAACTTGGCACCGGAGCCGCAGCGCCTGGCGAAAGCGGTGCTATCCGCACCCCGGCCCCCTGGACAAAATGAGAAAGATATGGCCATGGGCCATGGGTGAAAATCCAAATCGGTTAGCCCCCAGTAAATTAAACATATTCTTAAGCGAATGGAAGACCCGTGGCTTCCGCACAGGATGGCCAGGTTGCTGGCGGACCCCACAAAAAGTGCATGCATAACTTTGTTTGGGTCCAACGGACAAAATTCCACCTGTTTTCAACCGAAAAGTTAAAGTCCACAGATCTGTTACCAAATAGCCACGAAGCCAAATGGGTGTTCTCAAAAGGGACCAATTCCTTCAGGTGCTTGGTGTTCTTTTAGCTTCCCCTCGATCCCAAAAGGGGACCCCGAATCTTGAGAAACACCCAAAGCGGTTTCAATTAACTTTTACATGTGGGTTATTCTTGGGTGCATGCTTTGAGGGGCCTGGAAAAACAACATATCCCGGTGCACCCCAGTCTAAGCGAGGGCGGCATTTCCATTCTGTACTCCATGATGCGATTGAGGGTCTTCGTGCACACGGGAAAGCCCAAACTTTGCGTGGTGTTGCAGTCTCTTGCTTAAACCATAATTCAATCCACTATTGGGTGCATCTGTTTTTTGGGGACCCCAAAATGAATTGTGATTTTCCTGTTGCTTTACGTCAACAACCATCCAAAAAGGATACCCTCAAAGGAAAACACACCAACTGCTTAAACAGGTTCCACGGCTTCTGCAGCCATGCAGTCAGGCAGTCGAAAGGAGGTCGGACGATCAGACCCCCGGTTTGAGCATGTGTGTAGTTGGAACAACATCCAACGTGTTGTTTTTGTGAACGGCTCAGAAGCCCATGGGGATCAAGAAAGGAGTAGCCCCTGTTTTTGTTGGTTGATCTCAACGGGTTTCCCAACACCTGAAGAACAACGGTTGGAACCACTTGGGAAGTCGACCGAATCGGGCAACTGGTTGTCTGCAACAAAAAATCGAAACCTCTGGTTTCAAGACCACTATTGTTGAAACCAATTCACTGGTTCTTCTGCAGCAAAACCAAAAGTTAGGAAGACTTAACCTCCAAAAGAGTCAGCATCCAACTTGTGTTCAACCGCAAATCCCCTAGTTTCAACCTGTTTCTTGCTTTAAGCAGCATCCAAAGAGGGGGAAAATCCTTCTCCAAACCCGCGGCCCAAAAAGCCGCCGAGCCGAGAGCCGCCTGGAGGTGGTTCCAGCTGCCTGCCATGGCCAAAAGCTCGTCCTTCAGCACCTGACTCGGAAGGAAACCGACCGATCCAAGCCGAAAGGCCGCTGGAATTTGGGCCATGGGCCATGGGCAATCCAAATCGGATAGCCCCCAGTGAACATCCGATTCAATCCAACCACTACAATAGGTTCTAAGATGGGTGGTGAATTCACCTACCAAAATGAGATCCCATTTGGAATTTTGACCCAGAGCCAGGTGGGTGTGGCTCAAAGTTGAACAGGAGGGGCAAACCGCGGGTTTTGGTCCATGTTTCCACTTACCAGGGTTCCATTTTGGTACCGGCTTTATTTGAGCCACAGCCATTTGGGTATGTGGATAGGGGGGGAAAGGGGGGGAAAGGGGGGAAAAGATCTTAGGGACGGGGGGTGGGGGGGGGAACAGATCTGAGGGAGGGAAAGGGGGAAACAGATCTGGGGCGTTAGGAGGGGAAAAGGAGGGAACAGATCTTAGGGGGGGGCTCCAACCAAAATGGTTTCAGCTTTCCTTAAAAGCCTTCAACTCTTCCAACGCTTCCCTTCAAAACCGTCAAACTGGGGGTCCCCGAAAGCAGCTGCCCATGTTTGGGAGGCATCTGCTGTTCAGGGACACCGTTTTTTAGGGGACAATTTTCCTCAATCTTGCTGGCGCGAAAAGTAGGGACTGAGAAATGGAAGAAACCCAGGAGTTGGTCCGATTTTGAAGGAAACCAACAGGTGCAGGGTTTATAGGGGTCATTCCCTCATTCCCTGCTGAGCACCAGCAAGCTTAAACACATCCAACGGGCGATCCCAAAGGCACACTGTGGGTGAGTGTAATAAAGCACCAACTAGCGCAAGATGGTTTGTGTCCATCCACAGTATTTCGAGAACCTCAAAATCTACAATGTACCTAGCATGTGAGATCCGCTGTGGGCCATGGAAAAGGAAAACTGAAAGGAAACCCAACAAACCAACCTCCTGGCCAGGGTCCAACCATTTTTTTTTAGAAACACCCACATCCGACAAATGTGACACACATTCAGCCGACCCTTTGGCTTCTCGACATTCAAACCTAAACCTGCTCATCGTTTTGTCAAGGCAACGATGCACGAGGCTACCGAACCACAAGAGGTGGCCAAAAAGGATCGAGAAGCCCATCTTTGTGCTTGGTCGCGGGACCCTCAAAAATGTTTTGTCTATTGATTTCTTTCTTTCAAAGGTTTCCCATGGCTCCTGAGACATACCCACAGCACCCGTTTCGCCCAGTGAGACGAGCCACGGTCAACATTATGCGCATATTTGATACAAAGGACATGGGTGTCTCTTAAGCTGGGAAACAGCCATTTGGTTGAAGGGGAAACCAAAAGGAACATGACCCATCGACCTTAGGTTCTAGCAACACAAGGTTTATATGGCCCTTGCCCCCTTTAACCAGGTAATGTTGATCAACCCCAGTTTATAAATAGGGGTGTTCCCCTTCCCACATTTCACCCAGGGACACCGGGACCCCAATCCATAAACTGGGGTGGATCAATACGGGGTCAATAGAACCCAAAGCCGGGCAACTTGAAGGTGTGAGAAGTAGGGAATGAGAAGAGGAATGAACCCATCAATCGGTCCCCTTAAAGGAAGCTTCGGCAGGTTTCTGTTGAACTCTGTGAATGATTGCCTGGCAAGACCTTTGAGTTGAGGTTGTGAAAGTGTGGGAATAGGCTGCAGGCGAAGAATTGACCACGGGGGCCAAGTTGCTGGTGCGACAAGTAGGGAATGAGAAATGGAAGGAACCCAGGTATCGGTCCGATGTTAAAGGAAACCACCAGTTGGATAGTTTATAGACGGGTCGTTCCATTTCTCCTTCCCTGCATCTCTCGCGCACCGATCGCGAGGCAATCCATGGACTTGCGCGCCACACGCCTCGAGCCGGAGGTCCGGAGGCTTGCCATTCTTCTCGTAGAGCACGTAGAGGAAGGAGTCCCAAATCCTCGGCGTCAAAGGGGTTGGAAACAAGGACGATTTACGGGAAATGGCCCCCCACCACCCCTAAACAAGCTGTTTTCCAGTGGAATGGAATGTCCTGTAACCCAATTCTTTCACGTTGGGAATGGACCACGTCTGCTTCTAGGAAGCCACGCGATTTCGGTGCATATACATTTATTTACTTATTGATTGGTTTATTTATATGTAAGGGGGATGGTTCAGTTTGTGGTTTGCGGCTTGTTTTTAATCTTTGCCGCTTTTTGCGGCTAGCTTCCCGAAAAATGTTTGAAGGGGACAAATGGGTTTCCTCGAAGGGGACCCCTGAACTGGTTGGTGTCCATGTGGTTTCCCTGTAAGCCAACCCAAAAAGGGTACCCTCAAAATCAGACGCACCGAAAAAGCCCCGCACTGTTCGCACCAGCTCCCCAAAGCAACGGCCACCAAAGCAAACGACATGCCGGGGCATCAGTACCTTGATGTTCGAACAGCGCAACACAAAGCCCAATGAATCACAAGGATTCTTCATGATTCACGTGGCCCGAGTTCCTTTGACCCAAATGGCTGGATAGGTGTTGCAACTCGAATCCGAATCCCCCTTTTGCCAGACAAGAAGACCGACTCCATCGAACAGAATAGCTCTCTATGGCTGAACGATCATTGACCTTCCTAGGAACATCTTCTTGGACCCGTCCGGCTCCATGCACGCGAGCCGATCAGCCCATTAGTCAAACCCCTCGGGCCAAGCAGCTGGTCGTAAAAGCTGTAGAACCGCGGGAAGCGCCTCACCAAGACCAAGCCCATGCGCTCGTACAGCGCCTGCGCCTTAGAGCGCCATCCATATTCGGAATGCGCGAGGAAAATGGAGTCTTGGGGTCGGCACGGGCCCCGTACTACCATAGACGCCCTGTTTTCTGACAAGAGCAAAATGGTGTCATTTGTATGTTGCTTTTTGCGAAGATGGTTTTGTTGGTTCTGTTCGGAAAGAGGCCTTGGTTGTCCCACTCGGCTGGCTTCTTTACTCCAAAGCACTAAGGACCCTCAATCTGGTGGACTACTAAAAAGATGCGTCCAAAAAAATGATCTGGATTCAGTCCCTTTCAAAATGGTACACCCCCCCCAGTCAACCTATCAGCCCATCTTTTTTCATCCCGGACCCTTTGCAAAATGGTGCTCTTTCAAGAAAAACCAGAAGCCGCACACCCCCCACCCCAAATCTTTGCAAGAACAAGCAGAAGCCCCACACCCCCCCTTCCTTCCGGTTCTTCTTGCCCCCCAAACCCCCCCCCCCAAACCCCAAGCCCCCAAACCCGCCCAACCGCCGGACAAAAAAACAAAAAAACACAACAACAAAAAACCTTTCCCGGTTCTTCCGGTTCCGGGTTCCGGTTCCGGGTTCCGGTTTCGGGTTCCGGTGCCGTGGGGCTGGGAGGTTGTAGCACACCACGTGCACCCAGATGGCCTCCACCTCCGGCAGCTCCCGGCGAATCGCCTCGAAGGACTTCTCCAGCAGCGCCTCTCGCGAGAGAATCGCCGCGCGCGAGCGCCGTCGCGCGAGCGCCGTCGCTTGCGCCGAGGGAGGTTTGGTGCTGGCCCGGGTAAAACGACACCCAAACCGGTGGTCCGAAAAAGACGGATAAGTGAAGCCCCAGGAAAGGAGAAACATACAACAAATGATTCACCATGTGTGTTTTTGTTGGACTTGAGGTTCATTGGTCGTCTTCAGGCTCGGACTGGGTCCATTCGAATCACACCCTGACATTTACCAAAGCCGGTGGGTCAATGGCTGGGATTGTGTCAATGTAGGGGTACCCCCCCTTTTGCTGGTCAAGGGAAACCACCCAACAAGAGTGCCCTCAAAAACACACCCATTTTTTAAGGACATCCGGCCTTCAGACGTATCTCCTTGTGGTATTGTGGAGAAACCACCAGGGAACGGATCATCTCACGGAAAAAGGTTAACACTTGCAAAGCCCTTCACATCATTGAGCCCATAGAACAACCACAGCGTCCCAGTCTCTCTAAGGGACCCCCCAATTTTGAGCACCCCCCTCAATGGAACCCATGGAAAAACCCCTGGCCTACGTCCCAGTCTCTTTAAAACTGGGCTGTCCTCAAATCCCCTGCTAAAAGTTTAACTGTTAGTGGTTTAAATGGAATCCACCCCTAAACCCTAAAAGCCTTAATCCCCACCAAACCCTAGACCGAACAGGACGGAATGGAAGCCCCCACTAAGCCCTAAAGGTCTAAATCCTAAGGAACCGGACGGCTGGGAGCCGCCAAGGCCTTCGCAAGCCCATGCCCTCGTGCGCCGTCCACCACCCCCAGCGTCAGCACGTAGCCCGCGCGGCCCGACATGCAGGCGCCGGCGCCGCCTGCGCGCGACCGATTCACCCCGACTTGGGGTGGACTTGGTTGCCTCAAACCGGGGGGGGGGGGGGCAAGCCTCCCCTTTTGGCCTCAGGAGTCGTGATCCACCTCTTGAAAATCAACCAACAGCCAGACCTTCAACAGAAGAGGCACACCCAAATTAGAGACGGCGTCATTGGGATGTTCCATGGGCTCAATGTGATTGAGGGTCTGCAAAAGCAAACCTCGCAAATTAACATGAAACTCAAAGAACAGGGGACTCCCAAGAGGAGAGTCCCCTATCATTTTGGGCTTTCAGGTTACATGTCAGTCTGCAGAGTATCACTTTAAAGTGGATGTTTGGGTCTAGAAGAGCTGGCAACCTAAACAAAAGTAATGCGACTTTCCGCGACCATGCGCTCAAGGATGTCAACGAATATGAAATCTTGAGTTGGTTTGCAAGACCCCACAACCCCAATTGAATTATGCTTGTGGCCAATTTCCCAGCTTGGATCTCTAGTGGATTGACCAAACTGACTCTCTTTGGAAAAAAAGTTAGGCACACTCCTCGCTATTGGAAACAACATGTTTGACCAATAAATTAGGTTACTTCAAGGTGAAACCGAAGGGCCACCAATTGCCATAGTGGCCCGCCAGATTGACCGTTTGGCTGGGAGATTGAACAAATCGCCTGGGTCGATGATCGTTTTCCATGTGGTGCTCCTCATGTGCCGAAAAGGCGACACTTCAACGCCAAGTCAATTGCTTGGGCACGACATGCGAGCCGTTTCTTCAGCCATTGGCAGCGAGCGGCAAACAGTTTTTCCACAAAACCCGTGGCCAAGGGTTTACAAGTAGGTCGATTCATAGAACCTGGGCCCACGATTCTCCCAATCGGTAGTCCACCTTGGGAAACCGCGCAACCCATCTGGAGGAACATTCCATGGATGTTGAATAACCCACTCATGGAGGTTTCTGATAGCAAACTCACTAGTGGAAACGTTTTGAGTATATTGCCCTGAAAAGCCAGGCGAACGTCAGGTTCGCTAATCGGTGGGAGGGTAATTCATCGGAAACTGGTCGTCTCCTGGCTCCGGCTTATGCGTTGGAGCTCAGTTCCCGCCTTCCAGCACTGAGTCCATGTCGAATCGGGGCTCCTGAGCGCACGAGAGACAGGAAACACGTGGAACACGTTGCAAAAATCGCGGGAGGGGGTTCTTGATCCATGCTTTTTTTGAGGAAGGGTCCGCCTGTTTCTACACATACCCAATTGGGTCCCGCTGATCAAATCAGTTTGGAGTTGAAAATCTTCGAGCAAATAGAAGGACGCCGGCAAGAGTACCCTCTTCTGGAAAGAATCACCCGGAACGCAAAAGGAGCCCATCATTATGCCTTTTGTCCAATGCCTCCAAAGGCCCATCTTGCAAGGGAAATCAAAGGGGAAACTACCATTCTGGCGGTCTATTTATATTTCCCCTGCAACATCCCACTAAACAAACTTTTATACCTTAAGCTAGTCCGCAAGGTGATGATGAACAACACCCTTTCTGGGAAAAGGAGGCCTGCCTTCTTGCATACCCCATACAAAGACCTTACCGCCAAGGGTGTTCAGTGCAAATCCAACAAGAGAATCCTGCGGCCTCCCCCCGACTCGCCGAATGCTTGCATTCAGGTGCTGCATGCTGCCACTACGGACAACATATTGACCAGCGTCTGCACAAGTAACAACGTCCCATTGTTCATATAAACGCAGCCCTAGCAAAGGCGCCACAGGTTAGCCCCCATTCCCCTCTCAGGGCAACTGAGCAGCACCCCAAACCCCTTGACTTTTGGTTCTACTAGCATGGGCATACAATACCAAGGCGTTGCTAATATTCCAATCCAAGCGGACAGTAGGATCACGTACTATTAAAATTGCCAGTTGGGATTTTGGGGCCTAGCAAATTGCCGGGCGAATTCAGCAATGAACGATAGCCGGAAGCTCATCTTTTTCGGCGGGTTTTCGGGCGGATGCCGCTAAAAAGTGCAAGGGGTAAAACAAACCGAAAAATCAGCTCAATCGAGATGAGTCCGGTGATCGTGGCTTTCCGTTGGTCTCGCTCTACGCCAACCCAAAGGGTGAAAAGCGCTCCCTAAACGCAAACAACCGCACGTGAGCACCCTGCGCAATTTCCTTGTGAAAAAGTCGATGGCACCCGGAAATAGGTTGATCGAATGATTTTTGCCAGCGCAATCTACATGTCCAGCCCCCCAAAAGGACACGACAAGTGCCACCTATGTTCAACCAACCTAAAGGGCAATACAATTGCCATCCAGGTTGAACCGCCTGAACAGGACACCTATCCGGCCAATTATACTCATTCCCAAATCTGAAATAAAGCAAAGTAGAGTAAAGAACCTTTCAGGTGAGTTCACCCCATCTTTGAAGCCAAGGGAAATAAAGATGGAACCTCCTCCCCCAATGTTACACCAAAACATGCCCAACCAAAGCAGCTAAGGTATCCCATACTGGAGGAAAACAGAGAAACCTTGCCGCAGCCCCCAAACCGAAAGTTGGGGGAATGACCGTTCTGAAAAGGAAACGTCACCAGTTCTTGTTGTTTTTCCCCCCGGGGATCCTTTCATTTCTCCTTCCCTGCCTCTCTCGCACCAGCAAGTCTAATGTTGACCCCATATGTTTTTCAAGTTTCTTAATAGGGGGGTGTCCCTTTGGGGAATCAGCCCATCATTTTTCTCAGCCCCAGTTTCTCAATAGGGGTTAGTGGGGGAATCATTCCCCATTTGTGGAGGGGCCAAAAACCACCCCCACCGCCTCCCTGACAAGCCGATCGCACCGAAGGCCAATCATTTTGGAGCTTCGACTCGCTCGGACGAACTCGGCTCGCGACTCGCGACTTCCGGGGGCCTGGAACTTGGTGCGGAAGGTAGCCGCCCCCAGCAGCAGATTCTCGCCGCCCACGGCCGCCACGGAGCCCACGCTGCGCTGCTCAAAGACCTCGCGGGGGGAGGCGGGGAGGGGGAGAGGTGGGTGGGTGGGGGGGTTGGGTTGGGGGGGGGGCTCCCTACTCACTACTCCCCGCATTTCAGGGTAAAGGGTTGTGTTTCAGCAACGGAAGGGGGATGAATCTAAAATGGGTTTCCGTTTGGTGGGGTGATGTTCAAAGTCAATTCTGGGGAAAACAGCTAGGCCCTGCTTGGAAAGGCTTCGGCTTTGTCTCATTAAAACCACACCGGGTAACCTCAAAAGCACACACACACACACACACCCATTTGGTTTCTCCCTCTTCAATCAGTCAAGGCCAAAAAAAAGAACACACCCCATCTGGGACAGAACTCCCAACCTACAATCAGATCCCAAAACTCTGGAACCCCGAAACCCAGTGAGGTTCCACTAAGATGCTTACAAAGGTTGATATTTGTATGTGTCTTTCTACAATCATGTGGTAGAACCTTCCACTACGAGGTGTCGCTCTGGTGAGGGCCCGCAACGCGAAACGCGACTCGGGTCTTGGAAAATGGGCCTCCCGGCAAAAATAGAACAATTACGTTCCGCCCGACCGCAAGACAACATGCTCTTCGGTTTTCTGGGGGGGGGTCTCAGCACTGCACAAATGCCTGCCAAGCGCTAAGCAATGGCAGCTTGGTTGACGTTGGAAGGGGAGCAAAAAAGTAAATTCGGGCAGTTCAGTGGGGATTTCAACCACTAAACCACAATTTGCAAAAATGTAAAATGTTTCCCAACAACAACCATGAATGGTTATATGATGCTGGGCTATAGAACCACGTGTTTTCCCTCAGAACCACGTTTGCCAAGCCTTGGTGCCATGGGGCCTTGGTGCCGTTTTCCTTGCCACCGGTAAACACACACAAAAAGAGAAATGAACCTGCTCTGTTGGACTTGTGGAATCTATGATTTCTGTGCTTCATTCTTGAACTAAACCACTCCCCTACAAAAAAAATGAATCTGGAACCCAAACGAAGGGATCCGCCCGTCAAGGGCTGGGTTTTGGGTTGCATGTGAACCAGGGGAGCGTACTTCCTTTGCACCATCATACAAACAGGTGTTCCTTACACCCCCAGACCCGCCCAGTCGGGCCAAACCATGGATATGTCTGTGAATCTAAAGAGAAAAACAGTGGCTGCAAATCCCCAACGAAGCGATGCCCAAAGCCTCCCCAATTAAAACTCCGGCGAAATGGCTTGTTCTGTTGCCCAAAACCCATGAAGGTTCTCGCTTGTGCATTCCTTGGTTCAGCTGTGACAAATCTACGGCATCCCCACGAGACTCAAGAAAAGGGACACTGATAATAGGCCAACAACCTATGTTATACTTCCGCTTGGGTTGCCGGTAACCGGCAACCGGCGCTATTTTCATTCACCTTCCAAATCCGGAGGCCGGAGCTCCCACTGACACAGCCAGATCGGCCTCATCGTAGAAACTCCGCGAATAGTCCACCTCGCATGGGCCACAAAAACGGGATACACGGAAAAAAAAAAAAAAAAAACATGTTCATGGTCTGTTTTGGTATTTACCCTAACATGCAAAATAGTCTTGGAGGAGACCCAGCAATGGTTTGCTTGTTGAACAAATGAGATGAGTCGATCACCGGCACAGGGGGAGTTTCCTCAGGATCAGATCCTGGCTCCTTACCGCGCCTCCCGACTCCCGGACTTCCTCGGCCGAAAGCCTGGTGTCTTTCTGCTGAGTTGGTGCCCCCGTTTGCCAGGCTGAGAAGGGAAGCCAAAAGGACACCACTCATCTTGGGAGTCTAAAACAGACACACCCAGATCTGGAAATAAAACCTAGTCTCAAGGACCCAATAACTCTCGAGTTAATTGTTTCAACCTCCTGCTTTCATTGCCTACCATACTGTGGATGGACAAAATTATGCACCACCTTGAAACCATGGGAAACCAGAACGTTTGTTGGTATTTTCAGGTGGGAATCGAATCATTCCAGGGTTTCTAAACAATCACTATTGAATGGGGGGGGTTTAAAGGGAACCAAAAGTAAAGCCAGCATCTTCGGTCCCCTTTAAAAACCCAAATGGATGTGACGCGGGTGGACGAAATCCATTTCGCACCACTTCCTCTCGGCTGCCCTCAGATCCCCCGCTAAAAATTTAACTTTTGGTGGGTCAAATGGAAGCTACCACTAAACACTAAAAGGCTGGGAACCACCAAATCCTGTTCTATGCTTCAGCGGCTCTCATGGTGCTTTTTCGTCCCAGCTACGGGGAACCACTCCGCGTGAAGGGCCTCGAGGTCCGAGCGGTCCTCGAGCGATCGAACAAGCGGCGCCGGGCGTTGATCGGTCACCGGACCCCGCGATTTCGGGGAAAAATCAGCCGCGGATTTCCATAAAAGTGATGTCTTTTCGTACGGGTTCCCCGTTGCTTGGTTGTTTCAAGGGCATATATTTGAAGGGAAACCGAAAATGTCCTCAAAGAAAAGGAATTAAACCACTGGAGGTCTGATCTTGGCCCACTGGAAATCATGTACTCACTTCCGAACGAGTGTGTTGGCCAAAAAAAAGAAGCTCCCAAACCGTTTGTTTGCCACTAAAACTGTCCAAACCCAAAAGGTATCCAAAAGGTATTCACATTTAGTCTGCTCTGTGAAATAGTTTAGGAGACACCAGGAATGGTTTGGCTACCCTTTTCTCCCTTTCTGCAGATCAAGTTGTCAAGACGCGAAGCGCTAGGCAGTCCTAGAATCATTTGGGCAGCCTACCCTCCAAATCCTTCCGTCCACTTCCATGATTGTTGGAAAGGGTAGAAGTGGGCTTCCACCAAAGCCTCTCTGGGACATATGGGCGTTTGGCCCCAACACGCCGGATTTCCCTGAAAAACTCTAAAGAAAACATTGAACCCTCTTCAGGGTCCGGTCTGACCTTGGGGCCCAGGGGGGTTGGGTCTGTCCAAAGAAGTTGTTTTGTTGATTTCCCTGTACGCCATGCCCTAAAAGGGTTCCTTCGAAGTGGACGGGCTCCAGGGCGAACAAAACGAAGGCCCCTGTTGAGAGACTGGTCTATGGGGACAAATTGCTTTCTTCCAAGGAACCTTGTGTGAGTGACCAGGGCCAAGTGGGGTATTGGTCAATGGGGCAATACGGTGCTTTATCCCACTATTCGCAGGGCTTCATCCATCCCAAGTGGTGTATAATTTGTCTATCCACAGTATTACCTTTGCAAATAATCAATCCAGAATCCAAACCAACATCTGAACATCAAGAACACATCCCGAATTCCAATGTGGAGGAGCCCCAATCATGTCGACTTCGAGCCAAATCAAAGAAATCAGAGGGGGTCCCCGAGATGGATCGTCCACTAGAAGGGGCCGACCCTGGTCACTCTGCAGAGAATGGCAGCTCTTGAAATCAGAGCACCTCATTTCTTAGAGGTGCACTCTCTCTTATGCTTGGGGGTTTGTGGCAACCATTTAGTCCTTCATTTTGATCGGATTCCCCCTCAAGCAGAACATACAATTTGCTGATGGAACATCAAAGAGTTTCCAACGATCTAATAATTGTGTTCTTTTTGTCCGGATCCAACAAGATCTGTCATTCACAGATGGCTTCCAAACCACTTTGTTTGGGCTGCATGTGTTTTTGCTCGGCTGAGGTTGTTTTTCTTGGGGTGAGTTTGATGGGGGGGAATATGGAGGCCAGTCATCCCAATTGTTCAGCGACCCTGGTAGAACAAGAATCGGAGCGCGTTCTTTTTGGGGATGACCAACTACTTTTGCCGAAAAACAGCCAAGCAAAAGTTGGAAGAAACACTTGGAGCCTCTGAAGATGGGAAGATAGCGTCGCCGTCCAAGAGAGGAAGCATATCACTTGGCCATGAAACTGTGCACCGTTTTGGGCTCGATCACCGGCCGGCGAGCCGGCGAGCCGGCGAGCCGGCGCCCGACGCGCGCGCCGCGCGAACTCCGAGCTCCGAGCTCCGCGCCTTCTTCCGCAGGGGTCGGAACTGGACCGCCTCCAAGCCGAGCCCCGTGAGGCCCCCTGCGCGCCTTCCGAATGGGCCCCGCGGGAACGGGCCGGCACGGGGGGCGCATTCCGAGGGGCAGAGAACCTCAAAAAGGGCCCAAGTATAGGGGACTCCTCCAAATAGTCGGCTTCTGCTTGAGTTGTAGGTAACTACTGTATCACAAGGTGGGTGCCGACTGCCTACCCGTGTGGATCCGTTTGTGATTGTTTTCAGGATAGGAGAGCAACCCTGTTTTTGGAAACAGCAAGGCTTCTGAAACTTAAAACTACAACATCCGCCAAAGGGTCCCAAATTAAACTTCATGCCCATAGGCCCATAGGTGTCTATTCGGTAAAAATCTAAACCACTACTTGGGCACCCACCGCTTCCCCCTCCTGAGCTTCTCATGCACCGCACAGCGTAGCGGCCGCCCAGGCACGCCCGGAGGAAAGGACGGCGACAGCAAGGCCATCCATCCGCGGGCCACCGGCCGCGGGCAACGCGCCAGAGGGCAAAACCAAGGACGAAACGCCCCTTTGCGGGGTCTGGAAAGTTGCAAAACGTCCTTTGCATCCCTTTGAGTTTCCTTTTGGGAAGCTTGGCTTGCATCATTTTAGTTTAGTTTTGGGAAACCTGACATGACTCACGTGCCCGTTCAGCTGGGGGAACGGGCTAATGGCTCAGAAGGGTGGTCTAAACACCGCAATTTCCGGGTGAGTTCTGCTCCGACTCAAAACAGAGAACCTCCATGTGAAAAGAATCTTGATCATGTCTGAACCTTGTTGAGATCGCAAAGAAACAATGCGCAGAACCTGCCTCTGTCACATGATGTTGCTCGTGTTCTCCCCTGTGCCAAAAGGGCGGCGCTCCTCTTTATTTCGGGGGCGTTGAAATCTGTCAAGCTGGCATAAGCTGTCACTGCGAATGGCGAAAAACTTGCAGCCTGCTCCATGTTTGCTTTTTTGTTCTTTCTCGAAGGGTACCGGATGTCCATTCGGCGAGGTGACAGTCTGCCCCTCTCGGATGCACCGAAAGTTCGGGCCAAAGCTTCCGGCATCGGGTGTCTTCGTTACGGTTCAGCTGAGGTCTCCACACACTCCTTACGTGGCGAACAAACGCACCCCGAAAATATTGCAGTCTGAGTCTGTTTCATATTTAGTCAACCTGAAATGCACATATTGTCTGGGGTCCCAGCATCCTTCTTTATCTCCTTCTGCTTCTATTCCCCATTGAGCGGTTCTCTCAGCCTAGACAACCGCGGCTGCAACCGAGTAGTATTTGATGCGACCGCCCTTAAGTGACCCTAAACATGCGCGTGCAGCGAAAAGGCAAATCGCAACACGCATCGACACGTGACAGCTTGCAGCGGCGCGCGCCTCATAGTTGAGGCCTACAAACGAGTAGCCTGAGCACGCCATGCAGTTATGCGGGCAAAAACGCAACTGCTGTGAGTGGGTTTTACCACTTGTTCCCCTATTCAGGGCAAATACAGAAGGAGCACCGCATGCTGCCTCTGTCCCTTGATTATCGCCAAAAGGGATCAGAAAGGTGGTTACCCTCACAGGCGGTCATATCGGAGAGGTGGTGGCCCCTTCCAGCCATAGCTCTTGGGCCATGAGTCGGGAACCAATTAATTACAAGTTTAGACCATCCCAGCATAGCAACCGTCAGGTCACTAAAGGACATTGGTCCAAGTGCTGCCAACAGGTGTGGCAAAGTGGATGAAGGTCCACGCAGATCGATCGACGCCAGTTCGCTGATGGATGAAACCCTATTGGGGTAAGCCACTTGCCAACTGGTGTGAAATGGAATGCAAGTCAAGTGTTTTAGTCGGAGGGAGTGTACCTCGTTGCCACTCCAATAGGCATCTTGGGGAGGTTGCTTTGTAACTATTCTCTGGTGCTTTGCACTTGCTTTTCAGAGCCCAACGGGTGTGGTTTGAGGGAAACCCATTGGGTTTCAAGGGGAAGCCAAAAGCAAAACCCCTGTTGGGAGCTTCGATAATTGAAGCCATGCCATCCTTTTTGAAGCAACCTCAAACAGGGCCCAAAAAGCAGCCAAGCCTTAAATCCGCTTTTTCCCCCTCAGGGGCACCGGCTAAACCTGCCATCATCGGTGATCTGCAGCGCTGCAAACTCGTCCTTCGCCAGTTGCGGGCAGGAACATTTCAGCCGTGACAAATGGCACCCTTTTCACCTTGGAGGTGGTTCCAACTCTGAAAAAAACATAGCCATATAGGTGTGTGTGTGTGTGAGTATTCCAAGGCAAACCAAAGGAAATCCTACATTTTGGGTTGGGCCACCTTGTTTGACACATACCCATATGGGTATGAGGTCTTTTTGGGGGGAACCCTTTGGTGGGCATTATTTTGGGATTGATGTCCGCCAACCATTTGGGAGGGCCCGGGGGGGCCCGGGGGGGCCCTGTTCAAACTATCAGCCAAATCTTCGACGAGCAACAACAAACAGCAAAATGAGGTTTTCTGTATGTGTTTGATTGGTTTAAATGGGTTGCTCAGAAGAAAAACACCATGTTTGGGGGTCTAGCTCCCTTCTTTGACACATATCCGTATCAAGAATAAGCCAAAAGAGCTTCTTGGCCGGACTGATCTTAGGAAAAACGTCTTCTTGTTGCTGGCTAAACGACGAAATCCATTTCGCACAAGTTGGGATGGATGAACCCCTATGGATAATGCGACAAACCTCCTGCTGGTGCGAAAGGATGTTTGTCCCTCCACGCTATTAAAGCAAGAGGGCACACAAATGCGCAACAAGCTCAGCTAAGTCTGGTAATGCAATCAGAGCGCAAATCTTGCAAGGCCTGGACAGACCTGGTACTGAAGTGGTCTAAAGCCATGTAAAGGCCTATTCTTAACATGTCTGACCGGGTTTTCTTTGTGGCTGAAACCCAAAGCTTTGTCCGTGGGACAACTAACGAAACCTGCACCGTCGGCGCGATTCCCTTTGGCCAGGTGCACAATGGCTTGGGGTGAGGGTAACCCATCATTCAACCTGGCGGATTCTTAGGGGTACGTTCCACCAAGCGGACGGCCCCCCTCTAAAACCAAGAGAGTTCTGAATCCGGTTAAAATTAAAGACATGTCCCATTTAGTCTGCCCTACAATCTAACACGGGTCTCCAAATGGGTGGGTGCCCTGTGGTTGCCCTTGAAAACCGAAAGGGCCTCAAAAAAACTACCTGAGTTATGTCAGAGGAAATCCCAAACACTGTGGTTTAAACAGCTCCCTTTTGGTTTCAACCGATCGGGGCCAGTAGTTTTAGCCCATTTCGCAGCCGACTCTTCCTTTGTAACTAGTAACTTGAGTTTACCTCTTATATTAATCCATATCATTAAATCGATCTAAACATATTATCTGCGCGCAAAACTACCTTTCACTCTGTGCCCGTGCTACGCAAGTTCCTTCTAAACTTCCTTCCTTTGATTCAACAAATCCAGGGGTTGATTCCCCTTTCTTTTCAAGAACCGGCCGTTTTCCCTGGGTTTCCGGAGGTTTTCTAGAAAGAAGGATCCCTGGAAAGAATAAAATTGGAAGGTACCCCCAGAAAACATAGAGGAGACCCTTTGATTCAACAAATCCAACTTCACAACCCTTGGTATAGTAGCCAAAACTGTGTTGTTTGCAGCTCCCAACCCAAACGACTAAGAAACATAGAGGAGACCGCAGGTTTTAGGTTCCGGGCCCCCGCAAAGGCCCGGAACCCTTTTCCTCCCGCCTGGAAGCGCATGGCGCGCCCGAAGAAGGGGAAGGGCGCCACGTGGCCTGGGACGCACGTCGCGGTTCCGGACATGGCGACGGCTCTAGGGGCCGAGTGGTTTGGTTGGGGAAACCCAGGAAACCCAACTATCATGGGGGTCAGGGGGAAGAGAGGGGGGGAAACAGAGCCCAAATAAGCCCTAAGTAAGGCCTTACTAAGGGCTTAACAAGGGCTTATTTGGGCTCCCTCCCCCTCCCCTCCCTCCCCCCCAACCCCCCTGAGAGTACATGGTGGCTTAAAGCCCCGGTAAATCCAGTAAACCCGGTTTGGTTAGGGTTTCAAGCACAGGCAACCCCACAAATGGTGCTTTGAAACCAAGTACAGTACATGCTTCTGCATATGTTTCTCCAATAATCCGAAGGGTGAATTAAGAATTGGATCCCTAAGTCAAGGAGCTTCATGATGAGTTTGTTTTTACCCCCGAATCAGTGAGCTCGCTATAAAATAGGCAGAGGAAGTCCAGTAAACCAGGTTTGGTCAAGCTTATAAACTTTCAGTAAATGGCGGTTGACCCAATTTATTACCAACCGGAGGCGACAAGCCACTGGCCAAGTCGGGCCCCTGTCAAGTGAAACGCAATCAAACTTGCGGGCCTGTTGTTTTAGTGGCACATTGGGTGACAATGTTTAGCCGCACCAGTTGTTGCACGCAAGGATTTTAGATGGCTATGGCTGCCAATCTGGCCACGAGCTCATTTGCCTAGATTCCCCATCCAACTTGGTCCTGAGGGAGCCCCCAAAATGGTGGTCGCCTCTTGGCATTTCCCTTTACTGGGCTGTCCTCAGATCCCCTGCTGAAAGTTTCACTTTTGGTGGGTTAAATGGAAATCCCCACCAAAAAGCTAAAAAGCTAAAAAGCTAAAAAGCTAAAAAGCTAAAAAGCTAAAAAGCTAAACAGCAAAAAAGCTAAAAAGCTAAAAAGCTAAAAAGCTAAACAGCTAAAAAGCTAAAAAGCTAAAAAGCCAAGGGGAACGCTGGGAACCACCAAGTTTCAAACACCCCGGTTTCGAGACCTTACTCCTTACCCCACCTGCCTGAGCTCGCGCCGGGCTCCACCCCGCCTCCCGCCTCAACCGTCCCCCAAGCCACTTCAAGTTTCGCGAGCCAAAGGGCGGAGCTTCTCTTTGTCGATCTCCGCCCGGACATCCCAAAGCTCCTCGTGGATTTCATAAAACCGGGGAAGACTCACTCCATGGGCCTGACTGATGGAACCGCCAAGCCGAAAGAAAAAATGGAAAGAAAAAGAATAACGAAACTGGTGAGCTGCTTCTTTGGTTTTCCTGTCTCACTTTGGTGTCCCTTTGTTTTCCCTTAGTCCTAAAAGTGGGACAGTGGGGATTCATGTCCCCCGACAATTTTTGAGGTGGTTCCCTATGGGGTTGGGGGGGACTTTCAAACCAAGATAATTAATCAAGTCATGACATACAAAATCCATGTAAGCAATTATTCCCCCCCTCTTCCCTACAGAACTGGGCTCTAAATCAGGGGATCTCGCAACAATCATCCGCGATCTGCACACCACGACGAGGAAAACACGACCATCTGACATAAGGATTGAGGATGTATTTTGAACAACCCTTCACAAACAACAATCCATTTTTGGGAGGAATATGCTGTTAGGGGACACGTGTTTGGGTTCCATGTTTCATCTGCAGCAGACCTTAAGCCTCGGGAGCCTGCCTTACAAAAGGGCCGAAGGAGACGCAATAGTGGCGATTTACAGGGGAGATGCCACTGGGAACCATTGACGACCGTGAAGAATCATGGCTGTGGACGCTTATCCTTTCTGAAATACCGTACTCCCACCCCTATGACCAGATTGTCGCTGTAGAGGGGATCCCTCAAAACCACGATCGCTTCAGCGTCCCTTACTTCAGGTTGAATTGTCCCTTTCAAACACTAAAAGGCCCCCAAGAAACACGGAAAACCCCCCTGTTCAAGGTGCTCCTGTTGCTTTCCTCTAAAACACACACAGAAGGGCGATTAAACTGCCATCCACAGATTCAGAAAACTTCACAATCTACAATGTAACTAATTAGCGTGTCGGCATTCTCGGAATTGGGAATCCCTTTTTGGCGTGGCAAAAAAAAATGGAAACCAAAAATAATCTCCTGACTCCTGGGTGAAGTCCAATTCTACTACTGAGAAACAACAAGTCCAAACAACTCACCGACATTCAGTTCAACCTTTGGTGGCTTGGGTATGCACGTTGCTTCAAACTCTATCTGCTATCGGCGTGTTTGTGTGTGTTTTAGCGGACCCCTCCGAAATAGTAGTTGTCCTGTTGGTGCTCCCCCCCAAGCAAAACACGTTTCCCTTCAATTTCCCGTCCCTTACCCCCCCCCTACAAAAAAGCAAAACAAAACAAAAAAAAACCTTCAAACAACAAAGAAAAGAGACCCGTGCCCGTCGCCCCCCTGAACTTCTTGCGCCCCGGAATCCCAAGTCCTTGCGGTTGTGCAGCTCGGCCGCTCGGGAGGTTTTTCCGAAGCCTTCGTCCTGCTTGGCGGGCATATATCCGTATATACACATGCATGTGTATAGGCACACACATATAAATGTGTATATGTATGCACTGCAAACGAGCCACCCTCTCGGCCCCGTGCTCAGCTAGAATAGGTCTCTTCCCGAATCTGCGCATCCTCTCTGCCAACGTGACAGCAGTGCTTCTGCGCACCGGAACGTTGGCAGAGCGGATGCGCAGGTTCGAGGAGATGTCCAACAAAGTCAAGGAAGCAAGTAGCTCTCTCGCAGCACTTCAGAACCACCTTGAAGTGATGCATCTAGTCCTTGGGCAGCACGCACTGCCTTGACTTGCGCGAGCTCGCTCAGCAACTCTCACCAGCCAGGCTGGCCACCGCGAGCGTTGCTGCGCGAGATCGCCAAGGAGGCAGCTAGCGCTAATGCTGATCTTCGACCATGTAATGCTGCCTTTGTGGAATAGCAGCACAGTTGCTACTCGGATGCTGCGCAGCCGACAAGCCAACTTGCAATGTAATGCAAAAATTCCCGGTGCCCCAACGGCGCCCAGCGAAAAAGGCGACAGATTTGCAAGCGTTTGCGAGAAGATGGGCACCGTCTGCGCACAAAGTACTTCGCCAGCTCAACGCCGTGCGCGCACCGACTGCGAACGAGAGCAAGTTCCAAATCCTTCAAACGTCCACAAAAGGAGAAACTATAAGCCAGCGCGGGCTCTATGGGTTCCAAGCCGCATACCTTCTTTGTCGCGTGGCAAGTACTCCAGTCCTCCATTGCAGAGGCCGTCGCGCAGAGACTCAAGCCATCCATCAAGCTTCAAGCTCGGCTGGTTAGCTTGGGTCCTGCGCCAGCACATGCGCTTGCCTGCGGCGAAAGGCCTCCCCTCCGCTGAGCTTCCGCAAGACAGCGTCCGCCCAGCGCAGCGCAAGCTTTCGTGCCAATCTTGCTCCCAGCTTGCATCGAGCCACCGCTTTGCTTCCTAGATTTGCACTCGCTCGAAGTAACGCTGCATCAAGCGCAGCATGTGTACGGCTGCGCGCCCACACATCTTGCACAAGGGCGCGTGCAGCACTTGAAGCAGAACAGCTCAACCGCATGTCCTTGCAAATTGCCAAAGCAAAACAAAGCTGGCTATGTCCAGCTCGAAGTTTGTGCTCGACGGCTGCAGCGCGCGTCTGCCATATGGCCCCACACGTGCTGCAGTCGAGAAGCTCAAACTTAGAGACCAGAATGCCTAGGCTAGAGCCGCCTGGCTTGACAGCTCCGCACAGCGGCCACAACAAGCAGGAGCGAGCAGCGCGCTCAGCGCTTAGCCGAGCTTTCGAAAGACAACGTCTGCCCAGCTTCAGCGCAATGCCGCGAAGTCGCTCAAGCTTGCGCCGAAAAAAAAAAGCACGCAAGCAACTACTTTCGCGTGACCACTAGCCCGCCTGGACGACGCATCCATAACAGCCTGCGCGCTTGCTTAGACACCAAGCAAAACAACGCGACTCGCTGCTGCGCCTGGACGTACAAAATTGTGCCCGCGCTTGCCACGCTCGGTTGAGTAGATTTGAAAACAAAGGTGTCGGGCAATCACTGAAACGGAATAGTCACGTATATGCCGCCAGTGCATGTGAAAGGGAACTAAGTTTTATCTCCGCTAGCAGAAAGGCTTTCGCAAGACCGCGTCCACCCAAAAACACTGCAAACAAATCGATTGCATGCTTGAAGAAAAAGCGCCGCAGTGCCCGGGGCAGTTTCTGCTGCGAGCTCCCCAAAGGCTCCGCGATTTTGCAAAAAAATATTGATCGATTGATTTTTGTACCATTTCAATCTTCGTTGAAAACAGAAAAGAATCAATAGATTTGAGGTTTGGCATGTCTTGCAAGATCAATTCACGATTGATTTTTCTATTGAATTTTCGGTTGAATTTTGCAGGCTTGGCGATTGATTTTTCGATTGGTTTTTCGATTGATTTTTTGACTGTTTGTCCTTTGTTTGTTCTTTTGTGTTCTGTGCTCTTGAGTTGCAATCTTCATTGCGTGCGTACTTCTCATTGGGCTGTGTTTCGAAGTACCTTACTCTCCTTTTCACCTTGAACCACCAATGCTTTAACCATAAGATGGCTGGATAGCCATGAGAGATGGCTGGATAGCCACGAGTGATGGCTGGATAGCCATGTGCTTCACATATACTGCTGGCTGCCACAAATGGTGGCTGGATAGCCATGTGTTTCACACACTGCTGGCTGGATAGCCATGTGCCTCACACACTGCTGGCTGGATAGCCATGTGCCTGACACACTGCTTATGAAAATCCAGCAGCCATTTTGCTCCAGGAGGTCAAAAACGCCTACAGTGGACATGGAACATTTGCTGGATATTCTCAAAAGCTATGTGAGAAAATCTGGACTGGAGGGCTCACTGAATTTTGGGGAGTATGGCAAGGAACTCGCAGAGCAACTTGAATTTCTACGGGGCCTAGCCCAGGTAAACCCAGAGCTTGTCTTTAAGTACTCAGAACTTAAGGACATCTACAAAGAGCTTGAGAAGACCTTCCCTGACCTCAAGCACAAGTTCAACTTGGAGAAGAGGGCCAACTTGACACACTACTTGAGCGATGCTACCATGGTCATTTGTAACCATGCCAGGAGGCTCCATTACAATGAGAAAACATTCCAGGAGGCCTGCAAGAACCTGACTGACAAACAGCCATGCAGCTGCACTATTAGCACGAGTTTTGCCTTTTCTAAAAAACAGCTTTGACTTTTGTTCCATGTAGCCAAGGGTGGCAAAGCTAGAGGAGTTGAAGAACTTGGTGGGGGAGGATGAAGAGGATGGCCAGCCCAGCAGTCAGCAGGACTTGCCTAGCACCCAGGACTTGCTGGAGATGGAAGTCCCAGAAACACCAGTCAAAAGAATCAAAAAAACTTGTTCGCCACCGACTCCTCAAAGCCATCAATCTGAGACACAAAGCACTTTGCTGAAAGAGGCCCTTAAGACTTCACCAGTGCCAGCCAGGAAAAAACCTTGAAAAGCCTGATGAAAAAACCTGCAGGGAAGCCCACAGCCAATCTTAACAGGCCAGCTTCAAAGAAGGACGCAGCCAAGAAGCAAAAGCATGACGAGAGGGAAACCTTCAAGACAGGAAGCCTGCAGATCATGGTCTACAAGAAAACCAAAAGTGTTGCAGTGAGGGTGAAGCAGGGCAGGCAGCTTTTTGCTGTTAGCAAGTTTCACAATGTCGACCAAAATAGGAATGCAGCAACCAAGCTCATGAAGATGCTTGAAAAGGGTGCCAATCTAGGAAAGGTGCTGGTGGCAAAAGCCAACCTGTAGTGAATTTCAAATGCACAAATGTGGCTATAGGCAAAACAGTGCTCGATGCTGGGTGATGGCTGGATAGCCATGTCGGGGTGATGGGGGGGGGGGGGGGTGGCTGGATAGCCATGTAATAGTAGTAGCCGGTGGCTGGATAGCCACGAATGCGCATGTAGAAGCTGGCTGGATAGCCACTGGTGTTTGTCTGTTAGTTTTGAGTGTCTTTGCTGGCAGTGGAGTTCATGCTGGGTGAGGATGAGGGGGGTGCTGATGAGACCAAGCCAGCCAATGAAGAGGAGAACACAGCCCCTATGTATGAAGGTGACCTAGGCCCTGAGTATTTCAAACAAAGCCACAAGCACTTCTGTGCGTGCAAGGTATGCTGGAACATGCCGTACGTGGCCAAGCACTCCCAACTCAGATCTAAGAATTGCAGAGGCTGCATGATGAAGCAGTGCAACGGCTACAGAGGAGACACAGCCTGCAAAGACCTCTACAAGTAGCTTGAGCTGCTGAAAAAAAGTGAGGAATGAAGCAATGATGAGAACCATAAGAAGAGAAGCCACCATGAGAGAAAAGCCACCATACCATGAGTGAGAAGCCATGACAATGAGAGGAGGCCTGGCTTGTATACTAGAGCTGCTCTACTTGCAGCCCAGCCACAGTGCTGAGAAACCAAGCCAATTGAAGCCAGTGAAAAAAAGAGCTCATTAAGTGTGTTCATTGGTATGTGTTGGAAAATGCTTGGGAGTTGGAGTTGTACAAGTTCGCTGGCTATCCTAGCCACGTGGGGGTAGTTTTGTTGGGGAATAGGTTCTGTAGTGCTTAGCAGGGCTTCCCATGTTGGCTGGTGGCTGGATAGCCAGGTGGGAGGGGCTCGGGTTGGCTGGATAGCCAAAAGAGTTTTGATGGCTGGATAGCCATTTCAAAGCCGGTGTTGTGTGGTGTTTTTAGCTGGCTGGATAGCCACAAAATAAAATCGCAGATGATGCCCATAATTCCAAAAATGCTCCAAACATCACATGAAGACACATGAAGACCCATGAAAGACCCATGAAGACCCATGAAGACCCATGAATACCCATGACTACACATGAATACACATGAATACACATGAATATTCATGAATTTTGCATTTTTGGGCTCAAGCAGCATTTTTCTAGCGCGCAAACCCGGAGCCACATTTTCTGGCAATGGCAAAAAAAGGAAAGAATAATGCGGACAAGGAGGTGTCTTTGAAAAAGAGGCCAGCCTCAAAGCAAGAGAATGAGGAGGATCCAAAGAGGACCAAATTGACAGAAGAGAACATAACTACTCACCAGGCACTGTTGAAGAACGAGCACTCAGACCCCAAGAAAGTTGGTGAACTCATCAAACTCCTTCCACCTGGAGAGCA